GAGATTTGGCAAGATCTCACCGCATAAGATCGCGAGAATCTATGCGAAGGACCCTTAATAGATAGGAGTTATATAGATAAGACGCGTCGCGCCCACAAAGGACGGACCCTTACCACTAGATACGCCAAATAAGGATTTATTAGGTATACCGAAGGAATATCATACGAACAAGTTTCAAGATTTATTTAAAGAAAACGAGGCAATAGACCTAGCTAAACACCAGGATTAGGATCACGAGATCATCCTAGAGGAAGGAGCAAAGTTGACGCTAGGAGGAATGTATCCTATATCGCCCAAGCACGACGCTAAGCTTAAGGAATACCTCTAGAAGAATCTAAAGAAAGGATTTATTAGACTAGGATTAGGCCTAATAGCCTCGCTAATATTGTTTGTAAAGAAACCTAATAGAAAATAGCGACTGTATGTTAACTATAGAAGGTTAAACAGGGTTACTTAAAAAAATAGATACCTACTACCACTTATATTAGAGCTTATAGATTGGCTCTAGGGAGCTAAGTGGTTCACGAAGTTTAATGTCTAGGAAGGATTTTACTAGATCAGGATTAAGGAGGGAGACGAATAGAAAACAGCGTTTAAAACGAAGTACGGACTGTTCGAGTATATAGTAATGCTGTTTGGATTGACGAATGCGCCAGCAACCTTTTAATTAGTCATCAACAGCGCTCTCCACGAATACCTTGGAATCTTCGCGACAGCGTATCTAGACGATGTACTAGTGTACTCTAGAGGATCGCTTAAAGAACACATTAAACATGTTAAGAAAGTGCTTAGGAAGCTTAAAGAATATAAACTATACCTGCAGCTAGGAAAGTGCGAATTCTACGTTAAAGAAACGGAGTTCCTAGGCTTTATTATCTCAACAGAGGGAGTTAAGATAAATCTAAAGAAGATCTCAACTATACAAGAATGGCCAAAACCTAAAACAGTCAAGGATATGTAATTCTTTCTTGGATTTGCCAATTACTATCAGAAGTTTATCAAGGATTACTCAAGAATCACCACACCTCTCTTAGAGATTACGAAGAAGGAAATAGGATTCCGCTAGGAAAAGGAACATTAGGAGGCTTTTGATTGGATCAAGCAGATATTCCTTACCGCACCTGTACTAGAAATGTACGACCTAAAACGAAAAACGAGGGTCAAGACCAACGCCTTAGACTACGCACTTGGAGCTGTATTATCACAGCAGTGCCCAGACAAGAAATAGAGACTAGTGTTCTACCATTCACGAAAGTTCTCTAGAGCAGAACTCAACTACGACGTTCACAATAAGGAACTACTTAGAGTAGTCGATGCCTTTGAACAATAGGAAGTGTATCTGTTAGGACTTCTAGATATAATCGAGGTGTTTACTAATTATCAAAACCTAGCGAGTTTCATAACAACAAAGAAACTCAACTAACGACAAGTCTAATAGGCAGAGATGCTAGCTCAGTTCGACTTTAAGATCACGCATCGCGCAGGATCGCTTAATGGAGCAGCAGACGCTCTTAGCCGAAGATCCGACCTTAAGGAAAAGGAATACAAGATACCACACGATGCAGTACTTAAGAAGATGCCCGATGGCAGTCTCAAGTACAACCAGCCGGAACTGGCTCGAGTAGCCAAGGTGGCCGAACAGGTAGAAACGTTACAACAGCAATGGCAACGAAAAGCTAAAGAATAGATTCCTATAGCAGGGGAAGATGACCTCGCAGGATTGTTACCTAATAAACAAGAACCCTAGAATCCAAACCAAGTTTATGTGCCGGAGCACATGAGGAACGATCTTATCAGAGAACTGCATAAGTCCCTAGAATATAGACACGCAGGAATAGACGAAATAGTTAGGCGACTATTAAAGGAGTTTGCAATACCACGCATGCGTGCGAAGGTGCAGGAGATTCTAGGCAACTGTTTAGCATATTACTAGAACAAGCCTAAGAGACATAAGCCCTATAGCCTATTACAACCCCTATCGCCACTAACACGACTATAAACTAGCGTAATAATAGACTTTATAGTAAAGCTCCCGAAATCGTTAGAGCTAGGATCAGCTCAACTTTGCGACACAATACTAGTAATCGTGGACCAATTAACTAAAGCAGCAAAGTTTGTGCCCACAGAAGAAACAATTACGGCAGAAGAATGTGCGTACGAGGTTTCTAAGGCACTAGTATCGGAGCATAGGATGCCTAAAGAATTTATTACGGACAGAGACAAGCTGTTCACATCAAAGTATTAGACAACGTTCTTAGCGGAATTAGAAGTCAAAAAGAAGCTCTTAACGAGTTTCTACCTAGAGACAGACAGTCAGACAGAACGAACGAACTAAACGCTGGAACAGTACTTGCGATTTTACACCAATAAGCTGCAAGACAACTAGGTTAAACTCTTGCCAACAGCACAATTGGCGTACAACAGTTCAAGGTCGGCGACCACAAAGCACTCGCCGCACTACGCGAACTACGGGTATGAGCTGGTTGCTTATCAAGACCTAAAAGACATTAAAAGCATTGCAGTTAGAGCAGACGACAAAGCTCGACTAATGCGAGAATTACACGAGCAATTAAGCAAGAATATAGCTTATAGGAACCTTACGGCATCTAAAGCTGCAAATAAGCAAAGGATTGAGGGACTAACTTTTAAGAAGGGGGACAAAGTCTTCTTGTTACGACAAAACCTAAAGACTAAGCAGCTAAGCAAGAAACTAGATAATCTCCAATTAGGACTGTTTGAAATCCTAGAGACAATTAGACTAGTAAACTACAAACTCTAGCTACCACTAGGCATGCGCATACACAACGTGTTCCACAAAAAGCTACTAGAACTAGCACCCTAAAACGCCAAGCTAATAGACGACATAGAGCTTAAAGACGACGAGTACGTAGTTAAAGAAATTAAGGACCTACGGAAAATTAGCAGTTAGTGGAAGTACTTGGTCAAGTGGCAGGGATGGCCTAAGAGCTATAACACTTGGGAACCTAAAGGAAACCTAACGAACTGCAAGTCACTAGTACGTGAGTACCATTAGAAACATCTAAAGAAACGAGAACTAGATTCTCGTAAGAAAGGAAGAAGTTAAAGGACAAAAGATCGAAAGAAGAAGAATTAGCCTGTAACTAGCCTGGGTCAGTCGAGGGTCTGGATAGCGATGGTTCGGTTGTCGGAAAACCCATACCAGAGGCAGAGCTCCCCTCATTCTTCTCTTCCTCACGATCCTGAAGGTTTAAAATGGCATGATCGCGATCAGCAAATGCTCGTTCCCGCGCCTCGACCTCTAGGAGTTCGCGACGCAGACGCGCAGTATCAGCGGCGGCCTGAGATTGGCGCTCTTTAGCATAGGCCAACTCGAGTTGCTTTTGACGCTTTTTAGCCTTAACCTTCTCCCACTCTTCCTTAGTTACAAACAAACTGCACTTAGCTTTTATAGCAATACAACTAGCACACTGCTTAGATATAGTATCCACGAAACAGCGAAGATTCTTCTTTTCGCAGCGCTTGCAGCGAAAAGCCATTTCTTTCCCCTGATGGCGAATACGGTCAGAACGAGCCTGGCGGTATTGGGCATGGTTAGGAAGGCTGGAGGGAAGGAACGGATACAATGGCCAGGGGCCTACTGACCTTATATGCAGCCAGCGATTCAACACGCAGCACGGCAAAACGATATTCTAGGGTATTAGGACGATACGCCTAAGAGAGGGGATAATGTTACAAGTAACAAGAAGGATTCTCCCCTTGACGGGGGACGACGAGGTTGAAGGCCAACCACGTCCACGTCAGAAGGTAATGATCATCGCGGGGCTCGAGGTCACGTGATGCGCTCTCCCGCCAAGAGCCATTCTCCCGCCAAGGAAGGGATAATGGGCCAGGATGGGAGAAGGCGTTCTCCCACATCTCCCAAAAGACAAGGATGTCAAGGGAGAAGAGGGAGAACAGGACCAAAGGCAATAGGTATAAGAATGGGTTGGATTTCATTATTACACTCGTTGTGGTCAACTCTCATAAGTTCTTCTCTCATACAGATTAATACTTAGTTATTCTATCTTCTAATAGAATTAGTTTGTCTTACCAACCCAGTTAACTCCTATAACTCTTCTCCACCTTATCGCCAGACAATTACCTCACGGATACTTCAGCTAGACAGCCTCGCCCTAACCCGGACCGAGACTAGGTAAGTATAGTTTCTGATAGTGTTAGGAAACCCCGTGTAACATAAGGCTAATTAGTAGATTGCTTATAAAGAGCGTTAAGGAGGAGAGCGATTAGGTGTTAGCCGCCAGGCTTTGGCGCGCTGTAGTAGGTGTAGAGAAACTGGCCACAACTCGCGTACGTGCAAGAAAGATACTCTAGGTACTACTTAATCTATTATATTAATATACAGTAAAACAACTATATTGTGGTGGAACTACAGGCTTATAGAGGTGCGCAGGTTTAGTGGGGTGCGGCGCTCGCTTGTACGCGGCGCTCGCTTGTAAAACACGTTATACTGCAGATTCCTAATAAAAAAAAAGGAAATTCCTACATAGTCTACACCTTAGTCCATTGTATCGTATCTTATCTTATCTTATTATTGTTTTTCTTTTTGTCTTCCTTTCTTTTTGGGATAGTTATCGGAAATAGATAAGGAAGTGTTTGTTTTGTTTTGTGTTGTTTCTGCTTTGTTTTTGTTTTTCTTTTTCGTACTAGGCTGCGGGTTCGCCACTATGACGGTGTATGATGCAAGGGATGGAGGGTGGAACCCCTGCATTTTAGTGGTGATTTAGTGGCGCATGTGCATGTGCATGTGCGTGCGGCTGTGATGACGGAGATGGTGATGGTGGAACAGTGTAGGCACAGACAGGGGCTTGCATTTAATATGGGAGGTTAGTTTGAGCTTTGGTATGGTTACTGTTACTGCAAGCAGGGCAGGCGGGTATGCGTGGGACTGGGTGTTGATGGGAAAAGCGTTGTAGTACCAGGTGAATGGCTGCACTTACGTGTCCAAGAACAAGGTGTAGCGGTAGCGACCGATGGAGTTGCATTTGTTATTTTTGTCATCTTTGTCAAGTTGATTTACAGAAGAATCCCCTGGCAAACCGTGGTGTGCTCCTGTAGTGGGCTCGCCTGGGTATGCCCAACGCCCCAACGCCAAAAGTAAATGCCTGCCGTGATCCTTATTAACTACATTTCCCTCATGTCTGTATGCGCTGTTCAGGCGGCCGAGGCAATGGCGCCGTCACCCAGGACTCTGGCAACCATGATGTACAGCATCATGGCGCCAAGGAGAATCTTCCACTTGTTGCGGCTGAGCCAACCTTGACCTGCATCTCGTGCTATTTGCGCGGCGTCTTGGACGACCGTCGCGCTCGTGCCGGGGCGTCGTCGCAGGCCAGAGACGTCTGGCGAGCAGGCTGTGTGTTGTGCGGGAGAGGGGGCTGGCCGGGGTAAGCCCGTTGTGGGATCAATGCGCTTCTCCTTCATCCACCTCAGGTTCTCTTCATCTACGTCGGGCCATTCGTGTCTGAACCTTGCGCCACCATCGCCAGCCCGGATGTTTCCGTGCTGGCCGCCGGCGGCATTTCCTGAGCCGATAGCCTTTGTGCCGCCGCCCGTGCTGTTCCACCACCTCGTGCGCTGCGCAAAAAGCTTACGCTCCGCCTCCGAGGCCCTGACGCTGCCCGTCGTCATCTCCTCGCTGGTCATGAAGCTGAGGAGGCCCGTCAGGATTGTGCTGACTTCCCATGCGGGATTAAAGCTCTTGGGGTGGAAGTCGGAGATGCTCAGGCACAGGCGGCTGCTGGGCTGGAAGCGGCCCGAGGGCGTGTGCATGCGGATGGCGGGCGGCGCGAAGGGGTAGTCGGGCGGGAAGTTGAGCGTGCCCCAGTACTGGCCCCCTTCGTAGGGCGTGTCTGGTGGGCCGGTGATGATGTAGTGCCACTCGAGGATGTTGCGGTCCGAGGGGTGTGCGGTGATGTAGGGCGGGGGGGATCTGGAAATGGTGGCATATTCCCTCGTCAGGCGCTTGGTGGCTGCGGGCGTCGCCATGGTGGGCGAGTGTGCGGTGGCGGGTGTTGGGGGGTTGGGGGGCTTGTAGACGTGGTCGCAGTGTGTCGGCGTGGTGGTGGTGGTGGTGGTGAGGCGGGCGCAAAGACAAAAGACAGCGGGCTGCACAAACAATGACAGGAACACAGGCGAGGGCAAAGAAACGGGCGAGGGGGAAGAAGAAGAAAAGAGGAAGAAGGGCGCGCGGGTGCGAGGGGCAGGCGGAATGGAGAGTCGGTCGAGGACGAGGGCAGGGCCAAAGCGTGGCCGGGAAGTCAGCAGCACGTGCCTGGCGGGCGGGCGCTGCACGGGCAGGGCTGGCCACGGCAGGCTTTCTGAACGCCGCCAAGCATCACGCATCCAAACACCACCAGCCCAATGGCTTCGCCGCACGACGACGATGTAAGCATGGGCGGCGCTTCCGGCGGGCAGCCCCAGGCTAATTGGCAGTCCAGGTCTTCGAACGGCTCAAGAACCGGACGGATGCGCGCGAGCAGAGGCGCCAGCAGGACGAGCTCAGTGCGCGGATGCAGGCCCAGCAGCAGCGGGCACGCGAGCGCCTGGGCGAATTGGTAGGCGTCGACGACGGGTGACGGGGGGCGAGGCCATTGCTGATGCTGTGCCAGGTCGACGACAACACGTCGCTGCCCGTGACCATCTCGTCGGTCCGCGTGCTCCATGCCGCCCGCACTCGCAGAAGTTTCCTCGAGCGGGTCGTCGAGCCTCTGCTGAGCGCAAACCGCGACGAGCCCTACACGCTGGCAGACGCGCTCAAGCAGGTGGGCGAGGCCACGGACAAGCTCAATCGCTTCGGTACGTTTCCCCCGCCCCGCCAGGCGCCTTCGCATGTCTGACCCGCCATAGGCATCTTCAAGTCGCCCATCTCCGTCTACCTCGACCGCCCCAGCCAGGCCATTGCCGCCTCGTCGCCCACCGACGTCGACGTCTACATCTCGGCCGTTGAGCGCGGAACCTACACCATCAAGACGGGCACCGAGGCCGGCGCCTCGGAAGCAGACGCCTATGTCCACGCCGAACTCCGCAACCTGTTTGGCGGCGCAGAGACGCTCAATGCACATGGCTCGCTCGGCACACGCACACGCTCGGCCTACTCGCTCGCCTTTGACACGCCTGTCCTCGCCAATCCCGATGTCAAGTTCCAGGTCAACGGCTTCGCCAGCTCGACGCTCAAGACGTGGGCAAGCCATGAAGAGGTGCTCAAGGGCGGAAACTCGAAGCTGCTCTGGAGACTGAAGAACGGTGCCACCCACGAATTCGCCTACTCGGCCATCTGGCGGCAGATTACAGGCCTCGCCGAGAACGCCTCGCCCTCGGTCCGCGCCGACGCCGGCGATTCCTTCAAGTCGAGCATCACGCATACTTGGACCCAGGACAAGCGCGATTACCCTCTCCTGCCCAACAGCGGTTACATGATGAAGAGTGTGTCTGAGCTCGCCGGCTGGGGCCCCCTGAAGGGCGACACTGCCTTTTGGAAGTCCGAGGTTGAGTCACAAGTCGCCCTTCCCTTTGGCAACACTGGCATCACGCTTACCGCTGGTCTACGGGGCGGTCTGCTGTACCCCATGAAGTTGGGCGGTGAAAGCCAATTCCAGGCTTCTCGCATCAATGACCGCTTCCAGCTGGGTGGTCCCAACAACGTCCGCGGTTTCCGCATTTCTGGACTCGGTCCCCGTGATGGCTCTGATGCGCTAGGTGGTGATATCTACGCAGCCGGCGGCGCGTCGCTGCTCCTTCCCATCCCCCGTGTTGGCAAGGACACGCCCCTCCGCCTGCAGGCTTTCATCAACGGCGGTCGCCTTCTTGCGCTCAAGAACCCCAACTCCAAAAAGGAGGACGGATCATTTGGCAGTGCAAGCGACGTGTATGGTGCCATTCAAAAATCCCTCTCAACACTCACTGCCGAGCTGCCTAGCGCCGCGGCTGGTCTTGGACTTGTATACGCGCATCCCGTTGCAAGATTCGAAATCAACTTCTCCCTTCCATTAGTCATGAGGGCTAAGGAGGAGAGCAGGAAAGGCTTGAGCTTCGGAGTGGGTGTTGAGTTCTTGTAGACGAGCTTATGATGGAGGCATAGAAATGTACTAGTAGGCTTTGACTCGAAATATCCAGCGAGCACAACACTTTGACTTTATCCTCCGTTCATCTGTACCAACATTACTCGCTATGGCAATCTTCTTGGAAACAACAACTAACTCACGTCTCAGAAACTTCAACATGCACGCTTTGGAACGATCACAAAAAAGCGGTTATCACGTCGTACTAGAACAGTGATACCCTATAAGTCAATTGATGGATATTTACAAATTTCGCAGCACCACCTCCTCAAAAGACATCAAACAGCCCCTCTAACCGTAGTAGGCTAGCGCCGTCCGACGTCGTTTGAGGTGATGGCAGCGTAGCCCAGGGGGAGGAGTTAAAATATACAGAGAAGACGCATCATCTAGCTTCCCACAATCTGGGGGCCCTCGAACAGCTTCTTCGGATCATACGTACTCTTGAGCGACGCGAGCCTGGGGTAGTTCTCGCCCCAGTACCTGGTGTGGGCCTCGGTGTTGGTCAAGATGGTATCGGCATAGTTGACGTACATGCCAAACTTCTGGCCACCGCTGGCCTTCTCGATGTTGGCGACCCAGTTGCCCAGGAAGCTCATGTTCTCGGGCGGGTACGTGGCGTTGTCTGGGAAAATGCGGTCGTAGAACTGCATCTTGAAGATGGCGTTGCGGTGCGCATACGCCGTGGCCGTGTTGGGCACGGCCGACACGGCGGAGCTGGCGCCGCCGTGCAGGTCAATCAGCAGGTACCAGAAGCGGCCGGTGATCTTGCTCGCCGTCGTGAAGTAGTAGTCTGCGAGGGCGGTGAGGGCGTCGCGCGACAGCGCGGGCGTCATGAGCGACTTTGCGTAAAAGTTCTCGTGCGTGTCGTAGATCTCGGCTTGTTGCAGCGGGCCAAACGCAAACGCCGTCAGCGTATCGATCCAGCCCTTGGTCGACACGGTGCCAGAGCTTGCCGGCACGTTGAGCTTGGCGAGCAGAGGAGCCATGATCTTGTCAAAGTTGGCACGGCTGCCGTGGTACACGCCCGTCAGCTGCTTGGGCACAAACAGGCGCATGTCCAGCTCGGCGGGCTGGTCGTGGATCGAGAAGTCCTGCAGCACAGACAGCATGTCGGCGAGCTGCGCCGTGTTGTTGGGCGCGAGGTTGTACGAGAAGTTGATGTTTTCTTCCGGGGCATCAAACGTCTTGAACGTGAAGTCGACGACGATGCCAAAGGCACCGCCAGCACCGAGCAGAGCCCAGAGGAGCTCTGGGTTCTGCGTCTTGGATGCCGTCACGACGTTGCCGTTGGCAAGGACAACCGTCATGGAAATCACATTGTCGAGTGCCAAGCCGTACTTGCGGGAGGAGAGGCCGTAGCCGCCATGGAGCGTCAGACCAGAGATACCGACGCTGTGAAATGGTGTTAGCGTACTGTGTTATGACAGGGAGATATGGTCTTGGCTTCGACTTACCCAGGGCACGTTCCGTGACTAATTCCCTGTTTTCCTTGGGCATACAATGCCAAGGCAATGTTTCCGAGTCGTCCACCGGCTCCGATCACCGCCGTATGCGCATTCTGGTCCACCGTCACGCTGTTGAAGCGGCGCATGTCGACGACCAAATGTCCATTTTCTCCTCCAAGTCCGTGGGAGGCGTAGTTGTGGCCTCCGCACTTTCCAGTCACGTGGACTCCGCTGGCGGCACCGCAGGCAATGGCGTCTTGGATATGCTGAATAGTCGATGGTACGGCGTAGGAGGCCGGGGTAAAAGGCACACGCAGATTGAAGGGCTTGATAGCCTGAGTGAAGTTTGCCGTGCCTTGGCCGAAGACGGGGACTTTGCGAGCATCCAGGCATTCGGCGAGCGTGGCTCTCCTGTCCAGTATTGCGCTGGCGGTCGAGGTAGAAACAAGCGTAGCCAAGGCTAGGAACCATGTAGAATAGTTCTTCATCTTGAAGGTTGGCGGATAATGTCGCGGCTTGGTATGAGAAGTTCTCCGTCCTGCCTGTCCTTTCCAAGCCTTTTAAACAGTTTCTGGGCTCTTCAAAGGGGGGGGGGGAAGAGCCTTGCTGACAGTCTCTCATATTTCCCCAATAGACGGAACACGAGTGATCAGTGACTTTACGGGCCGTCGAGAGATGCATGTGGGAACGGCCCCATAGAATCGTCGAACCATCCATCGGGTCGATGGTGACGAGGTCTATGCCAGCCCCCAGTATCTAACACCTGCAATAACAGTAGATCTTACATGTCATACGTACCAATACCTCGATGCCGGCAATTGTAAAGGATCAGAACTTTATTTTTTTTATATCTCCATCTTGGCGCACATTGGCTGCAGGGTAATTGTGAAGGTTGTGCTCGTATAAAAGATGTCATGGATGCACAGCTAACGTAAGCGCGTACGGCGGCGCGGCGTCTTGGCTTCCAAATCGAATGCGCAGCCAAGACGTTTCCTTTATATACTTCTGGGATATAAGGTGCATGACCGGAATGCAAGTCTGTCGCAATTTCTCCATACTATTCATTTCGGGAGCGCCAGCCGGTTGAAACATGGCGCCCCGCTGTCGAAACATGCTTCCATATTGAAGTTAAATTGTCCGAACCGCGCCCTTTAGCCGGCTTGGAGAAGCGTGGAGACTGGAGCAGAGGCTCTCCCCCTCCTACGGCTCAGGCACAGTTTATGACGCCACCGGCTGTTTAGTCCAGGATGGTCTAGGTGGATGTTTCAGCGTGACAGCCAGGACATGTACGTCGCGTGCGCGTGATGCCAAAGCGACAGTAGCGGAAATTGGAAGTACACAACGCCAGCATACAAAGCGGAGCAGCCCCCCTCGCGATACGAAAGGTACCCATCATCTTATCAAAGTCCACCATGCTGTCTTCGAACCCTCTGCTGTTGCCGCTCTTTGGCAGCGTCGCGAGCGCGGCGAACCTCTGGGCCACGCACTACTCGGGCACCCTCAACTACCTCACCTTCAACGGAAACTCGCTGAGTTTGACCAGCTCGACGCCCACCGGCAACACGCTTCCCAGCTGGCTTACATATGACAGCGCTGGAAAGGCCATCTATGTTCCAGACGAGAACTTCATGGGATCCAATGGAGGAACCCTGGTCTCCTTTGGCGTTGGCGCCAACGGCAGTGTGAACCCATCAGGCAAGGCACCGACACCCCAGGGAGTTGTTGCAACCACGCTCTACGGAGGCCAGGATGGACGTAGCTTTATTGCGAATGCTCACTAGTAAGTCAGCATGCACTAAAAAAGAGTGGGCAGCGCTAACCTCTTAACAGCCAAACGTCCCAAATAACAACCTTCAAGCTTCCGCTGAACGGCGGTCAGCCGCTTCAAGCAATAAAGTACACGGGAAAAAGCATCAACCCCTCCCGCCAGGAAGCTCCTCATCCCCACCATGTGCTTGTCGACCCCACGGGAGACTTCCTCCTTGTGCCGGACCTCGGAACGGACCTGATCCGGATCAACAAAATCGACAAGAACTCCGGCAAGCTGACCGAGTGCCCCTCTGCAAAGGCGGTCCTTGGTTCCGGCCCACGACATGGAGCTTTCTGGTCTCCATCCGGTGCCTTTTCCCGTGTTCGCCGTGCTGAGGGCACCATGCTCTTCATTGCCGACGAGCTCTCCAACAGCGTGTCTGGATGGGCTGTCACGTACCCCCAGGGAGGAGGCTGCATGACCCTGACGCTCAAGCAAACCTTGACGCCTTACCAGGGTAACGCCACCGCCGTTTCTGGCACAAAGGTCGGTGAGATCAGGGTCAAGGGCAACTTTGTCTACTCGTCCAACCGCAACGACAAGAAGTTCAGCCCCAACGACTCCATCACCCAGTACAGCATCTCGCCCAACGGATCCCTCACCTGGACCGACATCACCTCGTCCTACGGTACCTACCCTCGTACTTTCGACATCAACAAGGCCGGTGACTTTGTTGCCATTGGCGACCAAACCACCGCCAACGTCGCCATTGTCGCCAGAGACACAAAGACTGGAAAGCTGGGTGCCAAGGTCGGAGATTTGAGAATTGGTGCTGCTGGTAGGCCCGAGAATGAGGATGGTCTTAGCGCCGTCGTCTGGGCCGAGTAGGAGGTGCCATTCAACCAGGCGACATGTCTTCGCATGGCCTTCGCATGAGGTACCAGTGGGGGTTATACGTGCGGAGTTCTCTTCTACCCAAAATGTAAATACGAGTTTTTTTTGCATACTATTGACACTGGTCATATTTGAGAAACGTTGTAACGAGCATGATAATGTGAAGCTGTGAATTGCCAAGACGCTAATCCAGCCACTCCAGTCATACTGGCTGTTCTTTATGCATTCCTGCCGCCGCTGCCTTGTGCCATTCCGTACTAGCCAACGTAATCAAAGCCGCTGCCAACAAGGTGTCATCTGTACGGAGGTGCCTTTCAAAAGTATTGTCTGCCAAGAATAATCTAACCGAAGTGCGGCCGCCTTAGCCGAGGCTTGTCTCTTCCCTCTATGTACTCATTACTACCTTGTAGCTTAATTATCTTTTGAATATGTACAAGAATTCGCTTAATCTAAGCTTAGATCTTAAGTTGTAAGAGATCTCTCCAGCAGTTCTGCTAGACTCTAACTGCCTCAGCCCTTGACTGCGGAGCTCCTTTCTTTGTAGTCTCTCTTTTTATATAGAACCAGCATAGCTCAATGCAGTTACAGTCTAGCGAGTTTCCATACCAAAGTAGTCTCTCAACTTCGTACAGGCGATAGATCACACCCTGATAGTGGTGGGCGTGGCTAGGTGCCTTATCCTCTATTACGACAGTCCGAGGTCTATCTTAGAGGCACTCTTTAGCAAAAGGAATCAGCTTTAGAATTAGAACGCAGGCCTGATATCTCCACTAGTCTATACCACCTCTAGACTTACGCACCAGCTTACCTGTCTTCTCTGTCCATCTCTATTGAGGCTTCCTGCCACGCTTATTGCGTAGCCCTGTCCTTCTCATAGACTCTAACAGCTCCCATTCCTCTCGCTGTAGAGGCTCAAGCTCAGCGTTTAGCTGCTCAATCCGACGAGCAGCATCCTCTCTCTCTGCCTTCGTCTCTGGCTGGTAGATATGGCATGGACCTTACTTGTTATACGAGAAGCAGCCCCAGAACATAAACTCAGAGTATCCCTTCCACCTCTCACGGATGCAGCTCTTGACTACCCTCTCGTCTGCCTTTCTCCAGACTCTATAGCCCCCACGTCGGTGGTTGATCACCACTGACGTCTCGTCTGTCTAGATGACATTCTTCTAGTCCTCTAACGTCTAGTCCTTATGCTCTAATGCCCACTTAAGACAAGCACTCCTCATCTCCTGTGTCAACCTAGGCTTCCTCGTTGGCTTGGTCTTCCTGTATCCTGCTGCTCTTAACACCCTCCAGACGGTAGAGGCAGAGATTTCGACTCCTTGGAGACTGAGCCCACCAGCAAGGTCAGCACAGCTCTTCTCTCGTCCATATCTATCGTGTCGTACTTGTTACAATATCTGATCCTTCACCTCTGCCTGCTTAGCAGGCCTACCAGGCTTTAGAGCATCCTGAACGTGGTGTGGAAGGATCTTAATAGGAAGGTCGTTTGGCTTAAAGCCTGCAGCAATAGCTCTACTATAGATACGATCTACAGTACAAGGATGAACGCCAGTTAGCGCAGAGACTTGTGAGGTATTCTTGCCACTAGGAGGTGATTTTAACGCGATTACTAAGGTATAGGTATATATATTAGTATAAGGAGCCATAGTTAAAGGATAACTACATAGTAGTAGGCAGACTGATCAGACAGCCCCTCAACTCTAAGGTGGGAGTTGCGCCAAGAAGAGTTGTGCCGAAGCGCCGAGATTAGCGTCAGACAATACTTTAGAAAGGCACCTCCGTACAGTAACCAATAATTCCCTGAACCCCTCTTTTTATCTTGGATGACTGATTCGTGCCAACTTTATCCTGACTGACGATTACTATCTTACTTACTCTTTTTTGGCCTAGGTGTAGAACAGGGCTGCCTGCCAAGCCGCCTCTCCGCTGCCGCTGCCGCCGCCGCCCACGGATCAATTTTTTCTCTCTCCATATTGATAAGGTCATTAAAAAGAACAAAATTAACGACAATTATTACGCCGGATTCGACGGCAATGTGCTGCAAGATTGGCCGTCTTGTCTTCACTCAATTCACTTGATTCACGACGTTTCTGTAAGCAAGTATCAATATAAAATCTTACCGGGCATAAGCTTTTGCGGCGCACACACACACACACACACAAACACACGGGACGAGTCATATTTTCGGTTCGTGGAAGAACTCGGGAAGTGGAGAGTGAAGCGAAGCTTACATACATGTATTACTTGGGTACCACTCCGCACTTTTGTCAGTGCACACATATGTGAGTGAGATGATGGGCCGGCCACACACTCGGCCCTTTCCGCTTTGTCTTTTGGTCGGCAGCTAAGAGCACTGGCTTCCGAGCAAAACCGTGTCAAGTACAACTTATCCGGTGGTTGCAAAAGAAAAGAAAAAAACAGAATTTCCAAATTGCAAATGGCCAATCTAGACGTGTGGTCACACGGGTTGCTGATCCGCACCGAGTCCGTTGTTCAAGAAGAGAGGGGGTTTCTCAACTAACCGTGCCTGAATAGGACGGCGAAGCTTGCGGTTCATGCCGATGATCCGCTAAATGCACCTCATGCCGGGCGGATGGTCGTGGCTAACGGACATGCCAGATGGAACACTCACAACGCTTCGCCGTTGGACCAAAAATAACCGTTTGGATGGAGAAGGTTCCTACGTGGCGAGGCTGCGCCCGAAAGTCTATTATCTGGAGAATTCAGGTACACACGCCGAGACTGAACCGCCGCCAGAGCCACCATCCGCGTCTCGCTACTGGCTCGTTGCACGAGAGCTTGTTTGCAGATACAGATAACATGGCACCAACGGATCGTCCTTTTCTGGAGCGACTGATACCTTTATTTTCCAGATCTTGTCACCCATGTAAATCGTACATGGCGTGGAGCGTGCTTTTTGGACAGATGGTCTGGAGCTGGGAGTGCTAAGGTTTGGGATGTGCTTGATGCACTGGACCAAGCCACTGATTCTAGGAGACTCGGCAATGTGTGTTCAAGCACCAGGATTTGATGCTACAATGCATCAAGTATGAAATTCAGTCTACTTAGTATCACAGGTCTTGTGGATGTCAAAGTTGATCACAATGATATATACTAGGACGTTTATTTGAGCGGACTAAACTTTCTACAACGACAATTACACTGATCACTTGCAACTACGAGCAAACCGCCGCTCTCATAGATCCTCGAAGAAACCAAGTATCCAACTCAACAATATCCGTTTATAGCATCCCTATCGCACCAGTACCTCACCCTCGAACATATCCAAAAACATTACACTCCTCAAGATCTTCGCAGCCCTACTTGCCACATCAATACTAGCCAACGCACATCATCGACGTACATGTCATGGGCACCTTGGTCCCCCAAATCCAAGACGCTATTTTCAATCTGCTCTAAAGAAACTCGTCTCACACGCTAACCTTGCTCCCCAAGCCGAGCATGACATAGTCCCGGCTGACGCAAAAGTTTAGGGCGGCATTGTATCAACGGGTAAGCTGGTCATCCAGAAGACAAAGTAGCAAAGTAACCCGACATAACCACGTACCCGCACATCTCCCTCCCTTTCAAGTTAAAGAGAAACGAAACGCAATAAAAGAATAGAAGAGCAGATTAATCCACTCCAAACCTGTACAATCACCCCACTCGCTCGGTGAACAAAGACCACAGATGACTTCGCGAAGCGTATCCAGACTAGCACTAGTACATCCCTCATACCGTACCGTCCTAGGACCTACGATACCCGTTTTGCACTACGAACCGTTGTTCTGTTAGTGCCATCAAATTACACACACACACACACACACGCGTGTATAGTGTGCTGTACTTACGGCTACGGCCGCAGCACTAAATAAACTACGGCGAGACTACGGGCCGTAACTAGCTGTAGTACGGGCCGTAGGGACGCGCTGAAACACAATTGTTGCGTGGAGCATGGGACGTGGGCGTGTAGTTTTGTATCGCGGCTGGTTCTATTATAGCTGGGATGATGATTGCCTGGGCATGGACGGTGATGGGCGGCGGCTTGTCTTTGCGGGATATCAAGGCTTGTGTCTGAAGGTACAAAGTCTAATCAGCTTGGGTGTATTTATGCCGTAAATGCCAAGTATAGAGTTCAGCAGTAGGTTGGGGGAGGATTTTGGGCTGGGAAGTGTGTTATATAGCGCTGGATGTAAGCGGGTCAAGGTTGATACAGTGCCATATTCAAGAATACACCGAGGTGATCACATTAAACAAGGAGAGAGAAAACAAAGCCTGCTATTTGAGAAGTACGAACAAGGATACACATCTCCGAGCTCACAGAATACGAAAAAAAAGATAAACTACAAATCAAGAAAACACACACACACACACTCTCTCTCTCTTCTAGAACACACTTCCCAACGCCCACGTACTCCCAAAATCATACTCGCCCTGCAAACAGCACCACCCTAACTCCCCGCATCCATACCATAGCAAGCGGTGAAGTAAAGCGCCCAGCCCGCATTTCCTACTGAGAATCGTCCCCGCAAGCTGATACCGAAACGAAGCCAACAGCCCAACATGCAGTACCCATGTTCCCACTCTCTCACCAATCCCAGCGACAGCACTCTTCACGCTCACCGACACTCACCGCAGCCTGAAACATGCATAGAGTAGTTGTCTATTCCCAAAGCTCATCACTCGTCGAGCAAAACTTCATATTCCTCGCCATTCACACTCACAACCCACATTCTCATCGCTCACCAGCAACTAGCCGCCATGGGCCGTTGTATTTGTACCTCTGTCGCCCGCCTAGACGCAACTCTTCTCTTTTCTTCCCGCGACTCTGCAAACTTTCCCGAAGACAAATATACCTACGTGCTTGACCAACACCGCAACAATGACAACCAACACGGAAGCCATGACGCCTCCGCCCACGCCCAGCACCAACACCAACACCAACACCAAGTCCGAAGAAAACAAGCCCACGTCCGGAGGAGATAAAAAGAGCCCTTACACCACCGACGTTGCTACCCTCCCTCCAAGCGGTGCCCCATCCCAAGCCCACATCCTCAATCTCCCGCTCTCGCCTACATCTCCTCTACCCAGCAGCAGCAGCAGTATCACACTCCAAGACGCCATCGCAACCACACTATTCCACGTGTCGGCCTCAACACTCTCGCAGTTCCTCAGCCCGCAAACAAGCGTATTCAAAGCCGTGTTTGGCAGCAGCAAGTACAGCGGGATGCAATTTGTAGTTTGGAGGCGAGGATGCGAAGTATTCGTATGTAAGCACTTTATTTCCTTGCTTGATTCTCAACTAAGTACATGATGCGTATTCAGACGGGTACATTCGAGCACCACACGTCGATAAAGCGGTTCCGTTTCGAGCACCTCGCGGGGTGTCTGGTCGGGTACGACGGCGCGTGGCAGCTGCGCGTGACGGCGAGTAATGCGTATGCGGCGACACGGTGGGGCGATGTGTGGGCGGGCAAGTTTGCGTGTGAGGGCGGCGTGGCGAAGATGACGGTTGAGGTGGATGAGGAGGGGATGGCGGGTAGGGGTGCGGTGTTGGCGTGCGAGATTGTCGCGGGTAGGTATTGGGAGGGGAGGGTGGATGTCAAGTGTAAGTGAGGAGGGGTGGTGGTGGAGAGATGTATATGGATGTATGTGGTGGGTTTGGGGGAAGTTGATGAGGATGGTTTGGAAAAGTCAGTGGGATGCTTTGTGAAAGCCATTGACGGTGCTTTATGAAAGTCAGTAAGGAGACTATGGAAATGCCTTGGGCGGGGAGAATACTGTACCGTAAAAAGTCTTCGTCGACTTAGATTCAAATCTCCTGTACAGACTCAAAGCCTGGTTACGTCCATGTCTCCAACGCAATCTCATTCCTCAGATTTCCTTGCCATAAGATCAGACCCTTCACTTATACCCGAAAACACAGTCGACACATAAAATAGAGGGCGAAGAATATGATGTTATTTCTGAGGGGTATCCAAATGCACACAACCATGTGCAAAATGACGGGTAATAATAATAGGAAAATCGGTGTATGGATGCAAACGCCTGCCCGTCTATTCCAACAGTTTGCAGTGTATCCAAAAAGAGGAAAAGCCAAAAAAGATCAAAACGCCCACGTCTAATGCAGCACTGTAGATGCAAAATGTGATGCATGCAGGTCGGGAGAAAAAAAATCACCAGTTGCCTGGTCCGAAAGTCTCGCCTTTTGGTACTTCTTTGTAGGGACAGGCTTGCCAGTCGCAACCCTAGCATGGATGTCAGCAATTGCTTGAAATAGACGAGAAACAGAATGGAAAGCTCTCACCTGCTTGTAAACTTCTGTACCCCACCACTTGAAGTTGCTCATCCAACCTGGGTATACGATACCAAAGAAGATGACCACTACACCAAACGCAAGCCCTGAATCCAAAGCCGCGCTAAGCATCATGTTGTACTTTTTCCACCAAGCATTTTTCCGGTTTTTGATTTCGTAGTTGAACAGGTAGCACACCATGGCCCAGACTGAGAAGTTGAGCCCGGTAGCTGGGGGAATCCAACTCAAGCTGCCAAAAACAACCGCGAGATTCACTTTGCTGAGGATGGACTTGCGGTTTCCCCGCGCGAGGTAGTAGAGGATCACTGGTGCGATGGCACCGATAGGAAAAGCCCAAACGAGATGTTGGTAAAGCGCACCAGGGCCAAAGAATTTGCCTGGCCCAACAACGCCCCAGAGGATGCTGCCGTTGAAATGGACGCGGGCGATCGGGCAATTGAATCCGTTGATGGCGTCGGCTGTGCAAATACCTGGAATGAAATTGAGCATCCAGTTGAGTACTCCGATCTGTGTGAGACTGGAGATGATCGTGACGGTAAGCTGCAGCTTGAAAAGAATCCGTGGCGGGATTTTCATGTAGTGGCCAAGCTTGAGGTCGGAGGCGAACTTCAGACCTTGGGTGGCGGAGATGTAGCCAAATGTTGTAAAGACCATATTGGCAACCGGACGACCGGGAAATATGACTCCGCAGATCAGTTGGCAGATGAGGTAGATGCTGCTTTGCTGGTTCGTAATGGCCATGACAATGCCAATGGGAATGAAGAGGACTGCCCCGATGCCGAGTGCCAGCAAAAGACCATACCAAGGCAGATGGACAGGATAGTATTCGACAACGAACATGCCGACGGCGGCCATGCTCAGACCAGTCAGTACGTACCAGGAAATCGGTACGTCTTCGTATCGCCGCATCAACCGGTTGTGTACGTCTTGCGCTGATAAAAGGTCCTCAACATCCGGCTCAGAGTTTGGACTCAGTCTACGTGGATTGGCAGGACTCTGACGGTCTTCTGAGCTGTTTACGAGTGGCTGATAGTCAGCTGCAGACTCTTTTCTGATTTCGGCCCACGAGCGACGCCATTGCCTCCAAATGTCTTTTCCATACCAGAGTCCCGTATGCGAAAGTAGAGCGGTCAGACCAGCGAACTGGAGAGCGTAGCTCAGCACATATGTAATGGGAAGGTACACACGGCTGTACTTTTTGTACGCCTCTTCGTCAAACAAAAAGTTGTCGGTCAGGATCTTGCTAACATCGTATGGCTTTCCACGGTTGTCCCAGACGACCGATGACAAAATGGGCATGTAGGACGAGTAGAGGACGTTCTTGTAATCTACACATTGTCAGCGCCAGAGAAAGACTATCTGGACAAACTTACACATGATGGGCGCCGCAATCCACATGACGCCAACAAGTCCTCCAAGAATGTTCATGGCGGCCCAAAACGGCGTGATCAACGGAGATCCAATGTATGCAATCTGTGCCCAGTCAAAAGTCACGGGGAACAATCCAAGACCAGATGAGATTCCAAACTGCAAAATGTCAGCAGACGCTTCTGGTGTGAAAAGACTCAGCGTACAAGGTTAGCAACGACCACGTTCTTTGGCGCAAACCAGGTGATTACGTTGAAGTAGCTCAATGCAGGGAAAAGCAAGCCAGGGAGAAAGTAGAATGCCACGGATCCTAAGAATACGCGACCGAAAAACTTGCGGGGCGCAATTGTCCAGCCGTCGGCCGGCTTGTTTTCTTCCTTGTGCAATGCAGTGAACATGGCGGTTGAAACCAGCGTACTGGGCCATATCATGCCGCTGGGTCGGACGAGATAACGCCTGGTGATGCCGGCAAGAGAGTAGCCCAGTATCTGGGTGGAGAGGATAAGCAGTACTTGGTACATGATGCCGAGGTCCTGACGGTAAAACTTGACCTGTTCGACAATGACCTGTGCATGTTAGCTTTGGAGTGTTGGTTGCTGGACGGGTTACACACGTCGGTGGCGAAAGCAAAGCCGAAGGAGACATTGCTGCTGACATAGACACAGCAGTGTTCCTTTTCATTCCAACGACCTTGAGCGAGCCAGAGGCGTGTGCGACGCTTCCAGTCGGCTTTGGTTGGTGCATAGGGCGAGCGTGTCTGGACGCATCCATCGACGAAAGTCTCCTCGGGGTCGTCGTGTCTTTTGAAGAGCTGGTCCCACAGGAGACCAATGGGGTGGACAAGGAGGAGGGCAATAATAGGAGTCAGGCTAACACTAGGGTATCGTAGGGAAAAGAATAGGTTTGTGGACGAGCCGGCAATGGAGAAGATGATGGAGAGGAACCACATGCGCGGTGTATCAATGGATAGGGAGAGGTTGTCAGTGGCAGCGACCGAGGCCCTTACTTGGGCATAGGGCGAGTTGTCGGACGGATTGCCCTTCATATCGTGCAGGTCAGCGTCGTCGTCGGTGTCGGAGGCATCATCATGGTCTAGTGTGGTGCTCGAAGAGGTTGAGCTGTCAAACAGTGGCGCCGAAGCGTCGAGGCCCGTGGCGTTGACTCTGGCCTCGAGCCGGCCTTCCTCGTGACCACCAGAGGCTACACCAAGCGTTGTGCTGCTGCTCCGGGCGGCGTCTCCTGTCCTGCGGCGCGACCTGGTGGCACGCGAGAGCAGAGTGGGGTCGATGGATGGATGATCGTCCTCGTCGTCACTGGAGGCGGACAGGAGCGAAGCATCACTTTGCGCCAGTCTGCTCTTGCCCTTTTTCTTTGGCGAGGCGCGCAGCCCACGGCCTGTGTGGGCTTCGTCTGGGCTCGACGACAGGATGGGCAGGCCGCCATAGGAGCCTAGGGGGGGGGCAGTCAGCACGTGCTGCAGCGAGACGGTGGATGCGCCGTGTGCAACGTTGCGCGTGTGCGTGTGCGTGTGCGTGAGTGAGTATGTGCGGGGTGCGAGAGGTGCTTGGGCGCGAGATAGGAGGTGGTGGTGGGCATCATGGCGCGTCGCAAATGATTAGCTTACCCGTGCCCTGCGCCGGGCTCGACCTCACCAGGAGAGGCACTCTCGACATGGTGTTTGGGGGGGAGGATGGGGGACGGATCTCGGGGCGGCCAGCTGGCAGGTCGGGGTCGTCATCAGATCTGGCCTGGGACGGCGAGGCAGTGGTACTTGTTGCTTTTGCAGGCAGCCTCTGTAACTCGTAGCCGGGCGCAGCAGCAGCAGCAGCAGCAGTGGCAGCGACGGGACGGGCTGGGTGGCGGCGCGGCTGGGGCGAGGAGGGAGCAAGGGACAGCAGAGACGGCTCGCACCCGGCCTCGTTGGCCATAAGTAAACGGGAGGGGCGGGCGCATCCACCAGGCGAGTTGGCGATGGCGATGGCTGTGCCTGTGCCTGTCTGAGCCTGTGCCTGTGTGGGTGCACGCGTTTGTCACGCAAGCCGCCGTATACGACGGGCGATAATCAGATGATCAGATAAAGCGCGCGGGCGGCGCTGCTTTGGGCGGCAATGGGCGACAAAATCTGATTAGATGACGCGCGCGGGCGGCGGGGCAGCCAATGGGGGCGCCGCAGCCTCTTCACGTCAGGCGGCTAGATCCGAGGGGCCATGTGGTGTGTGTGCGCATGTGGGGGACAAGAAATCATCGTGATCGCTGCCATTAAAACCACTGCCGCGCCCGCCGCCGCGCTCTGCACTCTGCGCTCTGCGCGCTGCAGTCTGCAGGTCATTCAGGGTATGCTCCCATGCTCCCACGTACCTGCACCGGCACGGGTGCTGCGACTCTGCACGTCACATCAAACAAGCGCAACTTGCCTACACACCTGCTACACGCCTTGGCACACGGGCGCCTCAGCGTGACGTAATCTCCTTCACATGTACATGGCCAGGCACCCCCACGTGCTGGCTGCTGGCCTTGGGCGCGGCGGTGAGGCCCTCAGCCATCGCAATGGCGCCCTCGGGGTCGTCCTTGTTATACAGAAACAATCCTTGCAGCGCTGCCGTGCTCACCGCGTCGACGAGGCCCAGCTCCCTCGCCTTGGCCATGAACCTCTGCTTTGCTGCCCCGCTCGCATCAAACTCGGCATAGAACCGATCCCACAGCTGCTCCATCTGGTATTGCGTCGCCTCGCCCAGTCGAACAGTCATGTCCACCCGCCCCGGCCGCACCAGCGCTTCGTCGAGCCGCTCCACGTGGTTGGTCGTCAGGAAGATGATGCGCTCCTCGGCACTAGCCACGCCGTCGAGAGCGTTGAGCAGCCCCGAGAATGTCACTGACGCGCTGGCGTACCCATCCGCCCCCGGCGTTTTCCGGTTCATAAACGCAACGTCCACGTCCTCGAGCAGCACCACCGTCCGCCGCGGCACCTTGGTCAGCAGGTGGTTGAGCCGGTCGTCCGTCAGGCCCCGCTCGCTGACGTTGAGTATGGCAATGTTGAAGTCGAGGTGCCCCGCAACCGCCTGGATAAACGAGCTCTTGCCCGTCCCCGGAGGCCCGTACAGCAGATAGCCTCGCCGGTACGGTATGCCCCGGTCCAGGTACCACTTGCGTGATGCAATAAACGCCTCCATGTCCTCGACAATTCTCTCCTTGACCCCGCGCTCCAGCACCACCGAGTCGAGCGGCCGCTTCCGCTTGGCGTCGCCAAACGGCTGCCACATGGTGCCCATCGAGTTGTACATGACCGTCTTGCCCTCCTGCGACTGCTGGTAGATCTGGTGCGCCTCGGCAAAAATGTCCTCGAACATGTCGCGGTGCGCGTACAGCGTCGTGAGGCTGATCGTCTCAAACGGCACGCCGTCCTTGACGTTTAGGCTGTTTCGCTCCCGCTGCCGGTCCACCAGGATGAATGCATTCTTGTACCGCAGAAAGTGCTTGCCCGGCCCAGGCACAAAAGAAAAGTGCGCAGCGTGCGAAGGCCCGTCGGGCGGCGTATACGTCTGCACCTGCAGGTGATGCATGCGCGGGTCGATGCGATTGAGCGCTCTGGTGAGCACCGTATTGCGGGCAAGCGGCCTGGTGCCGGCCTGTTGTGCGCGGTGGTAGTTGGTCATCCATTGGAGCACCCACGGATAGGCGTCATCGTGGCGAGTGATTTCGAGGTCGACGAGCAGGCGGCGCTTTATAAAGGCGGCGCCATGCTGCAGTCCTTTCTGGCCCGTCCGCGCCGCAACCCCAAGCGCTGCGAGGCCGAAGCCCTATGCCATCAGTGAGCACACCTCGACCAGTCACGTCAGGGTCAATCATACGGCGGTAAAGAAGGGATTGTCGGCAATGTGCGAGAAGAGCGACCCGGAATTGTCGCTGCCCGCAGCAGCAATCTGCCTTGCCAGCGCGTGTGGTGGCGTGTTGGGGTCCATGGGCTGGAGAGAGGCTCGCGTGTATACAAATTTGATAGGCCCCGGCCGCTAGCGCGCCATCTGAGTAAGAAGGCCGCTGCGGCGCGTGCCCATGTCACACAGCAAACAGCCCAATCAAGCCCTGACAGCTCGCCTGCCGCACTCGGCCCTCTTGCTGCTGCATCCAAGGACTGCATGCATGCCACTCAACGAGACAATTCAACAAAGCACACAAACGCCCCGTGTGTGGCTTCCAACGCGCCCAAGACGCAGCTGCAGCGGCACCAAGAATCCGGGGTCGCGTCGCAGAGGCGATCGCCCTTTCCCAACGCTGTGGAGTAACGGAGCGCTAGGCCAAACTGGGCCTGGGCCTGGACCATGCCTGATAGCTATGATAGCCATGATAGCCTGCCCCCCGTCGACTGAACTCCAGTCCTATCTTGTTGCAACAACGTCGTCTCCCACTTGGAGCCCCAGCCCTTCCCTTTCCTATGCGCCATGGCTACCGTAACCATAGGCAAATCCTATTTCGAGGCGCTTCTACGAAGGTAACCTCTTGCACCACTCAAACTTGGCTTGCTCGACGCTGTTTGCTGATGACTTCCAAAGGGCCGAATTTGCTAGTCGACTTCCAATCTTCCCCTGCATCTATCGGTATGCTTTGTAGCTAACTTCTGTCGCCAGCATGCTTCTACTCAGCACGGCAGGTACGGCACTGACCTCTCAAACACTGTCACCATCACCAAGGCAGAGCACGAGCACATAGTGAGTCCTCCCAGCATCAAGTTGCCTTTCTTGCTCAGCCCCCTGGACTGACGGCCCGTTTGTGTAGGTGCGAGCGCTGCGAGAATACCGTATGTACACTTCAGTTGAGCGCGCTACGCGACACGCCTCGACATACTAAATTGTCTCTGACTATATCTAGATCTACTCAAAAATGCCTTGTTTCGCCGAGGGCTAACAGCCGAGACGCTCGAGACACTGCTCCAAGATGAAGGCGGCACTACAAACGAAGAGCCGTCGAGCCATGGCTATGAGTCGGACCATACGCCTGTCAGAGCCCGGCCTGGAGCCATGGCAGGACATGCACATGATCAGAGTACTTTTGGGAACGGCACACAATCGACAATGTCTCCACGTCCACACCACCGAGCATATCGGGAGCCTGAGCCTTTCATATGCAGTCCTGGGAGTCCACCCGACGACGATGACGATGACGAGACCCACTCTCCCAGCCAGCGTATCCCGCTTCACACCCAGCGGACCGTACTGATTACAAATTTACCCGAGCGCACCACTCACAAAGACCTGGCAAGCATTGTCCGCGGCGGAAGGCTCCTTGACATATTTCTCCGCAACGATCGTACTGCTACCGTCTCATTCGTTGAGGGTGCTGCCGAGTTCCTTGCATACACCAAGCGCAATGATATCTATCTGCATATGAAACGGGTAAGTTACATTAGTGGCATTTTAGTACCAAGCTAACATGATCAGCTCGAGTTCCGCTGGAGCGACAGACAGTTCCACGTACCGTCGCACGTGTCCAACAAGATCGCCAACGGTGCAACTCGGAACCTCGTTGTACGGAACGTTGCGGGAAAGGTCACTGCAGACCAGATCCGAGACCATCTAGACCATATCCACAACCTGGTGGTGGTTGACATCTACTTCAAGAACGGCGATGCCTACATATCGACCAATTCCGTGCACAACGCGCTCTTTGCCAGGACCTGCATGATGTCGCGTACCGTGTACAAGGGCGCGCGCATCGAATACTACCCTGACGAATGCGCAGAGCCACTACCCCGGCCCGTGAAATCCTACGCTCACACTCCAAGTGTTGCGCCAAAACCAGCACCTTTGGTCAACCAGTACGCTCTCTTGGATGCTGGGCTCGATGAGGATTCTGGGTCGGAAGACGAATTCTACAAAATCCATGGCGTACAGGTCGATGGACGCCATTTCGCCGACGGTGTAGCAATATAGTCGACGAAACAAAGTTTTGCCGGGGCCAGCTCGACGCGCCTTCTGATGCCGTAAGAAACGGTACCTTTTACCCAGCAAGGATGGGGTCCGACCAATTCACAGATTGTTTCACCAACTCTTCATTACTATACACCCAGAGTAGCCGGGACGGTGTATAGTCTCCAGGTATACTTGGGCCTGGCAGCCCGTGTGCCCGTCTTGGGCAGTTTCTCTTCCTACATAGATACCCCTTTGTTACTGTAGCTTTTTCAGAAGAGGCTTATCCTGATTATGAATAAAACTTTCTACTATTGTCACTTTACAGGGTTATCGCTGATCAAGCTCGTTTAGCTTTAGCGAGCATTAGCTTGCATAGGATGCACGTCACCGAAGCCGCTCTGTTCTCGAGCGGACTTGGCCGAGATAGCGAAGCTCAACCTTTGAACATACCAAGTCCTAGATCGAAATACCAGAGTCTGGAAAATCAACATGGCACCGTTCGTCAAAGTGGCTGTTATTCAGCTTCATCCAAAAGTACTCTTTCCCACACGTTATCACGCCCCGCCAAGCTGCATCCCGTCACTGCCCCGCTTTCACTCCTCTCTTCGCCATTCTTCCTCTGATGATCAAAAGCCAATGCATCCTATAAGCACCATTGCTGACCTGGGTAGCCGCTAGACCCCGAACACAACTTCACCAAAGCTGCAGCCCAGATCCGCTCAGCAGCAGCGCAGGGAGCCGAGCTTGCCGTGTTACCTGAATACCACCTGACCAATTGGAAGCCCAAGGACCCAGCATTCCTCGAGACCGTCGAAAAGTGCTCAGGGTACCTGGACAAGTACCAGCAGCTAGCGCGAGAATGCGGAATATGTGCGTATCCTGGGCCATCAAGGCCGTTTCATCCTGTTGATTGGCGTTGCTAACCCAAGCACGTAGGTATCGTTCCCGGGACGATAGTGGAAAGCCACAAGGAGAATGAAAAAGAGCAGGACCGGCTACTGAACGTGTGCTACTTTATCGACCACCAAGGCGCCGTTATCGGCAAATATGTCAAGAAGAATCTGTGGGGCCCCGAGCGCGAGCACCTCACTGGGTCTGGCCGCGATATCCACGAGGTCTTGGACACGCCGATCGGCAAAGTAGGCTTACTGATATGCTGGGACCTGGCTTTCTCCGAGGCCTTCCGCGAATTGATCGCCCAAGGAGCAAAGATCATCATTATCCCCACCTTCTGGACTCTGAACGACTGCAACGAGGCAGGCCTGCGGCAGAATCCGGCGGCCGAGGCCCTCTTTCTAGACTCGATGCTGACAGCGCGAGCGTTTGAGAACACCTGCGCTGTCGTATTTGCCAATGCTGGTGGTCCGCCCGGAAAAGGATATGCCGGGCTGAGTCAAGTGACGGTGCCGTTTGTGGGCGCGCTGTCCAAGCTGGGCGGAGGCGCCGAGGGCATGTGTGTGGTTGACATTGACATGGGCGTGCTGGAAGACGCAGAGGCCAACTACCAGATCCGGGCTGACTTGGCAAAGGACGACTGGCACTACGACTACCGACATGGAAAGGCAAAGACGGAGCGCGGCAGAGAGAGACTGTGAGAGTCGTAGTAGTAATTGTACAAATTCGGCTTGGCTGAAAAGGCAAAGTACTTTGCGCCTTGATACATGGCTACCACAAGACGGTAACTGTGGGAACAGAAGACGAAATATTCCAGACTCCTTCTACTGCTCTAGCTGACAAATGGCCATATTCTACACCCATGCCTCACATGCAACATGCAATTAGTCGTCGTCGTCGTCTCCTCGTCTCCTCGTCATGGTCATCGTCTACTGCAAAGCTCGTCACAATACAAAAATAGCAAGCGATGTTCACCACAAACGCCTCTGCGGTTCAGCTCGAGGCGTCGTCGCCACCAGGCGGCACACTCATGAGGCCGCAGGCCACAGCCCTCGCCGTCATTCCCGATTGATCGGTAGTCCAAGTTTCGCCCACGACGATGATTTTGGTTTTGCCGCTCTCGAGGAAATTGGCCTCGTCGTTTGTCAGGATCTCGGCCACCTCCTTTGCATAGACGCTGCGGTAGAAGTTGAGAAAGTGGGCCTCGCTTTCAAACGTCGTCTCGGTGATGCAGTCGTAGTCCATGTCGCCGGCCTCGCCCCTGAGCGTCAGTGGCGGGCGGTCCGGGTTGGCTGGGGTGCCGAAGCCTTTGCGCAGTGTGCGGGCTATGTAGCGCCGTTTGAAGGTGACGGGCCAGCAGTGGGCGAGCAGCGAGTGCACGAGGGGAATGTGGGTGCCCTCGTAGTAGTCTCTGAATTGCTCCGAGGTGATGTTGTGTTTGCGGGTGAGGAAGATTAGGGTAGTGTACGTCATGCTAGACAGGCAGGTGGGTATGTATACAGGAGCTTGGTGGGCAGGCGGTGGCGGAGAGACGGGCGGTGGCAGGGCAGGCCGATTAGTCGCAAGGCATGTATGTAGCAAAAGTGGATTTGGCTTTGAAGGGGCGGGGAGAAGCGTTGGAGAAGCGTTGGAGATGGCGGCTGGTGTGGTAGGCTAGGCTAGCTGGGCATCCACACGGCCGCTCGGGGGAAATGGGAGCACGCAGGCAGCTTCTTGTAGGGGGATCTGGGGGCAGGCTTACTGCTCGTGCAATATTATCCATAATACTCGCGCCGAATACGCATTATGCCGCCTTGGTTGATACGCCATGAGGAATGGTGCACTAGGGTCAGGCTACGGGCCTGGCCCCACGGATCCTGCTCGCCCTGGGGGAGGGGCCATGTGCCGGCGGAGCGATAGAGGGCGGGCGCCGGTGGTGTGAAGTGGGAGTCAGCTCGATGGCGAGAATCGGCGCTCACGAAAGACTGCAGCTGTCTCTCTCTCTCTGTGTGTGTGTGTGAGTGTGTGTGTGAGTGTGTGAGTGAGCGGATGGGGGGTGGGGTGAGGTGAGGTGAGGGTGAGGGTGTGGGTGCGAGCGAGTGAATGCCCCCCCCCCATGCTGTGCCCTTCGGCCCCTTGCCTCCACCCTCCGGAGCAGCTGGCCGGGCGGGCGGGCGGGCGGCCAGTGGTGGTGGTGGCTGACTGCGACTTATCGATAACGAGCACGACTAGGCAAAGCGCACAGAAGGCCCAAATTTGCATATGCGAAGGCGGGGGAGCAGCACACCCACGACCAAGACAACGCCCACGACCGCCACGACACGACCCGCCCCGCATCCATCATGAGTCTGCGCGAGCGTGTGCCGCCGCAGTACCAGAATGGCGAGCCCGCCAGGCGCGCCCCGGACGACGACTCGGACGTCGAGGAGGAGGCCATGGCCAACGACTACCGCGAGCAGATGCAATACGACGGCATGGAGGACCTCGACCGCATGCCCTCGATGACGAGCAACCAGGACATCCACGCCCAGCTGCAGGCCGCCGCCACGCCGCTCGAGTTCCAGGCCACGCTCGAGACAAAGTTCGCCAGCTACGACAGCTACTGCAACCTGTTCCACTACATCCTCAACTCCGAGGGCCCCGTCGACCTCGAGGTGCCAAACGTAAGACAGCACTCCTCCTCCTCCGCCACCGACGCCGTGGCCATGGGCGTGCAGCCGGGCTAACTCTGCCGACAGTACTACTGGGCCTGGGACGTCATCGACGAGTTCATCTACCAGTTCAACAGCTTCTGCAGCTACCGCCAGCGCGTCGCCCAGAAGAGCGACAACGAAGAGGAGATTGCCCTGCTGCGCGAGAACCCAAACACATGGGGCTGCTACAGCGTCCTCAACGTCCTCTACTCGCTCATCCAGCGCTCGCAGATCAGCGAGCAGCTCGCGGCCATGAAGCGCGGCGAGGACGCCAGCCTGTACGCCGGCGAGTACGGCAACCGCCCGCTGTACAAGATGCTGGGATACTTTTCCATCATCGGCCTGCTGCGCGTCCACTGCCTGCTCGGAGACTTTAGCCTCGCCCTCAAGACGCTCGACGACATTGAGCTGAACAAAAAGGCCATGTTTGCCCGTGTCATGGCCGCCCACTTCACCACGTACTACTACGTCGGCTTCTCGTACATGATGATGCGCCGCTACTCGGACGCCATCCGCATGTTCAGCCACATCCTCGTCTACGTCTCGCGCACAAAGAACTTCCAGAAGAACGCCCAGTACGACTCCATCACCAAGAAGAACGACCAGATGTACGCCCTCGTCGCCATCTGCGTCGCCTTCCACCCCACCCGCCTCGACGACACCATCCACACGGCCCTGCGGGAGAAGTACGGCGAGCAGTTTAACAGGCTGCAGCGCGGCGGGCCCGACTCTCTTCCGCTCTTCGAGGAGCTGTTCCGCAGCGCCTGCCCCAAGTTCATCAGCCCCACGCCGCCCGACTTTGACAACCCAGAGGTCAACATTGACCCCGTCGAGCACCACCTGCGCATCTTCATGGACGAGGTCAAGAACAACATGATGTCGCCCACGGTCAAGAGCTACCTCAAGCTCTACACCACCATGGATCTGAAGAAGCTCGCGGGCTTCCTCGAGGTTGAGCCCGAGAAGCTGAGGTGCTGGCTGCTCGTCAACAAGCAGAGGAGCAGGCAAATACGGTGGGCCGAGGGCGGTCTGCTGGACGGCGACATTATCCAGGCCAGCGACCTCGACTACGCCATGGAGGGTGTAAGTAAAAGTGTGTACAAAAACTCCGACACGAGTGCTGACAGGTTTCCCCAGGATCTCATTCACGTCTCCGAGGCAAAGGTCGGCAGGAGGCTCGTCGACTGGTACCTCCGCAACCTGGCCAGGACGTACTAGGGTGTCACGCGGGTTTTCAGACACCACCTATTCACATTCGGGACCTTTTCAATAGAGCATTGCGACTTGGAGTTGGAGGGTTTCACGGGCATGCATATTCGAAAAGCAGACTTTTTTATTTTTGCAAGGCGCGAAGCGCGACGGGGCAAGGCGAAGACACAAGGAGAAGGGGGTGGGCCAGCCGTTGTAGGGTATCCATGGCCGGATGAATGATACTGCCCGCCGCGTGCGAGGTTCGGGCCGAAGGAAGGAAATGACTACCTGGGTAGCAGACGAGCAGTGGGCATGATGAATACCAAAGAAATTATGATGATTGCAAATTGGTTGTTTGTTTGACTCGGGGACAGACGCGTGAACCCCTGCTGGGGTATACGGGCCATGTCTAGCAGCAATCTGCTCAGGCCAAAAGCGACCGACACTATCACTACAAGCGCCAGGCGGATGTGTACTAGCGCGGTGAGCCAGACGGCATCGCACTGGACCAAGCACCACTTCGCTTCTACTCGACCAACATCAACCAAACAAGATCGACCAGCAGGCAGCGCTTGAAACACAGAGACGTGCTAAGGAGGAGCAAGTACGTTGGCAAGAACATGTGAATCAAGTGAAGGTGCCCGCCCGTCTCGGTCGCCCACGCCGCTGATGCACTTTTGTCGCCATCGCCCGATGCTCCCGGACACACCAGCGACGCTCCGTGATCGAGATTGCTGCTCTGCACACCGACTCGACATCAGCTCCCTTTTGTAACTGAGGCCCTTTGTTTTCCCCTAAACGGCGGCTGCATTGCTATTTCCCTGGCTCCGGCTACGGCGGGGTAAAAACTGATCAGGACAAGTCACGTCTTCCTCTCGCGAAACGCTCAACCACCTTCTTGAACAACAACCCCAAGCAAATCGCCATCACCACCACGCCGCCTGAAAACTACATTGCCCCAACAATGGCTCCCGATGCAAACGCTGTGTCTGCATCCTCGGTCACGAGCAATCCGTCGACCACCCAGCCGGCGTCGGGCTCGCTGTCCCGCCAGACGTCTACGCCAGCTTCCAGACGAGCTTCCCAGATATATCCCATGGGCCCTCCACCGCTGCCTCTAGCTTCCCCCGGAGGGACCGCAGCACCGCCTACACAAGCAGCATCGCAGCATGGCCACGCGTTCCCCCCTCTGAGTCCGGGCCACGGTGGATATGTGCAGACGAGTGCCGACGCTGCAGGCGTGCCCATGCGACACCCACGCCCAATGACGGCGGCCGAATTGCACCTGGAGCTGGAAAAGGAACAAGAGGCCGTCGTCAACCGCTTGACGCGCGAGCTCTCGGCGCTGCGTGCCCACTCGGCGTCGGTGGCCTCGACGGCCTCGCTCTCGAGCGCCGCAGACTCGTCGGTCGCCCACGTCGAAGGCCTAACCGGTCCCAAGGGAAATGGAAGACGGAAGACGGAGGGCAGAAAAAAGAAGAATAACGGGTGGACGAGGAGAAGTAGGATGAGGAGGAGGTGGAGGAGGCTGTGTATGTAGGGTAAAGGAAAGGAAGGCAAATATCACGAAATCCGACCAAGTAAAAATCTTCCTGATGGATGGATAGATGGATGGAATCATGTCTCACGTCTCGCATATCACGTGTCAATACCACGTATCACACCTCACTAGCGCATAATCAACATAACAATCACACATAAGTATAACAATCAATCCCACACATACATAGATACACATACATAGCGTAGAGAGTGGAGAGTGGAGAGTAAAGAGTAGAGAAGGGGGAGTGTTCATTCTGCCTCTCCCAACCGAACCCTCCTTGGACCCCCAAACGTAAAATGTAAAATGTAAAAAAAAAGACCGTGATAAAGAGACCGCGATCAGGAGACTAGTCTCCTTCCCCGCTAAAAGAGAAAAAACAAACAAAAAAGGCAAAGGAAAGAAGAAAGGAAGATGAGATAAAATTGTCCCCATATCTAATCGCTACAACTCCGCATGAATTCCCAGAGAAAAAAAGCTGTGTTTCGGCACTGTTAAGTAAAGAAAAAAAAGAGAGAATGAGAAAAGTGAAATAGAGAAAGTCGTCTGGTTCGGATTTCCTTCCACCCCCCCCCACCTCAACTCACGACCCCACCATCCATGTACCCATGTCAAGTACACTTAAAGTCCTAAACACGATGAATCCTAGACAGCAGCAGTAGCGGGATTTCCATTTCCATTTCCAGTCTGCGGGGCACCCGAGCGACCCCTCTGCGCCTCGCCATCCGCATTACCTTTGAGCTGGCGTTCGAGATCCCTAATACGCTGCTTCAAGGCCTCGTTTTCCTTCTTGACTTCCTCAAGCTCGGCCTTGTGCTGGGCTACCTCTTCATAGCGCGGGGTGCTGAGGACGCTGGAGCTGTTGCGGTGATCACGCTGGTGATTGGCGTCGTTTGCTGATGGGGGCTGCTGCTGCTGTGACGACACCGAGTACCGGTGGGGGACGTGGGCTGGCGGCAAGCCGGTGCGCGAGAGGCTGGAGGAGCTGCGGTGGCGGCGAGAAGACGTGGGGTGCACTTTCTTTCTTTCTTTTTTGCTTTTCCACGGCTCGATGTCGATCTCTTTGCTTTTCCTTCAATATGGCTTTTTTTGGCTCCTGCGTCTTTGATTTGCAGTTGTGTTTTGATTGGCTGCTTCCGCCCCCACACACACTACTCCCCCCCCTCTGTCTTGCGTGGCTGTACTGGTAGGTGGATGGGGATGGGGATGCAGTGTAGATCATCCTTTTGTGCTCATGCAGGTATTGTAGTGTGTGTGTGTGTGTGGGTGTCCATCATACGTAAGTGTGTGGCAGTGCAAATAGGCAGTGCTGGGACTATGTGAGTGGGTAACGTAAGTGTGGAAGTAGGAGATTGGGGTTGGAGTTTGCTGTGGAGGGATATGGAACGGGCGATATGGGAATGAGAATGGGAATGGGAATGCAAAGGGTAGATACTCGACATACTCAAGATAATAAAGCTCTTGGTCAGTTCTTGTTACTTGCAACGCGGATTGTAGGCGAGTGTAGCGTGCAGTACAGTCACATTCCATGCATTACACCAGTTCTACATCTACTTTTCTTCGCAGCGGAACGCTGATTATCATACCCGTGCCATGGATTATGTATGGATATCTACAGTATAGCGATTCAGTCCTTTCCTGCCGCTTCTATCCAGTCATCCCATTACCATCACGTACACATCCATACGTGAGATGCTATCGAGATCCCACCCGCATTGGCGTTAGATCGGCGTCGACGTTGGCGTCTGGAATGACTCAAGCACAAGTAGCGAATCCAGTATCCCTTTTACTAGCACTCCTGTCTGTGTGGGGACTTTTGTGCGTGGCATGTGCGGCATGTGAGAAGGCATGGCGTAAGCTGTCCTTTTTTTTCCTTTTTTCCTTGTTGTTGCGGTTGCGGTTGCTTTTGAGCGGGCGCAGTCAGGAGGCGCGGGATGTACGTCATCCAGCGTGGCTGCGTGAAGGACAGAGGTGGAGACGTAGCGAGTACGTAGTAGGCTGGGTTTTTTTGTGTACATGTAACTGGGAGGACTGGTTTGAGCGGGTTCAGAGTAGGTATATATGTATGCTTGGTTGTTGAATACACTTGGATGGCTTCTGGAATACTCGTTTGTACACTGAACCTGCATTTCTTGTTTTACTGGCCTTTTCTAAATCTCTTTTTCTTTCAAGCTTCATCTTAGCGGTGGATTCGTGTATAGACTACAAGGTTTATTGATTTGAACGGCAAATTTAACGGCCAGGACGCAAAACGAGGAAGAGAAACGGGCGAAGCTCACGACTGAGAAGAGGATTTTCTTTTGTGAAACCCACACGGCAAATTCCAACATTCCGATCAATCAACCAACAGAGAAGACAAAGTAGCCCGCAAGAAGAGAGAAAACAAGTACTCGAAAACTATGCCCTGGTTCACCACATTCCGCACACGCATAACCGCCTTGTCGCCTAGTAAGAAAGCGCGGACAAAGAATACCAATCGTGTTGCTCTTAAACCTCCACTTGGTACATCTCTCTCCCCTACTATCCCTATAGAATCCTCAACTAACAACTACAGACCCCCTAGTCCTGCCTCCTCCCCTCCTCAGCCTCACACCCCCATCACCGCTTCCCCTCCCCCCACCAACACCAACGCTCCAACCAACGACCGCGCTCCCGCCTCCCACGCCGCTGCAACGCCCGCTGCTCACACACATACCCACGGACATCATTCTCGCGACGGAAAAGGGAATGATATCAGGGGCGCTCTGCTGCACGAGTCCCGTTGCACAGGGTACGGCGACATCGTCTTCGGCAGTGGCGAGTGTAGAGTTGGAATCAGAGGGCGAAGATGACAGAGGCCGTGATGGGGAGGCATGTGGCGTGCATGGAGTTCTAACGAGGGGCGAGGAGGCGTGTGTAGGGGTCAGGGGAGGAAGTTGTCAGGGGAGAGGGAGGGAAAGAGAGAGACGTGTGTTGTTTAAGGGTGTGGATGTTTGAACTTGATATACCAGTTCGGGAAAATAAAGGAGTCTAAGGTGGTGTTTTCCAGAACATTACAGTTGTGCTGAGGAGTTTGTAAAAGCATGATATAATATCTACTGTTGTAATGTGAAAAGGGACGTAAAGAAATCGCGTTATTCAGTTTATAGACGGCAAAATGTACGTTAGTAGCGAGTATATTGAATTGTAACGTCAAATATCTAACGTTGAATGCGTTGCTCATCGTTTCTCCATCCTCATGCAAGGTAGAAAAGAACCAGTACGTAGCCTACTCGAATGCATAAAAAAGTAACATACGCCATGCACATGCAAATGCAGTTCATAAAGCGAGACTTCGTGAAGAAAGAAAAAAACAGTCTTAAACAACCCTCCTTCCACCAGTCATCTTTTTATTTTCGTTATGCCTCTTTGCTTTGAGGGCATCGCGTCTCCGCTTCTTCCATGCGCGGTTCAAGTCGCCTCGATTCTCCCAGAACCACTTTCGAAACTCGCTTTCTGGCTTCTCGGCTTCAGCGCCGCTAATTGCGTCTTCGTCCTCTTCTGCCACACCAGCCAACTTGCTGGCATTTGCACGCGTATTGTGGGTCAATTGCTGTCGTGCGTCTACGTCCAGGTCGCTCGTGTCCTCGTCATCGATTTCTTGACTGGTTCCGCGCCAGTTGAACGAAAAGCGGCGGCCAATGGCAGCGGTGTCGGGCGTCGGCGCGGCGCTACGGAGTCCTCGCCATTCAATGTCTCGTTGCGTGTATGGTGTGATGGGTACGTCCTCTGTCGGCCTACCGACCTCCATGTCATCATCACTTTTGTTGTTATCAAAAAAGCTGAAAGATGTGTCGATAGGATTTAGTTTCTTGATTGGAGTCGTAGTGGAGCCATCGGCGGGCTTTGAGCGCTTGAACAACGCCTCGAGTGGATGGACCTCTTTTTCGACAGGCACAGATTGAGCAGCCTCCGAGGCCTTTGTGCTTTTGACGGTTGATGTAGGGGATGACACAGATGGTTCGGTTTCTGATTCGGAATCAGAAGAATCTTCGTCTTCGGAAGAGGACGAGACTACAGACGACTCCTCGTCTTCAGACTCGGATGAGGATGGCGGAGGCGTGGCTTGCTTCTTCTTCTCTTTTGCAGCCTTGGGTGTAGAAGACGAGGGCTTCGACGTGCCGTCAATCCATGCTTTGGCAGCCTCCGAGGGCGCATCTACGAGCTCCAGAGCTCTCATAGCCTTTGCTTTTCCAGTCTCTGGCTCCACAACAACGCCATCCTCGTCCACCCAGCCCTGACCATTGACATAATCCACTGCGGGCTTTGTGGATATTTTAACCTCTGGCTGCTTCAGGAAGCTGGGCGTCTTGGTGTTCTTCTCAAACTCATGGACAATGACCTCTGTGGACTTTGACTTGTTCTTTTCTTTTTTCTGCTTATTGTCCTTCTTCTCTTTGAGCGCAACCTCCGTCGCCGCAACTGGAGTCAGCTTCGCCTTGAACAGCAGCTCCGGCTCCTTGGTGTACTTGGAGTGCTTGCGCTCTTTCTTGGCTGCCTTATCGCTCTTGTCCTTCTTGTCCTTCTTCTCTTTCCGCTCCTTTTTGGGCTTCGTCTGCGGCTCCGTCCAACCGCGCTTGACCTTCCTGTCTTCAGGCAGCTCGACGCCATCTATGACGCCCTGTTCTTTCTTTTTCCGCTCCTTCTTCTCCTTCTTGTCCTTTTTGGCGCGCTTGGACGGTCGGTCCGCCTCTTGGGCTTCTTTTGCGGCCTCTGCTTCTTCGCGCGCCTTGCGCTTCTCTGGTTTCGCCATTTCTATGCGTACCTTTGAGCCCTTGAGGATGGTGCCGTTGAGCTTCTTCTTGATCTTTTGCGATTCGGCCTCTGGCAGCTCTACGTAGCCAAAGCCCTTGTCAGGAAAAGTCGCGACGGTGTGGTAGGAGATGTTCCGCGCAAGGGGCAGGACTGAGGGCGCAAGGTAGACCTTGAGCAGGTCGGGGCGGAAGGGCGTGATATGCAGGCGGACAGTCTTGCTCTCAGGTTGCGCTTCGGTCGAGATAGGCGCCGGAGCTGCTGGCATTGGGTCGCGAGTCGGCGCACGTGCGACAGACAGAGAGAAGGAAACGTGTGGGCGAACAAGGTCGGGGGGCAGAGGATAGAGGAAGGAAAAGTGAGGCCTGACCGACGCCTGCACGCGCGGTGTAGATGTGTCTCGGCAGTGGAGGGGAAAGGAAAATACTTAGCGTGACATGGGCCGGGCTATGCGCCTAGCGCAGACGCGGGCGGAGGTTTGGAGCTCCACCGCGCCCGAATACGCATGGCTTCGTTCCATCACGACCAGCCTGACTGGACTTCCTTGACCCTCTTGACAGCACCGCTCCCTTGGCGTGCAGTCACGCACCATGCGGCGACCGCGATACGCCCTGTTTCTGCTTCTGACCTTCCTCTCGTGCCTCTCGATATCCCTCGCCGCCTGCAAGTGTCCCCCTGTGCCAGTGCTGTCCCCGCAAACCCACCGACTGACAATTCACAGCGCCGACATCCTTCTGCAAATGCACCTGTTTCGGCAACAGCACAATCGTAGCCCTCGACGCACACAGCGCGGCCAAGAAGCCTGCTGCCGACTCCAAGCCCCGCGCCTCCAAGAAGACGTGCAACGACTGCAACCGTCAGTTCTGCCTCGGATACAGCTTCTGCACCGGAGAGAAGGAGGAGAACGTGCTGACCACGTGCTTCCAGCGCGACTCGGCCAAGGACCAGGCCGTCGTCTTCATCTTCATCGGGGCGACGGTGGGGCTGCTGGGCTGGGCTGGGCTGCGGCCGTGGATCGAGGGGTGGAGAGAGGCACGTCTTCGTCTGATACGTATGCTGAAGCAGGGCTAACTAGATGCAGCGCGCGCGAGAACGGCGCAGTTACATACCCGTGGCAGGACAGGGCGATCAGTAGGAGGCAACATGCGTTGGATATTGAAACATGGATCCGTTATGCGGCATAGATACCCACCAAGACCAAAGATGGCTTCAGACATGCAGCAACGCCATCTGCATACGCTTGGTGTGACAGCATTTGTACAGGCTCAAAGTGTATAGTACATCAAGGTCATCCGAACCCCCTCACATGTCGTCATCCGCTCTCTTTTACTCCTTCTTGGATCCCCCCGTTGCCCACCCAAACCAGCCCTTGCCGGCCGTCTCTGCCTTGTGGACTGCCTTCTCAGCAGCGCTGTCCAATGAACCGCCTGCGACCGGTGTTGGTGCTGCCGGTGCTGTGTATGATGTGTCGTTTGCCCTGGCCTCTTGCACTGCGGCCGAAATGCCCAGACTTGTATTTCCCTGGGCCTCTTGCCGCTTGATTTCTTCCATAGCCAGCCTTCGCTGCTCTGCAATGGATTGGTCCTCTTTCCAGTCACCGTGCAGCCACCACAGCAGCTTTGAGGGTGCTTTGCGCTCTGCCTTCTTCTTCTCCAGTGCCTCTTGCTCTTCGGCAATGCCTGTGACCAGAGCAGCCTGTGCTGGTGTCGCAGTCCCAGATGCAACGGCGGAGCGGGCCGCCTCGAGGATCCTGGCCTGTGTGCGTTCTTCTTCGGCAAAGTAGATTGCTCGTTTCCGCCGGTTGTAGACAATCATGTCGCCCACCGAAAAGACGGCTAGAACACCGACGCATCCTTTGTAGCCTGTCAGCCACTGATTCTTTGACACACGGATGCAATTGACGCGCGGGAAGCAGACATACCAGTCGCAAAGATCAATCCGTAAACGGTAAACCTGTGCGCCGCATCCGCCGCCATTCGGCCGTATAGATACATGTAGTCCCATCTTGTGACCTGTGCCATCTTTGCTCGGTTCGCCGCCTCCCGTAACCGCTTGACTTTTTGCTGTGGCGTTTCATTTTTCGGCGCGGGATCAGCGAATTGGAGCGTCGTTGCCCGCCCGCCGGGCCGTGTGTGCGCCCATACGCCCGTGGGCGTGAAGCGCGTGGAGTCCTTTGGCGACTTTGACATTGTGGGCGGCGGGCGCACTCAAGAGTCGAGTGGTGGGGATGGTGGGTGGAGGATGCCGGAGGTCGAATGATTCGACGATTTCCAAAAGTTGAGATGGACCAGGGTTGGATGCGGAGATTGCCGCCCCATCTCCATCCAGCCAACCTCGATGCATGCCGCGCTACCACTACACAATCCAACCATTTCCCGCTCTTGGGCCACAGGGCGTGCTTGAATAGCCGCGTTGCAACATTCGGGGTACAGCATGAAAAGCTTCGCCTGCAAAGTGCTTCTTTCCTTTCATCCTGCTTGAAACAAGCGCAAGCCATACGCGCCATGCGCGGCCATTCACACGCTGCACTTGCACTAGGCTCCACCTCTTGAGATACTGCAGACTTGTTCTCGACTTGCACTTTTACGCATTCAACCTTGTGTCATAGACATGGCGGAAAACAGTCAGCCAAACGCAGACCTTGCAGCTATTTTGGCGACTCTCGCGAATCTCCCCAAGCCGGAGGCTCAGCCGTACCAGGACCAACAAGCATACGAACAGCATTACGCACCCGCCCCGAGCAACCACTACCAGCAACAACCAGCTGATCCTCGTCTTGTTGGTCGTCCGGCTCCCCAGCACCGACAGCCACATGCCAAACCCCACGACAGAGTTGCGTCGCCGCTCATCGACCCTTCGACCATCACGGAATGGAAGCAGGGGCTCCGCTGCGTCAGCAAGATTGCCACGCAAAACCCGGATTTTGCTCCGGCAGTTCGCAAGGTTTGTGCTGGAATGATTGCAATATGCAGTGGTGCTAACATGTGTACCAGTTGATGAAAGACCAAGAAGCAAATGTCAAGTCATGGGAGGCAGGCCGCAGGAATCTCATTGACGAACAAAAGTTCAAGCGTGAGAATGAACGGACGCATCGAGCTGCTTTGTATGTTGATTGTCTTTTTTACGAGACTCAACTGACGTCCTTAGGTCTTTGCCCGGTCTGTTGGAAGGTACAGCACTGCTTCGTGTACGGCTTGCAGTCTCCATGCCATGGTATTGGTACTAACACACCACAGACGCCGGAACGCGAAAAGGAAGAACTTGAACAGTACGATGCCAAGGTGTATCGAGCTTGCAAAGCCATGGTCGAATCCCAGACGTCATCGCTCAAGGTGCTGGGCGTTCCGTTTTTTGGAGTAAAGCCGTATCTAGTCGTGGGCGCTGCTTACGATCCAATGGAAGTGGCAGACGCGCCGTCAGCTCCGGAAGGGGGCAAAATCACCAAAGACCAGCTCCTGGAGTTGCAGAGGAAGATGCTCAACCATCTCATGGAGCTATATGGCGACTAGCGTTGCTCTGGCTGTGCGGCGGAGGGTTATGAGATATTGGAACTGACTTGGAACTGACTGACTACCGGGCTTTGTTTGTACATGCGCATCTCAACACAGTCCCCAGTTTCTTGTTTCATTTCACTCGGACTACTGTATATGTTTGCCGTGTTGACATCACTGGTCTTCAGCGGGCAGGAGCATCGAGAGCCACTCACCACGCACGAGGCACACGCGGGCAAACGCACGCGGCATTTGGTTTTCCCATTCCGGTCATCGGCCGTGCTGCAATTGGCTGCTGTTTGTTTGCTCGCAGTAGACTAATCTCACGTCGAGCGATCCCAATAATTGCCTCCTCTCCAAGTCTCTCACTTCACCTCGCTACACTCCACTCCACTCATTCAGCTCTTCAGTCGCCACCACATTCTTTACTACTTCCACTCCTTACTTCTCTCTCGCAACCCAATCGCACTCTCTCATACTGATTCGCGTCTCACTCGAAACTAACACTAGCCGCAAACATGCACATCATGCACACCATGCACACGCTCGCTTTCCTCGCAGCTACTGGTAAGAGAATATGCAACTCCACACGAAAATGCCCCCATTGCTTCAATTGATACTGACACAGGAGTAGCAGGCGCTGCCGCTCAGGCTGGCCAGTGGGGTCGCCTCGTGGAGCCCGCCAAGTTCGGAGTCGTGGCTCGTGATGAAGGCTGTAGCGAGATGCCTGCGCTCTGCACGGATTTGGTACTGCTACGCGGCCATGAGACGACTCTCACATACTTGTGTCCTGAGACCGAGGGTCCGTCTACCATCACTGTCACCACGACTGCTACTACAACTGTAGTTGGCAACGCGGGACCTACCACGTCGTCTGCATTTGTTGAGCCTCTTGCCTCTACTTCGAACGGGTATGTGTATCGAACGCGCCTTGAAATGATCCTTGCTGATCTTGCAGACCCGCTCCCACTTCGGAGCAGCCTACCACAACCACGACAGTCCAGTCGACGATGGAGGTTACTGTTACAGAGACGGTGCTCAAGGCCACCGCTAGTTCTTCCTTCTCACTAACGCCGGCTATAATCACTTGGTCCTTTCCGGCTATTTTGCCCTCTGACATGAAGTCGCTTCTCTCCGCCAGCCCAACGTGGTCCTCTGTCAAGAACGTGTCTTCGGCAATGCCTCATATCCCCAAATCACGGCCAGTTACCACAAGGACTTCAGTCTCCATAGACTTGACCTCTTTCAATTTGTTTCCCACCCACACGGTTGCTAATTCGTCTTCAACTGCCTCCTCGACGACCGTCTCCTCCTCGGCTGCCTACTGCAAAGCTCCCTACGCCAACAGCACCTCTCATGGTGGCTACAATGCTCCCACTCTGAATGTGGCGAGGGAGGCCAACTCTACTGAAACCGTCACCACCATTGCGCCTGTCGCCACCATTACTGGTACAGGTGTGGCTGTCGAGAGTCGCGTCTCATTTGTCGCACTGTTTCTCGGTGTGCTGGTCACTGCTCTCATGTTTTGAAGAGTACATGACTTTCGTCTTTGAGTAACTCGAAACAAGAATTTGCTCGAGTCAAGGTGTCTGCTAGACGGAACGGTTTCACGATCGAGTGTATCACGGCTTTATGAATCTCACAGTTTGTACATTATGATAAAATGGGAGGATGGTACGAAATGATATCAAGTGGTTTGATGACTTGTAGTCTAAGCTTGAAGCTTTTGACGCTATAAGCTGGCCGGCGTGAACTCGATATCCGCCCAATTTAGATATGATCCTTGGAATTGCAGCAAGATTGTGATACGGACAGTAATCTGGAGCAAAAACACTATAACCATGAATAGAAAGGTGGTACATTCACCCCGCGCGCTGTTGGTCGGCCATAGCTTCGCGACCAGGATGGGTAACCGAAGATGCGGACTCGCGATCCAATCACGGGCCAAGCGCGCCGCAACAACGGCCAACGCCAGAGGCCCTCCGTCTCTCGCGCACCCTCACCACCACTCAAGCTAGCAAAGCCAAAACAAGGATCCCGCAGGCCCCCCGCGTTCGCCGACCCTCACCTCCATTGCCGACAGCGAAACCATCTCCAAGCAATCATTAAGCCTGAGCTACGGAACAAGACTGGATCGACGAAGCCCGTGGTCGTCTTCGGATCTCACATACCGCCTTTTGAGAGGACAGCGCGGCCTGGTGTTTGGGGGAATTGCAGTCACCATCACGCGTACACCAATTTTCAGCCAGCATGGTCGGAAAGAAGTCGGGCAGAGCGCAGTTGCGCGAGGAGGGTATGGCATACACACTCTGCGCAGCAACACGGAAGCTAACAAGCCATAGGGCTGGAGCGGACAGACAACAACATGGAACTCACGACATGGCCGCAGGTTGGCATGATCAACCAAAAGAACTACTACACCGAGTTTTTGAAAAGAGACGAGCAGTTCCTCGCTGTGCGATACCCGAAAGATGAAGAGAGGGCGCGCATAGTCCAGGAAGCCAGGGACAAGGATCGCGCACGCGCATTGGGCGTTCCGACTGCTGAAGGAGCAACGCCGCAAGCTGCCGACGAGACCATGGAAGACGCAGAGGGGTCGTTTGCCTCGAGGACCGACATCTCCAAACTCATTGTGATACATCCCGGCAGTCAGAACTTGAGGATAGGGCTCGGATCGGATGCGCTGCCCAAGACTGTGCCCATGGTCATTGCACGGAAATGGAAAGAGAGCGAGGACGAGGAAGACGACGGAGAGCCCTGTCCCAAGCGGATGAAGGTCGATGGAGCTGATGCTGCGGACTCACCCGAGAAGTGGTTCGGAGAGGATGTAGGTTTATACGGCGTCGCAACCTACTATTGCTAACACATCTCCAGTTCGCGGACCAGTACATGGCCATGTCGTCTGAGCTGAGGACGCGAATGCGCTCCAACAAGCGACGAGTACTTCCCAATTCCAAGGATCTCGTCACAAACTACAACAAAAAGTCCCCTCCAGACATTATTTCCGAGCACAACGACATCAATCGCATCGAATGGACAGAAATACCCGCGGACCCAGAAAAGGCGCCCGACTTCTTTACGGGGAATGAGGCGCTACGGATCCCCGAGCGGTCCAACCCACGGTACAAGCTATTCTGGCCCATCCGGAATGGCACGTTCAATGAGAAGGACTACCGCGACCGCAATCAAATATACCACGACATCTCCAAGATACTAGAAGAAGCCTTCCGAAACCAGCTCGGAATCACCAAGCTCAAGGAACTTGTCAACTACAAGTGTGTATTTATCATTCCAGATCTCTACGAGCGGCAATACGTGACCATGCTTCTCGATATCCTGATGCGGGATCTTGGTCTTGGAAAGGTCTGCCTGCAGCAAGAGTCTCTCTCGGCCACGTTTGGTGCCGGATACGGTGTTGCTTGCGTAGTTGACATCGGGGCTCAGAAGACGTCCATCTGCTGCGTCGACGAAGGGCTGTGCGCCGAAGAGTCGCGCGTCAACTTGAAAATGGGGGGCGCCGACGTGACGGAGACGTTTATCAAGATGATGCTGTATGGGCACTTTCCATATGCGGACATGAACTTGAAGCGGAGGTATGACTGGTTACTGGCTGAAGAGCTGAAGCAAAAGTTTTGCTCCATGGACGAAGGTTCGGTCACGGTACAGACGTGGGACTTTCACCTGCGGGCTTCGGGGCAGGACACGCGCAAGTATACGTTCAAGACGTATGATGAGACTATGCTCTCGGTCATGGTAAGTAAGGAAATGACTGCGTGGTGCATCTTGCTGACATACATAGGGCTTCTTCAAACCCTCGATATTCGACAACTCGCGGAAACTCGAGAACCGAAGAAAGGTGGTCCCGCGCTCAGTGGACCTGTACGACGGATCACCCAACGACCCCATTTCGCAAGCCCAGATTGCCATTATCGAAGCGGCAGCAGGCAAGCCCGTTGTGCCGGCAATTAACGGGGCGCCAGAATCGATGAACAATGTAACCGTCGTTTCGACACCCCAGCGTCCGCAGCCGAATCCTTTCAATCTCCTGAGCCGTCTGAACGAGGGCGGCGAGAACACGCCACGTTCATCAGTAGCAGGGTCGCCAGGGCCGGAAGGCACAACGACGCCGAACCCCGACCGTGACACGCCCATGGGGGACGGCGAGGGGGCGCCATTGCAGCTGTTCCGGGATCCGATTGACGAGAAGACGAAGCTAGCCGAAGCACGGGATGGGATTCTGCCCATGCAAGCGCTCGACCAGGCGATTCTCGAGTCGCTGACGCACGGGGCCCGGGGCGACGACCGCAAGCTGCGGGACTTTTTCGGCGGCATCATGCTGGTGGGTGGGGCGTCCAAGACGCCTGGTCTCCGCGAGTTTCTCGAGATGCGGTTGCGCGAGCTGCGGCCGGGGTACGGCAAAGAAATCCTCGTGGGGCCCCCGCCGCGCGAGTTTGATCCCCAGGTTGTGGCGTGGAAGGGCGGAAGCGTGTTTGGGCGCTTGAGCAGCCATGGCAACGACGGGTGGATTAGTCGCTATGAGTATGACATGTTGGGGGCGAGGTTGCTGAATACAAAGTGTATGTTTGCGTGGTAGGATAGTTTTTTTTCTCTCTTTCTCTCTCTCTCTATCTATCTCCCTTTTTTTTTGCTGGTGTACATGGGCTAGGACTTGTATCAGTATCATCCATCTATCCATTCCTATTTCCAAAACCCCCCCATGGGTGATTGTCATTACCTAATCCATATAAGCTGCAAAAAGTATATCTCTCCAGTCACCCAAAACTCTATCATCTCCCCTGCACATGTCTTCTGCCAGATGTAACATGGATACATAGTTTGCAGTAGTCAAGCATATCACGTCATGTTATATCATTATCATATGCCGCGTACAGGATGCAAGTGAAGCGCTAATAATCCGAGTACTTTTATTATTAGGTCCATCTCAGTATCTGAAAAGCCACTCAAGATAACCACAACAACAATAACAATAACAATAATAATTATAATAATAATGATAATAATATCATTATTCGTACACACTAACACGGAGGTGAAAAGCGTGTCAGCAGGGTGAGTCAGCAGATGAGTAATCAGGCAATTAACTAATGTAAGTAGCGGTAGAGTGGGTGGGTAATACTAAACTAAACTAAACTAAACTAAAAAATAAATTGGAATTTTTTTTGTCCCGATTCGCCGTACGCAGGTGCAATTTACAGGCTGATATGCTAGGTGGGTGGGTAGGTTATGTGAGATTTGAGGGGGGGTAGGAGATTATCCACATTACAAGGGCGAAGATGTAATATTGAATAATGAAAGAGGGGACGAACTACAGTAAAGTTGTGTATATACGTAATACAAAACCAAGTAAAGTACTTATATTCGATTTAGAGGGAAGAAGATTTAAAAATAAAAAGGGGGTTTGCTAGGTATGTACATGGGATAATAAGATAGTGTCTCTACTCGTGTGGAAACTCACGTAATCTTTAGTTGCGAATGGATACTACTTGATTGTAGAGTGCTGTTTATTGTAGGTATTATGATTGGTATAGTAGCGATTTGTTATGATAATGATAATAATAACAATGACCCTGATAATGGTGATAATGATGACGATGACGATAATAATGATTATGATTATTCCTAGTAAACTATTACATACGACTAGTTCCTAGTCCTCTAATATACTTTTGCTAGGAATATATATATATATACATACATACATACATACATACATATATACATACATATATACATACATATATACATACATACATACATACATACATACATATATACATACATATATACATACATACATACATACATACATACATATATACATACATATATACATACATACATACATACATACATACATATATACATACATATATACATACATACATACATACATACATACATACATACATACATATATACATACATACATACATACATACATACATACATACATACATACATACATACATATATACATACATACATATATACATACATACATATATACATGTATTATACTATTATCAGCCTGCCTATTACATCCATCTATAGATTCTCCCTAGATACGCATACATCCATAAAAGGTAGTTGCATGCGTAAGATAAGTAGTTCCGAGCAATTTAGTTGCCAGTCCAATCTAGTCTAGCCTAGTTTGGGTCCTCCACCCCCTCTTCACCGCTGCTGCCCCCTTCCCCAACCTCATGCCACACTTCAATAACGACCCGCCAGACCGGTTTACGGTGGGATATGGAACCGTTCTAGAATTATGCAACCAATACAACCCCCCCCCTTTGTCGTTACGTATCCCATTCTGTAATCACGGCAACCTTTCCACCATGTCCATGTCTCCTAAAATACCCACACCCATACATACGTACATCTACATATGCCAACCCCTCGTATTGCGCATAGATATCCGTCACACACATGCATCAGCGATACCCGGATAACCGACCCCAACTGCCACATGATGCGTCACCCTACCCTGCCCATCCTCATTAAAAGCAAACCTCCCAACCTACCACACTAAATACGTGCTGACGCAACTGTCCGACCCCCCCTAATTTCCCTAAAAAAAAAACTCCGTCGACACTTGTTTCCTCCGAACCCCCCCCCCCCCCGCGCTAAGTATACACATAAGAACTAGTACGTACTAGTACGTTGTGTACACGTAGACGTTAGCCTAGAAGCAGCAAGACGAGGGTCCTGATTTCACAAACCAGAAGGGGAAGGATAATTGGAGTCATGGTGGTGGTGGTGGTGGTGTTAATTCAACATGTGGGGAAGGGTGGTAAGCGACTAGCCGCGTGCTCCCGGACATGGAGTAACAAAATTGTGCTCGGGGCATTGTGCATTCATGGGTTGATTTTTCAAGGGACTTGTTGGTCAGCGGGTGAGGGCTGGGCCGGGCCCGATGGAGAGGTCAAGATTGTGAGAGCGGCACGTATAGATATAGTGCGTAGATGGCGTGTACATTTTTTATAGTAGTAATTAGACGGTACTGGTTGCCTGTAACGTCAGTCATGGGCATAGCATGTAATGTAGGGCATGGCATGCAACTACTCTTTTCTGCATAGGCGGGAGAATCGCAATCAAACGCGGAGTGAATCGCTTCCTATCGGAGGAGGCGCGGAGGGTGCACGCGCGCGGTGTTTTTGTAGCGTATGTAGGCACGTAAGCTGGTTTCGAGGTTCCGGTTGAGCCGCCAGCAATCATAATCACTAGCCAAGGGCAGCGTACCGAAGCTTGTTGACATGTTGGTGTAGTGTACAGGCATGGGGCGAGTCTGGCCGAGCGTGATTGCAGAATAGACTGATTCAACAAGAGTGATCCGTGGTGGATATTGGCCAGGACGACATGGCGAGCTACTGTATAGTGCCTTGTGGGCAGGCTACTCTTTCAGGCCAATCTCGGAGGCCTTTTGATTGCAAAACTCGGCCATTTGGACGTCCTTGATGCTCAGGCCGTCGGGCCTATGCGTGGTCCATTCGACAGTGACGCGATTGTAGAGATTGGACCACGAGGGATGGTGGTTCTTGACTTTGCACTCGTCAGCGACTAGCGACATGAAGCGCCAAGCTTTGGTAAAGCTTGAAAAGGTAAATTGACGCGTGAGGCCTTTGCGCGAGTCGCTAAGGTGCCATTGGGAGAGGAGGGCAGCGGCTCGCTGGGGCAGGTCGGCGGGCTGGCTGACAGAGAAGATGATGTCATGTGCGGGCAGCGTGGCAGACGACGGGGTCAGGGTAGAGGTAGACATTGCTCGGAGGGGAGCAGGCAAGGGATACAGGCAGGATGTGCCTGGCTGGGGGGGGACAGGAGCGCGGGGCAGAGTCAGCAAGGACGTTTTGGTGCGACAGTGACACTGACACAAGGGCCGTGGATAGGAGGGGCTGTAATATGCACATTAGAGGGGACGGGTTCTGAGGTAATCAGGGTGAGCGTGCCAGGGCGAGTCAGGCGAGGGATAGGGTTGCAGCCGGTGCGTGGTAGACTCACGGGATCGCCCGGGCCAGACGCAGCGGAGCCATGTGGCAGAGGGGGGGTGGTGGTGGTGGTGATGATGGAGGAGGAGGAGGAGGGGTGAAGCCGGGTGGTGATGGTGGTGGTGGTGGTGGTGGTGAAGCCGAGGGGGGCGGGCGGGTAGCGAGGGTTGGGGAGGGACTATTGCGCGGTAGTAATAACAGCAGTGGTAGTAAGGAATGATAGTCGTCGTCGTGGCGGTGGAGTGCCGGGGGGCATGGGGGTTGCGGGAGTGTCGGATGCGCAAACTATGGCAGCCCGTATGCAGTAATCAGGCGGCGAGGGCGCTAGGCCGGATGCGGCCAAGGGCTGCTGGGCGGCTACCAGAGGCTCGGAGAATTGGTCAGCGCAGCAGTGGCAGCACGCCCAAGGCCATGTCACCGACGCCACCAGCAGCGCGCTATTAGCAGAGGCCACGGGCGGCGGCGGCGAGGGCGTGGCAGCGCATGCGCGCGTGTGGGTGAGTAATACATCGGCAGTGCTGTGCCTGTGGTGCGCTGTGCGGTGCCTGGGACGAGTGCAGAGTGCGCGCTGCCCCGGCGTGGCCTGGCCTGCCCTTGCCAACTGCGCGCTGCGTGCCTGCCCTGCCTGCCCTGCCTGCGCCCGCCCGCCAGCCCGCCAGCCCGCCAGCCCGCCAGCCCGCCAGCCCACGCCTACCCTCCGTACTTAAACGCCCAACGCCCGCCCACCTTAGTCAAAGCTGCGTAATCCACCGCCCGACCAACTGCATCATCCCATCCCAGGTGAGCTGCCCCATCACCCATCCTCCCTCAACCACACCACCGCCCGCCCGCCATCATCATGCTGTCGCTGCGCTGCCCTCTCGCCTTGGCGCAATGCACCGTTGCCGCTGACCCTTCTGGCGCACAGGTGCCCTCCTTCTCCCTCTCTTCTCCGCCCTCGCCCTCGCCCGCGCCCTCGCCCGCCTCCTCTGCCCGCCCGCCGCCCACGCCTCGCTCTGCGCCCGCCCATTGATCGCCCCACGGCCGCCCCCTCGCGGCACCCGCTCTACCATGCAGACGTCGGCCGCTCAGGTAAGCCGTGCTGACGCCTTCACGCCTCTTGCCCTGCTGACTGGCCTCCAGGCAGAGTCCAAGCCCACCATCGAGATGAGTTAGCCTCCCCCCGCATCCCCGACCGCTGTGATGATGACTAAACCACATGGCCATCCAGGCTTAAGAGAACATCTGCTCGCTGCCGGCGCTGGCCAGCCCACCGTCCAGCCTCTCTCCCAGCAGCCCCCGCAACAGCAGCAGCAGCAGCATCCTCCCCACCCTCACCCTGCCGCCCAGCCCCACGCCATTGACCCGGCCATTGGCGGCCCGACCTACGACATGAGTGCAGGCGGTCCCGACGACGGCAACACGAGCGAGGGCCGTAACAAGGGCCGCAGAGAGCTGTCGACGTCAAAGCGCGCTGCCCAGAATCGCGCCGCCCAGGTATGTGTGCCCTGCCCTGCGCTGCCCTGTCCCGCGCGCCATGCTAACCTGCCCAGCGCGCATTCCGCCAGCGCAAGGAGGAGTACATCAAGCAGCTCAAGGACCAGGTCAAGGAGTTTGAGCAGCTGTGCGAGCTGTACAAGACGCTGCAGACGGAAAACTACCAGCTGCGCGACTACATCATCAACCTGCAATCGCGACTGCTCGAGACGCAGGGCGAGATACCGCCTGCCCCGGCCGGCGTAGACCTCAACCGACCCCACGCCGAGCAAGCCAACATGCACCCCCAGCCACAGCCCTCTCAACCCGCACAACAGCCCGAGCAATCCCAGCAGCAACAGCCCAACTCGCAGAACAACAACTCGCACAACACCAATGGAGGCCTGTCGGAGCGCCAGATTGGCGAACTGCAAATGGCGGCTCAAGCTGCCGCTGCCGCCCAGCACAGCTCAGCGGCTGGCACCAAACACGCCAATGTCGATAGCTCCTACGACTACACCGACAAGCGCCAAAAGACCGTTGACGTGTCTCCTCAAGGTCAGCTCCTTCCGCTACCCTCGTTGCCCGATCCAATTGCTTATTAAATGAGCAGCCACTCCGATCAATGGCTTACCAGCGTAGTAGGCTCGACTGCATCTGCCGATTACGATGCCTTTGTCAACGATCTTCCCCAACCGGGCAAGCAGGCTGTATAGTAGCCATTGTCGCTTAATTCCTTTTCCTTTGCTTTCTTCTTACGACGTCATGCATGGGCTACGATGCTTGTCTAACGCTCGGGCCAGCGGTGTAACACGACTGGCGTATGGAGTCTGGTGTACGACCGTATACTCCCTTGATCTTTTAACTGTTTATTATTACTTATACTGAAGCACGTCCTGTGTTGCCGCTTACGCGCGTGTCTAGTAACTTGATGGGGAAATACCAAGTCCTTTTTTTCTTTCTCGGCAGCAAAGTGTGCTGTCTCTACTCGACCTCATTGACCGCTTGTCCTTTTTTTTGTGACATTGCTTCTTCTTGTCATCACTCGCAGAGATGTGGTTACTATATCTTGCCTCTGCATAATCTTGTATCTAGATACTCAACGTGGATATGGATTCTTCTTGATATTCAACAAGTGAAGAGACTTGAAGGTTTGTCGATAGAAACTGTAATCAATAGTATCTTGAAGCGAGTCAACAAATACTCATCACGTGAAATGGGATACATAAATATATGTTTATATAGAAAGGATACATCAAGTCGTTGTTATTCCTAGCCACCTACTGCTTTTGATAAAACTCATTTGATAATGCTCCCTTGTCTAAATATATAAATCTCAAAGGACTTGGAAATGTACATGCTGACATGTGCTGGTACCTGTTTCTACACGTGACCTCATCGTGTTAACATGACAGATTCTAACGCCATAGAGTTCATTAAGAGAGTAAAGTACTATATCCTGTGCTTTATACACAATAGTAGTAATCTATCCCATAAATGCTTACAAAAGGTCAGCGAAAGATGGCGCTGTTTATAAGTTTGAGATGTTAGATATATCGACATAATATCATAGCGAATGTCTCGTAGTCACATATGTGCACAAAACTAGCCTCTCACGCTAGCCTCCACTCCCTTCATTTACAGGCAGGTTCCCGTAATGCTGTCGGTAGCATTCTTAATGCTTCCCTGCAAGAAGCTACCTCCAGCGCACGCCAGTGCCTTGACAAAGCTTCCAGCAACATAATCCGCTCCCACGGCGTTGGTGTGCGTGTGGCCCTGGACAAACAGAGAATCCGTCTCGTCCTTTCCCAGTAGCTTCCACATGTTGGCCGAGTAGAGTCCGTGGTCAACATATGTGGCATTGCTGCCCAGCGCTGCGGCTACGTCTTTTGCGTATCCAACAAACCTGCCGCCACTCCCGTACACGAAACTGCCGCTCTCCCACGGGTTGTTGGTCGTCTGGCTGCTCACAATCACCTTGGCTCCCTTGGCAATCATCTGCTGGCCCGCCTGCTTCATGTACCAGTTGAACGTGTGCACCGTAACCTGCTTTCCATTGTACGTCGACTGGCACGTTTCGTCGCCCGTGCCTGCGCAAGGGGTGCGGCCATTGTCGCCCTGGTGCAGCGAGCCTCCGTCATTGTGTCCGAATTCAATCACGACAATGTCGCCGGGCTGCACCAGATTGGCAATCTCGTCGAAGCGCCCTTCATCAGTGAAGGAGCGCGCACTGCGCCCGCCAATCGCCTTGTTGACCACGTTGACGGTAAGCGAATAGGGGAGGTATACGCCCCAGCCTGGAGAAATCGTCAGACAATGCAAGCCTGTGTTGTTGTAGAGTTCCTTCACGTACCGGTAATGAGGGAATTTCCTCGTGCCATGGTAGAATCGCCGGCGAGATAGACGGTCGGCGCGCCGACAGCCGTGGCCGCCAAAGCCAGCACGGAAATCACACTTGACGAATACATTGCGGTAGAGAATTGCAGGATAATCTGTCTCTTCGGTGAACCTTTTCTACTTCTTTTTTTTTTCTTTCTTGAACCGCGGCCCGTGGGGGTAGAGAGGATGAGAGCGAGGGAAGGGTAAAAAGAGTAAGCAAAGCAAAGTCCCAATTCACCCGCTCCCCGGCCCTTCTTATACATGTACCATCCCGCTCATTCGATACGTCTCCCAGATCCAAAAAAAAAGAAACAAAAAACAGGGACACCGTGCACACGAACTGGATTCTCTATATTAAAAAGAGGGAGAGAGAAGGTGAGCTATAGATTTAAGCGTGCCGCCCGCCCGCCCGCTCTCCCCAAAAGCGGCTCCAGAACTTTGTGTACGTACAGGTAGAAACGAAGCGGCAGTATTTGTTCCGTAAATATACCCGACGAATAGCTCCCCCTAACAGACATCAATACTGCGTTACTTAACGCGCATCCTGCGCCGCCTAGCGAAGTAGTACCGGTGATCTGCCTGAAACGCAGCGGTCCAGTCCCTCGACAAAGTCGGTTTAGCTAGCTAGCTAGTTGGCCGCGGTATCCCCATCGACCCTTCCATCACATGTTCCGCTTCTTTCTCCACGCCCCAGCCTAAGTCATACCACCACTAGAATTCAGAGGGTGGTGAGCACAACTACCAAACCTTAACTTTTTTGGGAGTACGTACTCGACTTTGACGTAGTACGAGGGCGCGAGTCAGCTTATGTTAGATTCTTGTCAGCATTAAAGCATGTACTCGCGCCACACGCCAACCGGATGTTGGCGCTAGCTAGCTCAATGCAAATAACTAGCTCAACGTAAATCTAAAATCTATATACAACTATACTATTTAAGCTATTATAACTCTACTAATATACCTCTTATATCTTACTAAGTAGTTCTTTACTAAGATAAATCTTTAAGCTTTATAATAATGTTTGTTTATTTCTTTTTTCTTTTTAAAGAAAAAGATAAAGATAGAAAATTTCCTTGAAAATTCTTTAGAAAATAAACTAAAAACCTATATAGTTAAATATCTTTTTAAATACTGTAGGTATAGGGGGGAAGGAAAAGGTTATAAGATATACTATTACAAAAGTGATATTAAAAGGTTTTTAAGAAAAAGAATAAGAAAGTAAGAATGTATAGTGTTTTAAAAAGCGAGATTTTGTATAAGGGTTTAATTTGCGTTAAGCTGGCTAGCGCCAACATCCGGTTGGCGTGTGGCGTGAGTAGCTTTTTTTGCCGTGTTTAACACATGCGGTGTTAATGGTTGCATCTAGTATGTATGTAATAGCTGGGATTCTTTTTTTTCTATTACATAGTTGGATATTATGATACGTATGCTATAACTATTTTGCTAGGTTGAGTGGGTTGTTTGCCGTCTCCCCTTCCCCCTCTTCTTCTCTTTCCCCTCATTCTTCTTCTTCTTTTTCATTTTCTTCTTCCTGTCCCTCCCCAAACAAGCCCCGACCGGACAATTCCCGCGCCGAGAGCCAGGTGTCGAGATTAAATGCGTAGTACAGAAAGAGGGGAAACCGGTTACCCAACTAGGTATCCCATTGGTGTAACCACCACCCCGCTTGTGGTGTATACAGTATATTGATTGTTTCAACATGGCTGCAGCCAGGGAAAAATTAGGGCTATGCAATCCAATGCGGGCACATGCGGAGTAGGTGCAATGTCGTGCAGGCCGGCGCCGGCGCTAGGTACGCTGGTTGCAACGACCGGGCTATCTTGGGCCGAGGCCCATGGACATATATCCCGCAGCTTTGTGTTCGTTTTGTGTACGAAGCCGATGCTGAGTCTCTGGTCCTAACCCATAGAATACCGTGAGATATCGTAGATGGCATTTCCTGTAGCTGCCGTATTGTCTTTTTCTTTTCTTTTTCTTTCTATGTAAGATTAAAAGGGATGTTTTGGTTTCACGCTTGAAACTACTTTGCACAGCTCCCCCCAATGGTAAATGCCATGCTTTCGTCTTGCACTCGCAGAAACAAACAATTTACCCCCCGCATTCCAAGCTGCAGGAAAAGGCTTGTTTATGTATACCATGCATCTTCATGCAGACTATGCCGCATTTCTCCGTCGATCGCCGCTTGTTTCAAACAAGCCCATCGAATGCTTCCCCCCCTGTTATACCGTCGGCACCTCTGCTCATGTTAATTACCCTGACTCCAGCGTTCATGCGTGCTCTGGACTAAGATTGGAGTACTGCTTGGTTAATCCCCTGCTTGCTGTATCTCCTGCTTTCTGTATAGGCTGTCATGCACGGTCGCTGGGCACATGCGCCTCATAACCCATTTATGGGAAACAACATTGGCGGAGGCTTCTTAATTGAACCTTCTTAATGTTATGGATAACTACATCTTCTTGGTCGTAATAAGCCTTTGGTTACTGACTAGGAAAATACAACAGCACATGTCTCTAGCTGCGTCGAAGGAGACATACTTGGTGAGTTTATCATGTTCACTGGCCCATGTATATTCATCTGGGAATAGACTAGGGTGGAGATAGAAGAGGAGGGACTGGGAAAACATGTTTGATCTTTTCACTAATGTTTTGGAATGAGGTTGTAGAGTTGTGAACGTTTTATCAAAATGTAGGTTTAGAGACTGATGTTTCTTTGCCATCTAAACAGTTTAGACATCAATCTGCCGGTATTTTCAAAAGCTATATCTTGATATAAGATACAAAGAAGAGAAAACGCATATAGAAATCCAGTGGAGTTAGGAGTGAAGACACTGGATATAGATCAAACTTATACAGTTTTCTAGGTCGGTTTCTTTCTCGGCTACTTGCTCATCAATTCTAGACAAGAACAAAATATCTATCTTCTTGGGTTTATTACTTTTGTTGTAGCGTAAGCAATCCCCAACACGTCTTTCCGACCTTAATGGAGAGCTCTGAGGCTATATACTAAAGGTTCTAGCATGTCTAGTCTGTCAAAATACAGCTTGATTCTTTTCTTGGATTTAAAACAATTCAGACTAGTGAATTGGCTCTTCTACGCTTTATTTGCTTGTCTACCTAAGATTTAAATTAGATAAAAACTGTCACTAATACTAAATCTAGGGCCTGCATGTTAAGATTTGATAAGCTCTTCTTTTTAGGATTTCTGATACAACACTAGTTAACACCACTATATGGAGAGAAGACTGATATCAAGGCTGTTGAAGTATTCATAGACAAATCGATACTTGCCAGGTCTTGATTTCTATGCTATACTTAAACTAAGCAGTCTTCGCTATTCTACCTTTTAGTACCCTATTATACCTTGGAAATGGTGAATATTAAGCTACTACAGGACCAAAAGCCACAATACGGGCCTTGTTAGCCTGAGATAGGGGTTTCTAAGGATATGTAAGGTACCTTTGAGTACTGTTTGACAGTTCGTGCTCTCCAAACCCAGAAAGACTTGGCTTTTACAATAGAATCCTCACTGCTATTATCAGGTTTTGCAAAAAGATACATCAAGATAACTATTCTCGGAATCTGGAGACTCGACGATGTAAATGGTAGCAGCTATATTGTAGACTGAAGACAACTAAGCTAGTGTAGAAAAGCAGAGACAAAAAAAAAAGGATCAGCCTGGATGACTACCAGTCCCAATATACTAGCAAAGCGCTTAATATACTTGGATAAATAAAGTATCCAAACTGCCGTAACTGATTCTGTTGGCCCTGAGATATCAGACGTGGGTTACCCTGTGGTATACCCTGTGGTATACCCTGTGGTATACCCTGTGGTATACCCTGTGGTATACCCTGTGGTATACCCTGGTGTGGCAAGCTGAAAGGTGAAAATAGTGACAATTGTTGATTGCTGACGCCTGGAAAATATTGTGTAGAAGGTAGTTGACTCAAGGCAACATTGTGCGGGCGGGGACTTCCTGGTTGAGCGTGCGTATACAAGTTGTTTGGCGGCGCGACGGCGACTCTCTGGGTGCCCTGGATTGGCAGTGTAGTTGGACAGTTTCCATTCACATACGGGTAGTAGCCGCCTACTCCAAATGTAAAGGCGCCGCCTGGCGCATCATGAGAGTACTTTGCCACTGCACTGACGAAGTCCTTGCAATCATCTTGAAGGCCTCGCCGTATACATGCGTTGCAGGGTCTCTCGTCCCCTGTGCAAACATGGTCAGACAAATTTGCTACGGCACCACGATCAAGATAGCAACTGCACACTCGATGGTACTTACCACATGTCACATGGGCCCGCCTGCAGGCAAGGCATGCAATTTTAGCTTTCTTCCGCCGTGGTCTCAGAGATTCCTTGATTTTCGGCTTTGTGTTTGTATTCTCTTCTTGGTTTTGTCTTTCTTTGCCAGCCTTAATCGCCAGCTGGTTCTTTATACGGCCTTTTGCCCTAGGTTGTTGCATTGGGGAAACAAATTCACTATCTCGAGTTAACTTGAGTGTTGATAGGGTGAAAAGAAAAGGCAAGTGGTGAGCTCGTGCAGGAAGGCGACCGGTGAATGCAGGAGAAGTAAGGCAACACATGGAGGACATCTCTGTCTCCCTGGAAGATTGCATCATATGTAAGTCCCTCAGCCAACAGCGCCCAAAAGTAGTTAGCACCTAGTAATAAGCGAATAAGACGCTAGCAAGGATCAGCGCATAGGCGATACCGGACACCATCCAATTGCATCTCTCTGCCCAGGTGTCACATTTTACGCGAGCCGGTCTCGTCTCGCTCTCGTCTCGCACGAGCCACTCTCACATTTCGCGCAAGCCACCCTGCCTTACAGTTTACGCAGGCTTGAAATTGCATTCACATTCCTTACTTAAATATAGACAGAGTGGACATAGCGCAATTTACTTCATTTCACACCAGTTATATCAAGGCCGTACCTCCTCGATGCTCTGGTTTTAACACCTCTTATTTGTATGAATTTGTCCTTGTATTTCGATAACAGTTGATGATTGTCATTCACCTAATCCTGAAATATATCAATACTACAAAGATTGTTTTCTGATACAGACAACACGCCTACTTTAACACGACTATCTGGCCAAATGAGCGACGTCGGTAAGATTTGTGAGCTTCTAAAAACAACAAAGAATGGAGTCAATTATTCCATATTCAGACGGAAAGGATTTAGAAACGGACAAGATTTCGACTCCAGCATTTGCACCTACCACATCAGTACCTTGGAGGCCGTCAATCTCGGGCTAAAACTCCGCTTCACCGAGTCTCGACTTAATTTTCCTTTCGTCTCTGATGTGTTCGCTGGTATTAAGGATCGTAAATGGGTTCAAATTGTAGCTCGAAAGGACGCCTGTCCCGTAGCAAAATTCGTATGCTGGGCAGAGAATGGGGAGTTCATTACTGGCACTGCAGTTTTGCATGCCAGTGATGAACTACCTGAGAACCTCAAACTTGTTCCACATCACGATTCTTTCCGAAAGAAACTTCAAGGTATTTCTCTAAACCTGTTCCTTTTTCCTTTCGCACGCGTTGACAATATCTACCTAGATTATCTGAGGGACAATATTGAAGTCATCATACGGCAAGTTTCTAGAGAGGCTGTATGAAAGGCGCATGATACATGGGTACCCCAGTCGTGGAACTGGCTCTGAGTCGTCGTTTTGGAAACGCTTCGCACAAGGAGAGGCCACTGCTCGCTGTGAGGTGGCTACGACCCGGGCGCCTGCTGATGAACGACATAGTCGGGAATGCGGGTAGGAAGCAGCCCGCGCGGCACGGCCCCGATAGCCTGGCTGGGCATTGAATACTTTGGGGTTGACTTAAGACAAGGAACCCTATCTGTGCACAATCTCATTACATAGCGGAATGTTACATCGATTAACGGCTTTCGAAGATTGGTATAGTGGAATTGGTAGCAGCAGGCCCTTTCATAGCGCACAAACCCTGAAAAGTCAAAATATGCACGCGTTGGCGGTGGCGGAAGTATCACATCAAGCGAAGCTAGTCAAGGTAGAGGAAGGCGCTGAGATGGCGGGACCCAGGATGTGGGCGCATAACGTTGTAGCAACCACCTCCATTGTTGTGCTGTACATGCATGTTCTCATCTTTTCACGCCGTCATAAGGAATACCCCGCTCGTTTGAGATGTGGTATGTGAGAAGCCAAGAAAGGTGTCATGATATGTATGCGACGGAACTCATGCATACCATACTAAGTTTGGAGATGTGCCAGAACGTGCAGCTCAACATTTCAATCGACTAGGCACACACCGCTTCGCTTCGAGGCGTACGTATCAGCGCTTTGCGTTCGCGGACTGGGGTCCCCTCATTTCAGCTGGTACGTAATGCATGTCTCAGCCACCATGTCAATACTGAAGAACGCACAAAATGAAATCCAGGCAAAGAAGGCAAACAGGCAAACGAAGGGCGGACCTTTCAACAAATAAGGAAATACCGGTGTCAGCAGAAAGGGCTGGCTATAAAGACCCCTTCATGTCCGGTCTTGATATCAATCATATCCTACATCCTCTTGTCTCACAACCGTTACTTGACAGAAAGCCATTCTTAGCCATCCGCTACCTCAGAGACGACGCATGATACTACAACTCCACCTCTTCGTAAGACAAACCCTCCTACTTCTCCTTCGGCAGTTCCTCCCTTCGATCGTCCTCTGCAGCCACCGGCGCCGCCAGCATCGATCCTAGGTGCTTACGAGAATTTTCGCGAGATAAACGATCTGTGGGAGGCCAAATTCGGCATCGACAAGAATGGGGCTGTCGACCTTACTCCAGTACAATGGGCGACGATTTTTGAAGGAAATCGTTATCCCTACTTTATCCCAGCCCCCGTTGGTTTGGACATACTAGCATTGGCTGGCCACCTTTCTAAGGCTTTGAACTTAGGCGAGGGTCTTCTTCCTGCGATTGCAAAGAATTCTTTGCCTATTATTCAGAAACGGGCCGCTTTAGAACCGGATAGAGGATGCTTGGCCACGTTCATGAAATTTCAGATTACAGCATTCCTAAACAAACGTGTCGTGGTCAAACTAAAGGGGGAGGACCTATGTCGGTAAACTCAAGGTAGCGACTAACCACATAACCGCAAGCGCAACTGTGATGTCATACGACGGTTACAAAATTCGAATTTCTAGATCAAAAGCATAGAATTTGTTCTATCCCTTGGCAGCAGATGGTACTGCAACAATCGAGCTCGACGAAACAAACAACGAGAATGGAACCTGAAGAGGTATGACGTTGTTGGTCGTTGCCCAATGCTGTTCTAGCTTCGTTCAAAGAAAATGCCTCGTCCCCCGCCTCCAGGCCCTCCTCAGCTGTCGCTTCAGTGTGCTGTCGTCTTTCGATCGAACGACGCTCCTCCTCCTTCTCCGTTGCTTCCGTCGCCGCCAATGCTACATCAGTCACAAACTAAAATTTTCTTTGCATCAAAATCTGCCCCTCTTGTCAAACTAGTAGAGGCAACGAAACTTCAAAACCTCCCAATATCTTGGAACCAGATTAAGGACGTCATTTGGAATAGTTATACCGCGATTAACGAAAGACAAAACTCGAAGTTACTTTGGGACTGTATCATGTATTCTTCGAAAGGCTCCCTTGTCAATAGTCTCCTAAAGGAACCACCACTACGTCTCTACTATAATTTGCTAGTGCTGTTTGTTTCTACATGAACCACGATAGGGATATGGGTGGTCTCATTGGGGGGAAGATTTTCCCCGCCATCCAGGCCCTGGCTGCTCCAGAAGAGAAGGATGCCTCTTTGATCCGGTACTTGGATCATAAAATCACTACGTTTCTAAACAAGCCTGTCGTGATAACGGCGGGGGAAACATCCTTTTCTGGGACACTTCTAGGTTCAGTCGACCAACCGGATGATTGCGATCATCAACTGGAACCCAGTGTCTACATAATGCGGATTTCTGGATCACCCCCTTCGAATGTCAAAATTGATTTGAAAGACTTCACTCGGCAAGATTATTCCATCCGCCTCGACTTAACAAGCCTCGATGAATCGAAGAACGAGAATGCAGCTGAGGAATTTGAAAACGTATGTAGTTGTTCACCTAGGCACTATTCATTGCTCTGTCATCTGTATTGTCGGATTGACGTTTGATTGGGATCTGCTCTCTCTGTTATCTTCACGTCTTCAACCTTTCGTAGCTCTCTCGCTTCCCCTGTCAGTCCTGCTTCTTTCTACTCCCTTGCTCTTTTGTATCCATAAGTTTTTGAGTCTAGGACTTTTCATACATTTCGTAGTACAATACACATCTCTTGATGCCAAAGCTTTGACACGTTGATGACCTTGGCCAAGCACGAAGTTCGTTGAATTTAGTATAGGCATATACCACGCAAGGCAAGAGAAATTCATTTACATACATGCGGGGCGTTATGATGTCTTCACAGCGCCAGAAGCATACCCTAGTTGCATACGGGTTTGTACAGAAAAGCGTTAGTGGCTAATCTCCTTGCGCGGACATGGCGTGCCCATCGTACCTCCTCCCTTATTCGTGGCCCACCACTTGTCGCCTCTCGCTTGTCACCTGCGGTTTTCCTTTTCACTCTAGTTTTGTCATCCCTAATATATAGATACCGTTTCGAGAGCTGGGATCAAGGGTTGAGAGAATAGTTCGTGATTGCGCTTACTGTGACAGGCGTCGTGCTAGCTTGTGAACGAAAACAACAGTGGGGCGTAACACGCGTTAAAATGAACCAAAATCCCTAGTTTATAGCGGGATGCGGCCTGCCCGCCCCTCCATGGATGGCTCGGTATGCCTCACTCCTGCTTAGCATCCTGGTCGGGGCCAGCGGCTGCCGTCTCAGCGGCCTTTGCCCCACCCTTTCCACTAGCTTTATGTAGGCTGTCAGCCGCTGTTAGCCCTCTAGCATGCCACTGCAACTACGCTTTTCCCGCTAGTTTTGGATTCTGCGCGCCATGCGCCAAGGAAAAAACGTCGTATCGCACCTCGGGAATGTCCTCAGCTTTTAGTTAAGCATTAACACGCTTGTGTATCTCTTCAGCATCATTGGCTTTTACTTCAGGCCATTTGATCTCTGGGTTGGCCTCAACCAGTGCATCAACCTCGGCCTTGGTGATGTACTACCAGTTAAGATCAGCATCTACTTCGATGGAGTGAGCGTATTCTACCACACCCAGAACCTTTCCCATTGCAGCTGAGTGTGGCTGGTGCCTTTCTGTGCTTCATGCTTTGTAGCTTTTTGCTTGAGCCCCCATGCATTCATGACTTCTATGCGTGCGGCAAACTGACGTCTGTCCCGGTTCGGTAGGTTGGGCTAGGTTTACCGGGTGGCGTGGGGCTTGTGCGGCCTGGTGGAGCCCGACTGGTCCGGGCTTGTGCGGGTTAGTAGCCCGTGCGGGCGGGAGCGCGCACGGCCACCATTAAGCGCCATTCATGCATTAACATATGTAAAAGCCACTTCGGTGTATCACAGACGGTAAACCAATTGATAGACATTTGGTGTGAAAAAGGAAGCATCGGTAGATATGTTACCTCTGGGTGGAGGGGAGCAAGATTAACCGTCTGCAATTGCGTACGCTCTGTGCGTGCTACTCGCCGTATACAAATGCTTCACTTCATATTCTCCCTATGCCAATGGTCATACAAGGCTTTACTAAAACAAGACAAGCCAAGTCAGGAATAAGATGATATAGAGAGAAGAGCGAGATAAGAGCGAGAGCGAGGAGAGAGGTACGAGAACAAGACGAGAGCGAGACGAGAGCAAGACGAGAGCGAGACGAGAGCGAGACGAGAGCGAGACGAGACCGGCTCGCGTAAAATGTGACACCTGGGCAGAGAGATGCAATTGGATGGTGTCCGGTATCGCCTATGCGCTGATCCTTGCTAGCGTCTTATTCGCTTATTACTAGGTGCTAACTACTTTTGGGCGCTGTTGGCTGAGGGACTTACATATGATGCAATCTTCCAGGGAGACAGAGATGTCCTCCATGTGTTGCCTTACTTCTCCTGCATTCACCGGTCGCCTTCCTGCACGAGCCCGCTATTTGCCTTTTGTCTTGTCCAATCGACACCCAAGATGACTCATGTCGGTCGAGCTTGTTCCCAGGTATTTTCAACACGTATCCTGGAGAGTCACAAATTGACTAATCCTTTAGCCTGGGACTGAAGAACACTCAATTCAAACTCATGAGCATCGTAATGATAGTGAGTTTTCTACAAAACATAATATTGATATTTTAGCAATATTAGAAGTTAACATAGAATAGAAAACAGGCAATATCCATGCCAGAAATATAACAATAATCTCGCCGTCTACGAAATACGTGTTCTGCGTACGGAATCGTGTCAATACACCAAAACCAACGTTCAACTTGGAGAAGTGACTGCCTCTGCGGACATCAATGGATCGGCAAACACAAAATTCCTGACAGTGAGTGTCTCGAGCTTATCACCGGGGTCTACAACACAACAAGAGTGCTCCTAGGAAAGGACCACTTTTGAAGACTTCCTCTCAAGAGAGTTTTGTATCATCGATACTTACGGACACACATTTGAGAAAGTAAAAAAGTAATACGAGAAATATTGCTGACTAGTTCAGAATACAGTTGAAGCAAGCGCTTTAGAAAATTCCATACAATTGTTCCGCACGGGAGCATGGAAATGTTTCCGCTCTATTTGATCTGTATGTATCCCGACCAGAAGAAGGCAGATCCCGTCACTTCCAGAAAACACCGTTTCAGTTATTCATGTGGAGTTTTTGCTCCTGGACCGCCACCGCGTTCAAGGCAAGAATGTACTCGTCCTAACTGGAGCAAACATGGTAAAACGTCTATCAAGCGCAGATCTCACGGAATGTTTTTCTCAAAACCCTATGGACAAACAACTTCAAGAGATTCTTGGTCAAGAAGGATATGACAAGGTTTCTGGTTGGATAAAGAATGCTGGGCAGGTTGCATATGACATTGAGTGTCCTAGCCTGCGGGAAATGCCATCAATTGAAGTAGGCCAAGAAGCTCCACTGGACGCTTTCTCTCAAGACTTTCAAGTACACGTCAGTGGTCTCTCCTGGTTATAATTCGCTCTTCAGTATTGCTATAACCTTCTCAATATTATAATGTGGTTCTTCATGAATATTCTTCCTATGTAGCAGACCAACTCCTAACAGATCGAGGCTAGTAGGTCTGCTGGTAGCCTTGGATGTTAGATCGTCTACGCGAACAAGGGTGGGTGCTAAATGACGAACACCCTATGCAGAGCCTAGGTCCAGACAACTCGGGCAGGGCCATAGCCACACTCGCCCTTGATGGTTGCGTCATCTGTGTCTCGTATATGCGCCAGGAGAAGTGCTCATATGGGGCGGACGGGATCCTTGCAGCTGAGGAATGGGAGGCCAAGATCGTGCCAGAAACGACGCTGAGATTCTGCGCGGCGGTGGCAAGTGGCTTCCTGTGAACAAAGCTGGTTGAGGCTTTAGCGAACTTAGAGCTAGTACGTTCTGAGATTGAAAGCGGCCGATCGGTTTCATTGACCAAAGTTCTTATCCCAATTCTATCCTCTTTGCTTCGAATTGTTATTCCGAGTTTTATATCCCAGCGACTGGCATATCGGTGGGCTGTGGGCGCTAGACCAAGCTATTCGGAACACCCCCCGACTACGCGCACCCAGCTCATAGAATATATGCCGTAGGAGATTCCTTCTACCAAACCTTCGACTCTTCTATATGGTTTTCTCTCTCTACATTAGAAGTCTTCTCCTCGTCTCATTTGTCCACGCTCTATGTCACCTCGCGCTCCCGTCTTACGCCACGTAACCGTTATGCATGAATAGCCTCCCTCAATTGATAACTGTACTTGCTTAGTGCCACAAAGTGCTCAAATGCTTGAGATATCTTGAGTGGTATTGGACTGGTATGCTACTGATTCCAAACATAACTCTATGGTAAGGACCTCTTTTCCAAATCTCCCTTCGTCATCAATTGATGTCCGGACCAGAACATTCTAACTGTCCGGCGCAGGTGTGCTGCCAGACATGTCGCGCAAGTTTCCTGTAAGCTCAGAGGGATCACCATCAACGACCGTGGTACCTGCACCGGATCTCTCCACCCTGCCACGATCAATCGCTCACCCACGAACCCATCTTGCTGCGCCCAACATACATACGCTAGGCTCCACATCGCCAAATTGTACTTCGACTTCTTACAACCATTTCGCATTACTGAGTACTGCTTCTGCATGCGCACCAAAAGTTGAGAAACACGATGGCAACGGCTTGATGATTCGTTCTCCATCATACTACGGACGTATAAGTCAGCAGAGAACCTTCCGAACACGGAGAAAGGACCCTCCATGCGACAAATGCCGAGAACGCAAGTTGAAGGTAAGTATGTGAATCACAACAGACTCGCGCCAACCCAAACTAGCACACTCATCCACCTGCCCTCCCAAACGGATCTGAACAAGGCGGTAGCTAGTTAGAGAGATGCAGGGGTTCATAGGCTATGTGGCTGATGGATATATATCTGTCCAAATATCCACGGTCCATGTCCGCGCATTAGCAAGCATGGATCCCGAGGCATCTGTGTGCTCCTATTCTGCGAAGAGACACCGTTTGTACGCATGGCTTGAGCAGACGGATGATAGAGTCATCTGTTGGCATTTATTAACCCTTTTCTGTTAACAGTGCGACGCTACCGGGACTTCGGCATGTTCAGAGTGCTTGTATCACGACTGTCAATTTACCAAGGGGAAAAATCGCCAAATTCCTTCGATTGAGTAAGCTGTTATGTCTTGTGCAAAGTCCCGTTGTGGAAATGCTTACCTTAAACATAGGCAGGTCCAGGACCTTCAAAGTCAAATTGCCGAGTTGAATAATGCGAATTCACAGCTACAGACAAAGACATCCAATCAGAATGCCATGGATATGGACCGAAACGACTTGAAACGGCGACACTCAGAAGCATACCCCAAAGTAGTACTGGCACCCCGGCAGATAACTGTACCCGTCTTGGACAATTTCGACCACGTTCGCAGTAGCATCCGAGAGCATGCCCGCAATGTGTTCGGCACGCCTCACCAAAATGTGTTCCGGCCTGCGGAGCCGGATTGGCCGCTGCCTGAGGTTCCCTCTCGTGCCGACTATGCGTACTTTTCCCGGTCTTATGTCGACACTATACACCCTTGGTATCCTGCAATCCACTGGCCTACGCTTCAGCACAAAGTCGATGAAATCTATGCTTCATGGAGCTTTGAAGGCTGCTCTCGGGAGTGGATTGGCTTGTTCTTCGCAGTACTAGCTTGTGGCTCCTTGCATCCTTGGTCCGAGCATAGTGGTATTCGGGATATGTCGTTGGAGGGCCAGGCTATGTTTGAGATTGCGGCTAGTGCTCGTCAGAAGACCTTACCATCACGCATGGCCAGGCAGCTTTAATGCTGAGCATATTTGCTTCAGAGAACAACAAGCGGTCTCTAGGCTCCATCTGGCTTGCATCTGCGGTAAGGGTCGTGCAGGAACTTCAGATAAGCCCAGAGATGGACTGTTGGTCCGCATTCGATGCAGATATTCGACGCAGACTTTGGTGGTCCACTTACGTTCGCGACAGGTGCGCAAAACTACCCATTCAATCTTGGCCGCTCCTAGAACTGACTGTTACATAGGATCATGTCTCTCGAGACAAATCGACCGATGCTTATCAACGAGAGTGACTGTGAGATTTTGCTTCCATCGCCGTTGGACGATCGTTACATACAGCCCAATGAACCCATCCATTCTTCAACGAAGCCCGTACACTTCACTGGATTCGTAGCGACAATACACATGACACGTCTCTACGCGCTCTTCCAACAGGTCCTGAAGTCTAGCATCATTCTTTCGCAAACGACAGAAAATTTTGATGAACAACTTCGCTCGAAACTACTACTTCTTCCAGAAAATCACCAACCAGATTGAAGTGCACTGCTCGATGCCAGGGCTTTACCAACCATTTCCGTCCTCCTCTCTGCACGTTTCCACATGTACCAGCGCAACCTCAGTCCGTTAGCCAGTCCAGTCACACAGGTGAATGCATTGGAGCGATGCGTCTCTATTGCCCAGGACACCACCAAATATGTGTCGCGAGCGTTATACAACCAAACTGCTCAGGAAACTGGAAAGACGGAAACTGGAAAGACAGATACAAAGATGATAACGGTTGTTGCCCGTAGCGCTGTATGCTTACATATGTGGCGATGCGTTCTGGTTCTATGCTTCCGAGGTGAGTACGATGTAGCTCTAGTGTGCTTACACTTCTTAAGATCTATTGGTTCCGCACGCAAGATTAATGCAGCCTGTGGCAAGAGTATTGCTTTCTTTATAGAGCGACTATTCGAGCGAATACATCAAGGCATCGGAGGCAACAACCAGTTGGAACACGATGAGGAGATAATTGCATACCTCAGTGCGGATACTCAAGGCAGTCTGGAGCATTCTTGGGTGTGGGCAGGCACCAATATGGCTCCTTCAACGTCTGTCCACGATGTGGCGCCTGGTGCTGTGAGATCACCAGGAGGTAAGGAAATGATGCGAGATAGAAGGGCGTCACGAGCGATACCTAGCATGTGGTGGAATGGAAGTACAGAATGGGATGACTGGGGCCGGGTTGAGCACATGGTACGACAGTTGATGGACGAGCGCCTTCACCGAAATACGCAACCGCCGACCTACTACCCGCCGCCTCATAACCCGGTCAAACGAGTACAGGTTACTCCTGACACGTATTCACCGCCAAAGCTTATTTCAAATGCTAGTCCGGCCCCGTCGAACGCAAGTCGTATCAGCATAGCGAATATCATTTAAGGCAGGAAGAGAACCAACGAAGATCATATACGTACAAGGAGCATTCTCGCCTGCATGAAGCTTCTTACTAGCAACCACCTGAGACAAAACAGAGATGCTGTATCTTTCTGGCCAGTTCCGGTTGACAGTGATTTCTGTCACGAAGGGATGGACGTAATTGCATTGTCCCATACAGTGCAGTGCTGCTCTTGAGCCAAGTAGAGGCACTGCTTGTGGGAAGCCCAAGATACGAAGGTCCTTCGCATCTTCAAGATTACATGCAGATTGTTGAGAGAAGGCCGAGTTTGGTGCTGTATTTACATATGCCGCTCCCCGCAGCAATCAGGGCAAAGCTACATCAGCCAATTCTACAAGAATGTACAAACACTAAGAAGAGACGGAAACACGGTAACAGTGCTATAGCTGCCTGCGAGCGAAGAGAATGAGCTTGCAAGCCTTGCTAAACAAGAGGCGAAGACGGCAACTAGACTAAACACTAGACTACAGACACAGCTCCCTAGAATGCGATTAACTACGCACAATATAGCACGTAAGTAAGGCATAGCTAAGAAGGTACTAGTAGACGTGGGAGCATACTCTAAACGAATCGACGTAGCACTGCTAGGGAAGCATATACGATAACTCTATGACGGGCTTTCGCGGAAAGAGAGCATGCTTACTTAGCTTAGAATAGGCATAGCACATCTAAATACGTATCGATACTAAATCAAAGCATTAGTAATAGACTAATACGAATGCGGCTAGGTAGCAGAGACGGTGGAGCACTTCCTGTTCCGTTGCTGAAAGTGGACGACACAGCGGATAGAAATGCTGCAATGCACGCAGATAAGCAGAGGAAACATGTCATTCTACCTAGGGGGCAAAGCAGCGACAGATGACGCGAAATGGGCGCCAGACATGGACGCGGTGCGAGCGACAATACGATTCGCAATAGCAACACAAAGACTTAATAAAAACTAAGAGCTAACTACTAGATAAACTATAGATACTAACATGAGCTTATTAGCAGCCTTGTGCAACTAACAGCAGACAGCGCTTCAACCGCTGAAGATAGGACGTTAGACACTTAGAGAATCTCTTAGAGAAGCAGACTCTGAGCTAGTCTGCCACCAGCAATACTAACTAACGAGCACCTAATAAGAAATAATAAGTAGATAGAGAAGAAGCGTGCCATAATACTATATAAGGGCTCCAAATTAGATAATAAGCTACATAAAGAAGCGAGCCAATGAAGATAGATAGGCCAAGGAGACCAAGACGTAGCATAAGAAGTGTAAAGTTAGACTACCGTTAGTAGCCCTTTCGGCGTGGCCGACGGGTGTAAATAAATTGTGTGTGTGTATGCCGCTCCAGCCATCGTCGCCCATGCAAGGGAAATCCCCATATTTTTGAGTCTCTGATTCATTTGCCACCCTGACTTCATGACGTCTCAGCAGCAGGGATATAAACGTCCATTCTGTGTCATCACGAGTGGTCTGAGTAGGCTACAATCAATGCTTTTCCCCAGACCAGCTCTGCAGCCCACCCCGCCGGAAAATGCTTATGTAAGCACGTACTTTGACCATCGCTCTGTCGTCTCAACGTAGGTAACGTTGTGAGTGATATTATCGATTATTGCGTTGTACAACAGAGTACATAGTGCGCGAATAGGTAGTTTATTCAAGGTTTTCCTCCTATGACAGCTGCTGTCTGGGGGAGAGCATAGTGGATCCACTGCACCGCCCACCGATCACAAGTCTAGGGTTAGTCTATGCCGCACTTCGCACACTACGGTGCGCCACTACGAGTAGTGCGCATCGCATACTACGAGCCAAGGACAGGTGAGGATGGCTATTTAAAGAACTCTTCCTGCAGTACCTCGATAACCCTGAAATAGCTCTCTGACCATTCCCTTGGTAGGTATGTACCTGCTGAGCTTTCTAGACTAATTTAAGGTCTTTGGTTGGAAGGTGGCTACTTGGCACCACCTAGATGGGATGCGACAAACACTATAAAAGGCAAAGAGTCTAGAACGGTACAGTCACCAAGTATATCGCACTATTTTGCCCTCGCAGTGCGCGTTGTCTCTATCATTTCTGTCAGCCGAATCAAGCACACAAGTTCGCTAACTACTGCACACACTAGATTCCAACGCCAGAATGCAAACAGAAGTAAGACCGATAAGCAAAAAGGGTGATTTGAGCGGTTCGAAGATTATGTCTTGTCAAGCATACGACCAGGACAATCCATCCGCGTTGCTAGGTGCTCAAGAGCTGGGTGCACATACTCAATATGAACTCGCTTTTTTACCCCCTCTACCGCCATCTCCAGTCCTTGGGACCCCAGAGGTCGATGCTATTGCTACCAGTATGTCAAATAAAGTTGCCCAATCACTATCAGATACGGCAACATCCGCAGTCTATGGATCTTGTGTTACCTGTGGGGAAGTGTCAAGAAATCATACCTGTGGTTATGGAAGACATGAAGAAAACCTCAATGACGCTTGAGAGGAAGGATCATATCGAAGCTTAACGAGAGTATCTATGCGTATGTTCGGCGGGTTGGTGCTAATATAGGAATATCAAATGCATAAGAATGATTACTTGTTCAGACTGATACACAGGCCCAAGCAAGGCTCTTCCTGCTCAAACTCTATTTCCTTCAATTTTGGTGACTGGAATCCATCGTGGCCTTGTAGATCCTACATTCTGCGTACAGTATCCGTCATTCTGCACCCGGTTTTTTTCGCGTAAATGTTGAAAAATACAAAAACATCAGCATAACGTCCGTCCCTGCGGGTCGAACATCCCTCCGCAACGAACCACTAACATTGCCAAAGCACCCTACGCCCAAGCCGCAGAGGCTCTTAGACATGGGTACAGATTCATATGCTCTTTGAACATAGTTCTATCTCTCGCAAACCTTAAATAGCAAAATTACAGCAATCTAAGAGGTGTATGTCCACTAGAGTTATGGACCAAACTAGTTGTACACGGAGTACCAACAACCTTCGACGGCGCTGAAAACCTTCAGCTACTCCATACAGAAATCCCAACGTACAATAAGAACCAAACCATCGTTGGAAACCCATACTGGCTATCTAGAAGCTGGAAAGATAAGCAAACAAGCTCTATTGTTATTGCTTTCAAATCCGAAGAAGAAGCGAAGAAGATTGGCAGCAGAATAACAATTCTCAGCCAATCCCTTCGTGTTGAGAAATACCGCCAAATCCCACCAACCGCGCAATGCAACAAATGCCAAGGATTTGGACATAACTTCAGCAGGTGCAAAAACCTAGTCAGCTGCCAGTTCTGTGCCGAAAACCACCTAACTGCTCAGCACAACTGCAGTATTTGCAAAACAAAGGGAAAAGCTTGTAACCACACGCTCCCAAAATGCAAAAACTGTAAACAAACCCATTTTGCCAACAGCAAAGACTGTGAGGTGTTTCTATCTATCAAATCGTAATGAGAGAAAACCTTAGAGTGCTACAAATGAACCTAAACAAAAACCCACGTACTAGTTACAGAATCAGCGCTACAACTAGTTAGCAATCCAAGAGCCGTGGATTGCCCCTTCTGATAGCAATAACTACGAAGCCCCAAGGTCAATAGCTCACCAAAGCTTCTACCAAATCTTTCCAAAAGCAGACCCTAGCCTCCGCCCAAGAGCTCTATTTTATATATCTAGATATCTAACAGCATAGGTTAACGAGCTAGAGGAAATAGTCGACCCAGACGCTATCGCTATTACGATCCAAGAAGGACGCTCGAAGCTTAATATCTACAACGTGTACAGTCCGTGCGCAGCCAACGAGCCAGTTCAGTCAACGAGCCACCCCAACAAGATCAGACGACAAAAAAGATGAGGTTGTTGAGTCACCTATAATAGCTATTATTATGAGAATTTTTGGTGTATTAATATATTAATACTACTAAAGCATTTGCACTATCTATATCTTGCTGGTGTCTTAAGTTGGCGCTCGCGTAGGCTAAATCTGGGTGGGGAGGGCGCCTTAGGCCGACCAGCGTTAACTTGACTTGATAGAGTAACAACAAGACGACGCTTTGTTAGTTTTTTTGCTGCTTTGTGTGAGGCTTTTCGCTTAGGCTTATTTGCTGTATCGCGACTTTTTTGAGTGGTTGTAGCTTGTTGTTGCTGCTTTTTGAGTGCCCGTTCGGCAGCTTTCTCCTCGCGCTGCCGTAACTGCTTAGCATCCTTAGCAATTTTGGCTTGTTGTCGAGCCACCTTTGCAGCTTCTTGAGAGCGCTTTTTCTCAGCAGCTTCTGCTACTTTTCTCTCTCTATCGCGAGCTTTTTGGAGTTGTAGCTCCGCGGCTTCGTCCAGTTCTGCGGCCTTACGCGCGCGGACGCTGGCAAGCTTCCTGGGACTGTAGAATACAGCTCCGCCGTGCCAATCATCGCCCTCTTGAGTAGTCAGTGTTGTTGATTTGGACGGGCGGGATCTTATGAGGTTGAGTTCAGCGCGTAGCTCCGCGTTTTGGAGGCGGAGAAGCTCGTTGTTCACCTGCAGTGAGTGCAGGCCTTGGGCAAGCCGTTTAGCCTTAAATTTGGCCTTATTAGCTACCGCAGCGTCAAAATTTTTGCGCAGCTGAGGCTAGGTATCGCCGTCGCCTTGCTCCCCAATTTCTGGGTCGTTATCTTGTTGTTGTGGTTGGTTGTTGAAGCGTTGAAGTAACGTCCGTCCCTGCGGGTCGAACATCCCCCCGCAACGAACCACGAATGTTGTTCAACCATGTTATACCCACCTCGCACAGTCTTATAGGGTCAAGTTAATAAGGTTATATTCTTTGCCTTTATCTCTACCTAGTGCAAGCTCTATATAGTAAAATTACAGCGTTGTAGCTTGCGTTCTTAAGCTTCTTGTCTTTAGTATAGAAGGTGCAACAACAAAACACCCCTGCTCTCTCTTACGCAACACTATCGCTTAATCTTTTAAAGCCCCTATAGAATACTTAAATAGCTGCATAATACAGTCCCACTCTTAGAAACGTGTGCAGCCCTAATCTAAGTGCTCTCCGAGTTGCTCCGGTGCGACGTGCCACTTCATCAGACTAAGCGAAAAGATTTAGCGTGCTGACATAGCTAATGTCAAAAGCTTGGCGGTCTGCAATATACACCTACGCTATGCCAAAACGGCTTAGGCTATGGCGCAAAGCTCCAGATGCTTCGTCTAACCACTATTTACATACATGGTCATCTGCTGCCTATCCTTAGAAATCGGCTAGAGATAGATCACGGCATTAATACTATGTATATGCTAGTTGATATAAGGATAGGCCTACCTTAATATAGGTATATAAAATATATAAGTACTGCAAATATGCTTCTATTATTCATAGTTCTTTATCTATGTTACCTCACAAAACCATATCCTCCCTAATCCTACTCCCATGCCTACTAGAGCCCCACTCACAGCTGAGGTTGACGGTCGATACTCAGATGGTACCCACAGTACATTGCTTCCGGCGCGCACAACCCAAACCCTATCTGGACTTAGACTAACATTTTGGTACTATGGTTTTGATGCTGCCATATCTGTGTTGGTAGAAACCTAGAAAGAAGGGATAGCGATGATTCCAATATCTATATAGAGGGAAGTGCTAGTAGAGTCGAAAGATAAGCTATAAAGAAACCTGCCAACACTAGAAGTATGTATACACGCCCCGCTGCTCGCGTCCCAGATCTTAACAGTCTTGTCGTATAACGCTAACGCTAGCCAGGTCGAGTCGTGCGAGAAGGCTACTGAGCTAACATAGCTACTATGGCCCTTAAGCGTGTGCACACACGTCCCGCTGCTCGCGTCCTAGATCTTAACAGTCTTGTCCCTAGACGCTGATACTAGCCTGGTTGAGTCGTGCGAGAAGGCTACCGAGCTAACATCACCGCTATGGCTCTTGAGCGTGTACACACACGTCCCGCTGCTCGCGTCCCAGATCTTGACAGTCTTGTCGTCTGACGCTGACGCTAGCTGGGTCGAGTTGTGCGAGAAGGCTACTGAGGTAATATAGCTGCTATGGCCTTCGAGCGTATACACACACGTCCTACTGCTCGCGTCCCAGATCTTAACAGTGCTGTCTAAAGACCCTGACGCTAGCCGGGTCGAGTCGTGCGAGAAGGCTACCGAGGTAATATAGCTGCTATGGCCCTCGAGCGTGTTTACACACGTCCCACTGCTCGCGTCCTAGATCTTTACAGTGCTGTTATCTAACGCTAATACTAGCCTGGTCGAGTCGTGCGAGAAGGCTACCGAGCTAACATCACCGCTATAGCCCTCGAGCGTGTACACACACGTCCCACTGCTCGCGTCCCAGATCTTGATAGTACTGTCGTCTAACGCTGACGCTAGCCTGGTCGAGTCGTGTGAGAAGGCCACTGACCTAACATAGCTGCTATGGCCCTCGAGCGTATACATACACGTCCCGCTACTCGCGTCCCAGATCTTAACAGTCTTGTCGTATAACGCTGACGCTAGCCGGGTCGAGTCGTGCGGGAAGGCTACCGAGCTAACATAGCTGCTATGGCCTTCGAGCGCCTGCACACACGCCCCGCTGCTCGCGTCCCAGATCTTGACAGTCTTGTCGTATGACGCTGATACTAGCCTAGTCGAGTCGTGCGAGAAGGCTACTGAGCTAACATAGCTGCTATGGCCCTCGAGCGTCTGCAGACACGCACTCCAGCCATTGCTCATAGCGGGCTTGATCGTTACTCCTCTTGGCTCTTCGTGCTGGAACAGCCTTCTTACTATGCTATCAGCTGGACTGAATAGCAGAGCAGATGCGTATGCCTGTAAAGGATAGTTCTCGATCGCCTCCTTATAATACATAATAAACCGTCGTGTGTCGTACATAATCTTGTTTAATACGTCCGTGTCTCTAAGTCCCTAGCTACGTTAGAAACTACACTGTGAAGGCCGTGTATAGATGTAGTTGTGTTAGCCGTACCTGGACTAGATCCCATAACCTTGTCATCGAGACTACCCCTTTGGCCATGCTTCTACACAAACTAAGCGCTTCTAGCCAGTAGAGATATTTTTGCTTAAGAAACGCGTCTACAGCTGTAGTGATTTCTTGATTAGTAGCACTAGGTTTTGAGTTGTAGAAGTGGTCAATCTAGTACACACACGGGTAGCGCGACACGGCTAGAGGATCGGGAAGAAGTGGCTTAACGTCTTCTATAGCATATCCAGGCGCTTAAAGGTTGTATATATCTCTGCGCAGTATCTTGTGCAGAATTACAAGTGATTTCGCGAAGATATCTTGATGCACACATTCTACACCGTCTAGAAAGACGTCGTTTAACGCTTTCGTAATAAGGAAGTCCTTAGCTAATTGATATACAAAGTACACTGTATCGTCTCGCAGCGTTAAGAATGATCTGTAAAGACTAATAATCTCCCGCACGGACTCTAGATCATTAACAAGGTCTGCAAGTTGCTTAGTCAATATAACTAGCTCACTAACAGTGACCGGTTAATATAGGATAGCAGCCACTGCCAGCACCCGCAGACATCTTCAAGCGCTACTAGACTTGCGTATCTGGTCTAGCATCTGCCTATAAAGTAAGTCTAAACCAGGCGGGAACTGGGCTAGCTTCTCTTACACGTCCCACTTCGGCGTCGCTTTAAGGTCTTAGCACACTAACGCAACCCAGAGGAAAGTGTCGTTCGCGTTCGACGTTAAGTGCTAGAGCACCGCGTCTTGCACCTCTGGCGTGTAGCGCTTCTCTTAGGCTAGGCGACACACCTTCTGCCGGATAAACACGTCTACTGCTGCAGCTACCGACTCGGCGTTCAACTCAAGGCTAAGCCTCATTTCGTGCTCAGCACGCTCCAGTTCTTCCTCAATATCTAGCCAGTTACGACTAGACACAATCCACTTAACGCGAGAGGACGCAGACGAGTGCTTCGCGATAAAGCTGAGCAATTTTGGTAAGTCTGTCGCGCATTCGTCGAGCGCGTCAATAATTAGGTACGTTGTGCCTAGGCTTGCATCTTGTAGTACGTTGGCGAAGATTTCTGTTAGGGCGACCCAGGCATTCGCGTCCTCGAACAAGCTTTTGCCGGCGTGGTCGTGCTTCATGCGAACGTGCGATGTAAGCGACGGCTGCTAGTGCACAAGCATGTACAGCAAGCCACGCAGCACAGCTGTGGCACTATTAATGCGCGTGTCGGTCGCCTGGCAGAAAAAGTATGAGATAAGAGTAGGTTTCGGCGTCAGGTTTTGCAGTTCGTCAATAATGCCACACAGCAGCATCGTCTTGCCTTTGCCAGGATTACCTTTCACCCACAGTAGTCGGCTCTCTGGGTCTTACTGCCATTGCTGGAAGGTATTATTGTCAAGAACCCAGCGGTAAGCGCCCGCAAGCAGCCCGCCTTTAGTCTCTTCAATTCGCTTCTTGTCATCGCGCGGGTTGCTAGAACACAAGTCTTAGATACACTTGTTCTGCTTGTCAACCTCGTGTAGAACCCGCTTCATTGCTTCAGCTAGATTCTCGCCATCGATCGGGGACAAGCTGACGCCGAGAATACTCATCAGGGAGTATACACGGTCTGCTGGAATTGTTGTAGTACGATGTTCAATCCAGGTAACGCATTCATAAACACTAAAGTAAGACAACGGTTCACCCTACAGCGCTAGACTAGAGATAGCTGTAACTTCACACACTTCTTTTGCTAGCGACAACTTATCACCAAGCTTAGTCCCATCTCTAGAGAAGAACTCTACTATAGACGGTGCGAGAAGCTCTTACAGCGTCCATCCACGGGTAAACCATCTACTGTTTTTAAGCCCAAGCTCAGCCTTCTACTCATTTCGTATAGGATCGCTACCGACCGAAGTGCATAGAACGTTGCGCGAATAGAAGTAGCGCTGCATCGTGCTGCCGTACCATCTCGACATACTATAGAGAATAGAGAGCATCCAGATCCACAAAAGCCATCGCGAATCGTAGTAGCCTGACGTCACTAGTAGAGGTTAATCAGAGACATCCGATAGATATACATAACACCGAGCTACATCGCGGTACCAGCGAAACATCAATCGGATAGAGAAGGCAAGTTCAGCCTTGTTGGCCTTGTTGATACAGTACGTATCGATCCAGAAGTACTGGAGGCTGTCGCGCCGTGCCTATTCTCCGCAGAAGATAATCTTCTTATAACCCGGCTTTGTCTTGCCGCCGCCTGTCTAGAGGTCTACAAAGGTCACCTCGTCGCCATCTACGCCCCATATGTGTGAGAGTATCGCGTAAGGGGGTATGTCGCCATCATCGAAGCTATAGATACTGAGCTCTCCGCTCTCGCTATACTATAAGAGCCGCATAGATTCGTGTAGGTGTATAGTAGGTATATGCGATGAGAGTAGGACTCTAAAGGTTAAGTTTGGTAGCCTAGTCGCGCGGGCGCTTGTTGCTTGTTAGCTGCTTTCCTGCTAGATACCGATGGACGGTCAGCATACAGAGAGAATAACGAGCAGGTGCACCAGCTCAGATACCAGCAGGATCCTGTGATGCGTCAAGATATCGCGAGCTGAGGCTGCCGGCTCTCGCTGTGTTGTTAACTTGGTGCTGAAGCCTGTGTAAAGCCCCAGGCGGGGTATATAAGGCGTGCTATGCATGCGTCGTGCATTGCTCGCAAGGCTAAAGCGCGTCTGCATCGAAAGCTGCGGAGGATATGAGGCCCCTTGGCGCTGTTGGCAAGGGTCTAAGCACCGACGCGCTCAAAGCTTGCCCGTTCCGATGCAGGACAAATGAGAGAGCAGTCACGCAGATACAACACTTGTGAACATCATCCAGGTTTAAATTTGACTTAGAATACCCTTTCTATCCAGCTTGCGCAACACCGCGAAATCCATCATACAGAGCTAGAGAAAGGGGTCTAGTACATCCTAGCTACAGGCGCTCTCCATGCAGATACCGGCGCATGCGTTAGCTCAGGCGCATCAATCCGCTGCGCTACTGTAGGCTTTGGCGACCGCAGGACTATTGATCCTTCTAGCGCGTCGCTCTTGCGCTTACGCCCGCGCTTCGGCTTACCTGCTAAAGCTTGCTCCTTCGCAGCACGCTTTACTCTAGCCTCTTCGAGGTCTTGGAAACTCATCACTTTAGCCTTGCCTAGAACTACTAACTTTGTCGACCGGCGGGTTTTGGCTTCTCGATTGATCTGAAGGAGGAAATAATTACGATCTTTAAGGAGGGCCTGCTCAGCGAAGGATACCTTAGCCGCGCTTACCAGTTTCTATATGCGTCTCTATAGACGGTCTTTGCTCGTCTTTTCAAGCACGTATGTGTCCTTTGTAATTAGATCATACAGCGATGTAAGCGCTTCTATCGTCACTAGTGTTACTAGCGTGGTAGGCGTACGGGGCACATCGTCCGACACATCAGCACTCGCAGTCTCGGTTCCTGGATTTAATATATTGCTTACTTCTACTGGAGGTTTAGGGATATCTCTAAGCACTCGTTCCGGGTTGAAAGGGAGCAGGCCAGTTGCAGACCACCCAGCTCTGATGTTCCTTTTAGTTAGTGCGCGATCTCTTACAGAGCTATAGAGATAAGTGAAATGCTCTTTACTAACAATATCTACGCCTCCTTAGTTAAGTCGCTCGACTTATTCACGATACGCGCTCTTTAAAGGTGCAAAAGGGCCGACATCGCATAGCTGCAGCTTATGAGAGGTGTAAGAAGACAGACGACACAAGATAATGTTGTTAGTAAAGCAGAACTCTAGAATTTCAAGCGTTTCATAAGTCCCAAAGCCGTCACAGATTAGCACTCGTGGGTTTCCACCTGCTCCCTCACGTGTCTAAGGGTCAAACACGCGCTTAAGCCACTCCAAGCTAATCTTAGAGTCGTTATACCCATTCTCTAAGTGCGCATAGTGCCATCCAGGGGTGCTATAGGTGGTCCAGTTGCTGCGATGGGTCGACGCTGGCCATATAATAAGTGGCAGGAGGGCCCTTCCATCAGCACTGATGCACTCAATAGCAGTAACTATAGTGCGCTTAACACCCGCACCCCTACTACCTTGCCGATCGTCCTTACCAACTAAGACTTTTGCGGAGCCAAGCATGCTTAGCATAACTCCAGTTTCGTCCATATTATACACGTTTTCTAGCAGTACGCGTGGATCCTATAGTACCTAGCTAATCACATCGAACCACTCTACTATCTTCTCGTATATATTATTTCCATAACGCTTCCAGTCTATCGATCTGACCCTTCTCACCTAGAGTTCGGGGTGACGCTTCTCAAACGCTCGTAGCCAGTTCTTCCCTAGACGCTTAATCGACTCGCTCTTCGTGGACCGCTGGCGGGCTATGCTAAACGCTAGCGAGCGAAGGTACTTAACGCGCACAGGTTGTCCGAGACTAGACATCAGTAGCAGGAACTTTACAAGCGCCTTCTCCTCCTCTCGAGTCAAGTACTGTTGACTCTGAGCCTGCTCTGCTCGCGAGCGTCGTCCAAGCCTACGGTGGATCAGAGTTGAGATAGGGACATTGCCGTGCTCTGATCGAGCAGCACATGTATTACGCACACCTTTAGGCAGACGTTGCGCGAGCGCCTGGCTGGCTGGATCCATGTTCGTGGTTATAGTGACTGAGGGATACCTCGAGCGAGAAGCCAACCGAATCCACCACCGGTCTGCTTCTAAGAATAGCCAGCAACACGCAGCACCCGATGGAAGCTTCTAGAACTCTGCGCCACAGCTTCAGCCCTTTTAGCATAGCGCAGGTGTACATCGTAGGCCGCTAAGCGTTCGCAATCCAGCTGTGCCAGCGTTTTAAATCCTTTCGCTAATGCGAAGGACTGGCACACCGAGCCGGAAAAACTCGGAGCGCATCTGAACAGAGGCTACATATCTTGATATAACACACATAGCGTCTTTAATTTATTACGTATAATATAAGACTTCCGAATAAGCCAGCTTTGCTTCTATAGAGAGTTGAATAGGGGTGTATCGTTGTTGCAGCTCTAACGCTCAATATGAAAGATTCATATACACCCCTTGGATTGCTGTAATTTTGCTATTTAAGGCTTGCGATAGATAGAGGTAGATGTAGAGAGCATACTAAGGTGTACTTAGATCTAAGAGCCGCTGCGGCTTGGGCGTAAGGTGCTTGGGCAATGTTGGTGGTTCGCTGCGCAGGGATATTCGACCCACAGGGACGGACGTTACTGGGTCTGCGTCCATCGGCCATACGCCTGTAGCTTAAAAACTCTTTAATATAAGATCGTGAGTCATTTTAGAGCTCTAAGCTGGCTAAAAGTTGCTGTAGAAGTCGCGTTTAGTAATCCTTGAGAGGCCTTAGGTTTGCTGGAGGCGTTGGGTAAGCTCCTTAGTGTAGTGCTTCGAAAGCGGCGAAAAGAGCACGACATCCAACGGCTGCAAACTGTGTGTAGAATGTGGTGGGTACACTATAACCATGATGCGTTTGGCTTCACAATACTCCAAAAAATTGGGCGTGAGGTGGCTGGCGTGGCCGTCAAGGATTAGAAGGCGCCATTGCCGGCGAGCTTTGGCTGCTGTATAGCGTTCGAAGATCTGTTGAAGCTAGGCAAGTCCTAAATCATTATTTGACTATCCCGAAGCCGAGTGGGATACGAAAACCTGGTCTTGTTCGGCTAACAGGTCGTCAACCCAGCTTGATTGAACCCCAGAGATGCCCTGGTAGATGAGAGCGGGCGGCAATGCCTCTCCAGAAGCGCATACGCAAGCCAGCAGCGTTACCCATTCCCTATTGCCATCTCTAATCGCTGCGGTACGCTCCCGCGACTCATAAACTGCCTTAGAGAAGATCCTCTTCCTGCGGTGGGCGATGCCGACAAAGAAGCCCTTCTCATCCATATTATACGTGTTGCGCTCTTCAATCTCATGTTCTCGCATCTTAGAGTGTAGCAAGTTAAAGTACAACTCGTATTTACGCTTATTGTCAGCCAAGTGACGCTCACGATCCATACCGGTGTCCCATTTGGAGATGAGCTTATCGGAATGACGGTGTTGAAACCGGGTAACCCAGCTATCTGAAACCTCATGCTGCGCAACCGCGCTGCTGAAATTTCTCAAAATACTCCTTGTAGGTAGTACTCCTTCTCTTTTATTCCCTTCTATGTACCTAATAAGCTTATCCTTTTATTATAGGTTAAGATTTCATCAATGTTCGGCCGCCTCTGTGCCCCGGGGTTGCTGTGCGCCCCTGTGCCTCCGCGACAGCGTCGTTCTATCAACTCTAAATATTTTTACAACTTAGCGGTACGAGTATTTATCTCTAGACTCACGCGATTCGATATATTAAATCGCTTCTTGAATCGGGTCCATGGTTGTGGAGTTATGACGCGTTGAAGGTGGGTGGGTTCATGAGGCAGCGGGGGTTGGGGTGGCTCGTTGACTGAACTGGCTCGTTGGCTGCGCACGGACTGTAACGTGGTGGATAAGCGAGTTGGCCACCCCACCAACTTTGCGCACGCGGTTTAACTCTATATACAACTACTCCACACTATATATTCTAAATGCCTTCAAACGAAGCGGATATCCAGCTTGCTATCTCTTCTCTTAATACTCATCAAATCCAGAGTAACCGACGTGCAGCAGCGACATTTAACGTGACACGATCAACGCTACAGAACAGGCGCGATGGGAAGCCTGCCCGACGCGATTGCCAGCCCAACTCAAAGAAGCTTACTAAGCTAGAAGAGGAGGTCATAGTTGATCATATACTTGATCTGGATCTACGTGGATTCTCGCCTACCTACGCAGCTGTGCGTGATATGGCTGATAGACTCCTGGCTGCGCGCGGCGCTGGCCAGGTTGGGCAGAAGTGGCCAGCCAACTTCGTCAAGCGTACAGACAGACTTATGACGCGTTTTAATCGACTGTACGATAGGCAGAGAGCTTTATATGAAGATCTAGTCCTAATTACGAGCTAGTTTAAGCTTATAGAGTAGATAAAGGCTAAGTACGGCATCTGTGATGGGGACGTCTATAACTTTAACGAAGCTAGCTTTATAATGGGCAAGATCACGACTCAGCTTATCGTAACAGCGTCAGAGAGAAGAGGCCGGCCAAAAGCTATCGAGCCAGGCAATCATGAGTGGGTGACGCTGATCGCAGCGATCAACGCAGCTGGCTGGGCTATCCCACCGTTTCTCATCTTTACTGGCAAGCATCACCTATCTGCCTAGTACGAGGAGGCAGAGATCCCGCGCGACTGGGCGATCGCAGTTAGTGACAATGGCTGGACGAACAACGAGCTAGGTGTCGCATGGATAAAGCACTTCGATACCCACACGAAGACTCGCGTTGTTGGCACACGTCGCCTACTTATCCTTGACGGTCATGAGAGCCACCAGTCTCTCGAGTGTCAAGAGTTCTGCAAGGATAATAATATATATACGCTCTGCATGCCGCCTCACTCATCTCATCTACTCCAGCCTCTTGACGTTGGCTGCTTCTCGCCATTGAAGCGCGCGTACAGCCGCGAGGTGGAGAGCCTAATCCGCCATCACATCAACCACATCACCAAGCTCGAGTTTCTGCCAGCGTTCAAGGCAGCGTTTGATCGATCCTTCACGCCAGCCAATATCTGCTCAGCTTTCCGGGGCGCAGGCCTTGTTCCTCTCCAGCCAGACGCTGTTCTATCAAAACTTAACGTACAGCTACGTACGCCTACTCCTCCAGCTGCTCTCGCAGAAGCTCTCTGGCAGACTTGTACGCCGAGCAACGTACGTGAACTTGAAGCTCAATCAACGCTAATAAGTAATCGCGTTCGACGGCATAAAAGCTCATCACCAGCTTCGATTATCGCAGCGATTGGCCAGCTTAAGAAGGGGGCAGAGGTAATGATGCTCTCGGCTGAGCTAATGCGCGATCGAATCGCCAGCCTTGAAAAGGCTAACGAGGCAGCTACAAAGCGGAGGCAGCTACAAAGCGTAGGCAGCGTAAAAAGAAGCGGATACAGAAGCGAGGAGTGCTGACAAAGGGAGCTGGAGAAGATCTACTCGCTCAGCGCGAGGCTGATGAGCAGATTGCTCATGAAGAGCGTCAAGGAGGAGAGCGATCAGGTGTCAGCCGCCAGGCTCTGGCGCGGTGTAGCAGGTGTAGAGAGACTGGCCATAATTCGCGTACATGTAATAAAGATACTCTAGATACTACTTAATCTACTGTATCAATATATATCTATATTATTATGATATGGCAGAGCTATACGCTTGTAGAGGCGCATAAAGTTGGTGTGGTGGCCAACTCGCTTGCGTGGCCAACTCGCTTATCCACCACGTTATAATCATTTTTTGTCCAAGACTTCCCATTTCCGGAAGCTTGCTTGTGACAGTCACGTGAGAAGCCTTGCCTATCCACGTGATAGCGGGGCCCTTAAAACATTTTTAGCCGTGTTGCAGCCGGTTAGGCACCATCCATAAAACGACACGGCCAGTCGTCCTCCCTGATTTCGATCACTGCCCAAAGATTGGAACGTCTCTGTCAACTAAGCATCCCAGTAGGCAGTATGCGAAGCAAAAGCCAGCGTCTTTATTCACGTCATCTTAGGTCTGCGTAACTTCACGCCAACTTCAGCAGCTCAAGCGGGTATTCGAATAAAAACTGAGCACCATATCAACATAAGGCACGGTCTTGATACAGTGGAAGTCTTTTGTTCACGGACATGGATGAAGAAACTAGAGGGGGCAAGATAACTGGCGGCATTACGTGGATCAAAGGCGATGGATTGTTGGAGCCGACAAACTACGCAAGACGAATAACTTTCAAGGAAGGCTTTGTGAGAGTTCGAGCTCCCAATCATACACCAACAGTAGAGGGTCGAGCCGATGCCCAGGAAAGGACCTTCGATGTTCCCGCCAACCATCGCTGCGAAGTTCTCGGCACCGCCCAGTACTACTTCGTCGATTGCTGAAGACCAGTATCTGCGTTGTGAATTTGGGTAAGACCATACGTCCCAATCATCTTTAATGCAACGTTTCGACTGATCGCCAATACAACGCTGCAATCTACGTCACCTTCAGGTACCAACAAAGTCACAGCATCTGTTCTGTTGTCTCCCCGTTTTTCCTCGGCCCAGCATAGGTTGCTCATCTCGATCGCTGGTGCCACTGTTTGTAAGAACAATGGAATGTGTTCTCTTAGCATGCGGCCATACGCGTACTCGATATCTGCACCTACGGTGAGTGGAGAACATAGGTGGCAATAGATGGTTAACATACTTCTCTGGGCTGTCATAGACTGGTTATTTTGGAATAAAGCCTGCTTCAGTGTGATGAAATTCGGAATTTCTCCAAGGCCATGTTTTTGTTCAATATCCTCCATGAATAGCCTGTCTTTCGTTGGTAAGGAGAATTCGTAGTCATTGTAGCTTTCCTTGTCCAGTAGTGGGTTGATATTTTCTTCGACATAGCCCTTCTGCCCACATGTCGTTGTTGACACAAGCAAGACCAAGACAAAGAAAAGATGCGCACTCTTTTTTTGAACCTTCGACATTGCTTCAACAGCGATCCTCCTCCGCCAGTTCGTCTGCCTGGAAACGCCGTTACCACGCCACAAGGTTCCCAGTCGCTGAGGCAATATGCTTTGATGATGAAATGTCAGACCGTTTCTTTTTAACTCTTCAACTGTCTCGGTGATTTGTCCAGGTAGGCCCTTCTGTTTCCGATGATTCTTCTTTCTCTGAACAGCCGGCAGAGGGCCAATTCTCAAGGTTTCAACACTCCCAGGGGTTTGATCATCCATAGTAACAAAAATATCGAATGAAATCGAGATACGAGCGAGACGAGAGCGAGACGAGAGGAAGATGAGAGGAAAATGAGAGGAAGGTAAGAGCGAGACGAGAGGAAGATGAGAGGAAAATGAGAGGAAGGTAAGAGCGAGACGAGAGCGAGACGAGAGCGAGACGAGAGGAAGATGAGAGGAAGGTAAGAGCGAGACGAGAGCGAGACGAGAGCGAGACGAGAGCGAGACGAGAACGAGATGAGACGAGAGGGAGATGACTAGTACCTTTCGGATCAAGCTTAGCGCAGACTAGTGCTGCTTACATCTCGGTGGCGTACCCTGTCAGGATTAGGGTGTTTTCAACAGTGCGACACGCTAACTAGTCTCCTTGTGTGTAGCGGCTCCTACCGTGCCTGTGCAACTCACGCTCATGCCTTGCCAACGCCAAAGCGCGTCATGACACCCCAACGTTAACGCGCATTTTCTCCACAATTGACGATGCGGTTGCAGCCTCAGATTTGCGCGATCCACGAGGACCATTTGTAATGGGAGAAACTACCAGAAGATGAAGTATCAATTGTTTAACATTGGAACGCTAACAGAAGTCTGCGCATTATCCCGCGCATGCGCTGTCCGTCTGTGCTATATCGCTAATATACATTGCACGTTTCTTTCCAGCATTCCTGGTTGTGTTTCACACATTTTCCAATTACGTCAAGTTGTGAGTGATAGTGCTATAGCACTAGCGACTCGTGCCTATAGAAACGCTTCAGGATATTCTCATGTGCTATTGCTCCTAGCTAGCATTGTTGTTTTCTATCATACAAGCTCGCGTCCATGTACCAAAGGTTTCTCTGCCTTGACGGCGCTCACAGCCTATCTGTGAACCTTTCTTCGCCGTCCTTGTAGATTTCCTCTCGCTGTGCGTCTTAGAACCACACATACCCAACAAAATCCAACGCTATGCAGGCTCCATAATGTCAAAAAGTAACACCTCAGCGTCTACAGTCGCCTTGAAACACCGTTAGAATGAATAGGATTATGTACTGCATCTGATTTGACAAACCACAGTTATCGCTTAATCTGTTTTCCCTAGCCCGAAAGTAAGCATTGTAAGTTGAGTGTTTGCGTAGCCTTCCTTACACTGCAGTGACATTTGCTGGGCATCTTACGTGAGTTTGTTGATATTTGGTGCACCATGCCTTGACCACATATCGGAAATGAGTGCACTTGTATTGTACTTGCGTGTAGTCGCACATTGTCAGATGAAAAAGAATGGGAAGTGACTGTAGAAAAGAACTGCAGGAATAGGGAGAAAATGAGAACAGATACCCTGACCGACAGAGGTCACAGTCCCATTGATATATTGTCATGAAATTGCAAAATGTTAAGTCGTTTGACATACAGCCAAACGCAAGGAACAGAAACGGATGCAAGCGGCCGAGTATCCGTAGAACTGGAATCTGTGTTAGTCAAGTCTAGTCCATCAGTGCCATGCATCCTTGCGATATATATGTATTCTCCGCAGGTTCCGGTTGCAACAGCTTATCGATATTTTTGCACTCCAGAGGTCGGTGGGGCACTCATGCTTGACTCTGTTCACTCCTCTATTCGACCGCTAAGCGGGTGCATGGAGTGTTCCCATGCCTAGGTGTCAAGATGATAGTGTGAGTGACGAATATCGGTTTTATCTTCAGGGATTCGCAAATCACTCACTGGTGCCATGCATGTGCTCTGCATTCTTCAGCTGCGGGGATTCCGTGCGGCCCTGCACGAGCACTGCTCGCGCGTAGAGCAAATGATGTGGCGCGGTTAGTGGGCAAATATGACGCGGCGATCAAGATGATGCATGGCTTCGGCTCCATCAAAGTCAACCATATCATCGGCTCTGCATAGCGTATTCGTTTTCCAGCACGTGCTCTTGTTCATGCTTACCTGAATCATGGCTGCACTCTCCTCCCTATCAGCCCATGCTAGCGCCGCGTTTCAAGACCCGACGAACAAAGATGATTGTTGGCTTCAACATGTGCGCGCCGCGAAGATATAAGTCCTGGATGTTACTTATCGCTTGGTCCATCACATAGCTCACTCAACTTACTTCCTTTGCCAAATGCACAGCCTATGGCATCAACACATTGTACAATCCCACACTCGCCACTCCAACACGGGTATCGTTTGCCCAACATCTCAACGCTTGACACTGATACTGCCCATACTTTTTTACTTACGCACTTTCTGGTTGCTTTCTAAGTACAGCCACGCTGCCTATTCACCGGCCATGAGCTTCGATGAAAATTCAGCCCTAGGCCTCATAGCAATCGAGTCCACGAGCGCAAGCTTACGATCGATGCCCTCATATCTCATTACCCGTCTATCATCCAGGTAGGAAACATCTTGGGCTTTGGTCCGAGATTTTCCGAACATCCAAAATATGAGGACCTTCGTGGAAGGGTGCAGAAGCTGTCTGAAGAACTGCCGAAAGACCTAGAGGGGTTGGTCTACTTTACCAGAAATTCGCGTTCTCTCAATCAGGGGCTCGAGGAGTTGCTGCACAGTTGCGGGCCCCTGATTTGGGGCGAGCATGCTGACCGGAACCTGCTACTGCAACCCGTGTCACCTGAGGAGTTGTACCAAAAAGACTTGATTTACGAAGAGCCTGAGGACAGAAACTAGTAAGTTTCGATTATACACACGCGCGTAGGTACACGTGATTGGGCGTGCACTAAGCCTTTTTGCAGTATCAAGACATGTGCGCATGTGGATCATCGTAAAGGCCGCCTACGCCATTCGCGCAAGGAAGCAAAGTAATTCCTTGCGTGAAAAACAAAAAAAAGAAATTCCTGACGTTGATGGCGAGAGCCTGGTAAGTTGTTATTGTTGGCGCTGCTGCGCGATGTAGTTGCTTCAGTCTCATCTCAGCGGGTTGTTAACAAAATGCAGTCACCCTCTAGCATAACACAGTCGTCTACCCCACCAGACAAGCATTTCAATACTGGAATTGACCTTTCTGTCCGATCAAAGAACCCAAACAAGCGGAAGATCGATATCTACTTGACCGATTCTGAAGATAACAAAACTGATTCAACACCTATCAACCGTCCATATGACACTACGAGGATAAAACGAAAAGGCAGTCTCAGTAAACCTCACCCCTACCTAAAAATTGAGGATTCAGGAAATATAGGAAACATGTCAGGAATCCCAACATATAATCATCGCTTCTCTCCTGCACCAGAAAGCGGGCCAGAAACTGCAGGAACACCGCTCGCTTCCTTGGTGAGCAATGAACTCAACGCTGTGCAGAAACCATTCGCTGTTTTACAGGGCCCGAAACCAGTGATTCCTACCGCAGTCAACACTAACGACTTCACGCCGTTCATTACCACACGATCTGCTCAAGAGATCTATAGAGACCCAGTACGGGAAGCCACGCAAGAAAATCTTGACGAGATCCGGGGACGCTCTTATGGAAGCAATCATGATAACAGCAATAGCCATTCAAGAGTAGATGAGCCTTCTTCGCCTAGATCAGCCCCGCCCGGAGATGCTGAACCTTTACGCTCTGTTATGTCAGCACTGTCTACAACTGCTTGGGAAAACCATGTTTTGCCGTCAGTGGCTGCCATTCTATCGAGCAATCTGGGTAATAGACACATGAAGAAAGAATCCCCTGTAGAACAGCATCCTCAAAATTCCCTCATTACCCAATTGCCACCGCAACAATCACAAAGTTCTCAACAACAAAAGCGCCGACACAGTCAACCGCAGCACAAACAACATACCATACATTCATATCATGGGCAAACTCAGCACCAACTGTCTCTTCCTCGACCGTCTTATGCAAATAATGCTTCGACCCACAAATTTGGACAATCTGTTCCGTTCGACCCTCGCTATAGATCCAACACCCCTCTTGCGCAGGCCACAACCAATATGCAAACTACGGGACCTATCACGGAGCCATCATCGGCACTTTCTTCACAAGGTGCGACCGCCGATGATATAAAACTGGTTCCAATTCGGGATGTAGCTCCAGTCGCACCAGCTGGTCGTCCAGCACCTTCCAGTATGATATCACCTACTCCACAACATGCCTGTAATCAAGTTATGCCGAAAATCAGCGTGCAGAGGCCGCTCCGTTCATTTTTCCAATGCATCATTTCTCTGAAAAGCTGCAGACGCTACAATGTCAATTTACTCGGAGTCTGTGGATGGTTTTTTTCCATAAGAATGGCAGGCCTGTCGACGAAAAGGCGCTCCTCCACCAGCTCCACGACTTATGGTACTACGGTGCATCGCGATTCCGCATCAAGCTCTCCAACGAATACGACCAGCTCCACAATACCCTGGCCGTCTGGGTCCACAAACGAAATTTTTTTGCCAAATTGCGTGTCTTGATGGCTGCAAAACCGGCCTCTCGAGATGTGTTAGTCGAACGCGCACGGGAAATGAACGAGCTCCGAATGGCAATAATCCATTGGAAGAGTTTGAGTGCTGATGATAGCACGAGCCCTGAGAAACGGCTCTGCGAAGCGTTCGAGGTCATGACCAACATAGAAGGAAGTCGGGATCTGATGATGGACGAGCTTCTAAGACTCAATCTTGATGAGTCCCAGTTATTCAGTAGCAAAGATCTCAAAATTCTCCTGCAAGCAGCAGCAATTTGAATGTTAAATTCAGGTGATCATCAGCGTAGGGGGGTATCGACTGGTCAGCCTCATGATTGAATCCGACTAATCTTTCTTCCTTCTTCATCTATATTGTACCTGATAGCGGATGAAATAGTTGTGTAACATGAGCGTGATCAAAACTAAGCTTTTTAACTTATCTATTTACATGCATTTTACAGGAAAGACGGGAGTATCACGTTAAGATTTGGATATGTCGTAGCAGCAACAATAGGGCTTGGATTGCTGATGTGTTTCAGTAGAGCTGACTCACATGATTCGATCTGATTAGGTTATACTGAAATCAGGTGATGAAGAGGAAATACTCAGCTGATCTAGGTTGACTAGTCGAAACCGAGTAAGAGCACCCAATCAAATCCACCTGCATTTTGGACAGTGGATGTGGAACCGTCCACCTCAATCAGAATTCCTTGATTCGAACTCCTCTCAGCTTCAAAATATATTATACCAATGTCGATAGTCGATTCTAAGCTGTTTTAGGTTTGATTTAGGAGATCATGCTAACTGGGGTAGACTCTGGAGACAAGCGCTGACGATATATAAAGCATTTTATTTTGATCAAGTTTTCCCTAGTGTTGGGCTATCTATAGTAGTAGCAAAGTAATAAGACGTTAAGATATGTCCAATTCGACCATGGCTTCCTGTCCCCAGCAAGCATGGAACCAAACTTGCTTAGACGCTCTACCCAAGCGTCGAAAACCTTGCCAGTCATGTGAAGATCCTTCACATGAGGAAGAGCATCTACTCCTGAGATAGTGTATTCTAATGTGCTTGCTGGCATTCCGCAGGAGCATCGATACAGGAAAGTAAGAACACGCACAGTGCTCCGCTCGTGCAAAAACCCTTTCTCCCTAATTCTCTGCTGCTCCTGGTACTGTCCGATCATAGCTTTGACTCGGAGGAACCTAAACTCTGATTCTGACCTTGTCCTCTCGCCAGGGCTGCGTGGCTTTTGGAGAAGGTGTTGTTGGCAATGGCAGCAATAGTACTGACGTCTAAGGCAAGAGCGAATGACCCAACAAGCCCGGCGAGACGCCTCGATATCTCAATCGGGACCAATATGCGCACTAAATAATGAGCGTCACATGCTTGGACCATGATGTCTAATGACAAAACGGGAGCTTAAAGCGTTTTGATGGGGTTTGGCATTTCAATGGCAACACGTGGTGACTCTCATGTAGGGGGCTGCATTATAATGGCTGCTATTTTAGGTCTGTTGCCGGAACTGTGGCAACTCGGATTACGCGTCTTGATACATAGCTGAAAGCATTTGCATAACGGACTCGCTCGTTTGCAAGGTATGATTCGTGCCACAACTTGACCCTCCAATATCGCAATTGATTCAGCCTGACAACATGTCGGAAATGCTTCATTTTCAGGATGGGCGCTGGGGGAGAACACTCCATAAGGAAATCCAGTCCGAGGATACTGCTCAGTTCAGTCCAGTAAGAGAAATATATAAGCTCCTGTGTGCACCTTTCAATCAAGTCAGAAACCACTCCACACTCAGTCTTCACTTGTTCACAGAGCCAGAATGTCAATCCCGACCTTACTAGAAAGCAAACAAGTCTCTTATGAAAACTCAGTGGTCAATCACAGAGGACAGTAAGTTTTACGTATTGGCTTTCTATATAAGCTGACCAAACCCAGCAGATGGCCCCTTACAGAATGCATAACTCTTTTCGTGTTGTATCTGTTGATCTCATTCACACGAATGGTGCTGTTTGTGCTCGAAATAGCGGCTCTATACTACTTGGTTATTACACTGTTAAGGATATCCAGTTGGTACCAGAGAGACGAAAATTCCTGGATTGTTGAACAGATGTTGAGATCGGAGAGAATCTACAGTCTTGTGTCCAAGTCGTTCCAAATCACAGGAAAAACGATATTCTCCCTGGTGGAGGACGAGTGCCTGGGGGACCACTCAGGTGCATGTCAAACAAAGATGGTTCTTGCGGAGCGAAAATCACGTGACTGGCACCCTGCCAAGACTTCGCATCTGGATGACCAATGGCGTGGGGGAGGCCATGGTCTTCCCAAACCCCTCCCTTGACTGGGAGATATAGACGGACGGGAGCGAAAGTAATGGCTGTAAAGGACAGTGTTACAAATAACGGACAGAAGGGTTTCTCCCTGGTTGCTGACCACGAGTGGTCAAGGATGCGTTCCATCCACTGTCAGCATGATGACCCTTGCGGGGCAAGGATTACGTGATTATTATTCCGCCAAGACACACCATCCGTGGGATGGCAGGGCTCGAAGCAATGAGGATATGAGGATGGATTTCATTGTTTACTCTCGTTGTGGTCAATTCAAATTGTACCTTACAAGCTCTTTACTTCATAAGATTGATATCTTGTTATTCTGTTCTATATAGAATCGACTGTCTTTACTATCGGTTAAACATCCATAACTCTTTCCCATAAGAATTACTCGGCAATCTCCCAGACACTCGCTGACAGCGATCTCGCCTAACCCAGGTCGAGAATCAGAGAAGCATAACATAACCCCGTGTAACAGCTGACTGATTGGTACGTTGCAATCTGCTTGGAAGTATCGTGGCGCAAAACGAAAATGTGCGCATGATGACAGTAGCAGCAAGTATTTGGAATCTCAAGTTGCAACTATCACGTCTAAGACGGACATGCTTACGCCCCACCTACACGTCGCACACCGTTATGAAGTCGATGACGTCGACCTGCACAGCTGCTGATGCGACTGCAATTAATCGAATCGTTCGCTCTTCTGTGCGGCTTGCTGTAGCCAGCAGCACTCCCTCCATGACTCTATAGGCCCCCTGTATGCGGCCGTCTCGCTCCCAATCCCTTTGTAATTCACCTGCAAGTCCGTCTCGCGCCTCTTGCATAGTCACGCAGAGTCATTCAGCTTAACAGAGATCTCACAGCGTGAAACCGATGGCCACGTCTATTCGAATATTCACTCATGTATTTGCTGACAACAACCAAGTGTTGCAGCAAGTGATCCAAAGGCATAGATTACTGATGAAATTCAGTTGATTGGATCTATGATTAGACTGATATGATCAGTATTTGATAAGATACTGGACAGTCAAGGATCAGCTGATCACCCAAACGGAGTTGGTCTACAAGATGCATCTTAATAAAACCTCCTTCGTCGCTATGTTCCATACGTTGTAACACAAGACAGGATCAAGATCAGGATTTGAAAGGGCGGACCGCAATGTAGTCAGGGTAGCAACTACTAGTAACAAATTGAGTAAAGAAGGTGCCCATCTACGCTGAAAAGGAATATCAACATATGTCGACAGTCTAGTCAAGTGCCACCATACCGCAATGTAGGTACACGATTAACGCTAACTATAATATCACGGGGTCGAAAGAGCATGTAACTACGCAATTAGAAAGAAGTGACTATACAATTAGAAAGAAGGATAGAGAAGGAAGGACAGATGTCAGGACTCCGAGGTTTCGCATGGACTTGATTCGCAAAGACGTACCTATATTGCTGTTACAGGTCATTTGCGAAGATGTAAAACACCTTTGCAGATAGGAAGGTATAGTGGAGAGAAAAGTCTATTCAGATTTTGTTCATTGGGTAAAGAAGAAATGCAAACATAACAGTGCTAAACAATACATGCCAGGCAGCTATGTATCAGCCTGCTGTTGAAGCCCCGCAATTTCCTGCTCCTGAATCTTCAGCTGCGCGTCCTTTTCCTTGTTCTCTTGTTTCAGGCGCTTCAACTGAGAGCGCATCTCATCATTATCGTGATGGCCGGGAATCTCAGAGTCAGAGTCCTCGCGTTTGCGCTTCAATCTGATATCCTCTTCGTCGCAGTACTCCACGAGCCGATTGTAGGTTGACTCTGAGGCGCCTGAATCACGGATAGGAGACTCTTCGATCTCGTGGCGAACCATGTTATGGCGGATGGCTAGCCCATGCATATCTTCTGACATGGACATTCTGCGATGGACACGGCGGAGGTGCTCTGCCAGGTTCTCTTTCCGCGTGAATCCGTCGCCTGAACTCCGTTTACAGTCAGGGGACGGGCAGAAGAGGGAATTTTTGGCGCTGCCGTGCATCCCGTGAACCTCGCGCTCATGGCGAAGAAGGCCGCCACTGTAGGTGAATCCTTGGAGCTTTTCACAGCCCTTGTCATTGCACTTGTAGGGACGATCATGCTTGTCCATGTGTTTGCTGCAAACAAAAGTCAGTTGATCAAGATTGTTCCAACGTAAGTAGTGTGCTTGCGGGGTAGACGGGAAATGCTTACTTCCAATCGCACTTGCGACTAAACGACGTGCCGTGGCACTCTTGGTGTTTGCAAACCATCTTCCCGTCCTCATTGCGCGGCGGCTCTTCAGTGCGCTTATAGCTGTGGGTCTTCCGTTGGGACCCTTTTTCTTTATTATCTTGAGATGGGTCTATAGAGTGGTCTCTGCTGTGGGATTTTGGATTACTGGCTGCTACTGGTGGGCTATGTTCAAGCATGGAAGGTGCCATAGGAGACTTTGGGGAGTTTGAACTGGATGGGCTAGGCATATCTTGGTTCAATGAGTGGATCGAAGTGTTCCGCTTGCGTTGGTGCGGAACCAGCATGGTCGTAGTGGAGAGATTTTGCTAAGGCGCTACGAGAGGAGACGAAGACAATGAACATATACAGAACGATCAAGTAATTTCGACGATATGCATGTACAGCTATGAGGCTGTTGTGAGGCTGAGCGTCAGGCTTTATGCTGCATGTTGGGCGATGTCAGGCACACCCCACACATATATTAGCAAAAAGCGCCGGCGCAGAGGCGCAGTCAGAGGTACGTCGGCGCATGAACAGGCAACAATATCTTATTTGTGCGCCTACATTCGGTAACATACCCATTTAACTCCGCGATCATGTGGCAAGTTTCGTATATTAATAGTGAGATAGTTGGGCTGCGGATGAGGAGACATGCAGCATCCAGAGAATGGCCCGACACTTGGAGAGTGTTAGGAAGGGGAAGAAAGGACCATGTTCTCAAATTACTTTGCTCTTTCTTAGAAAGAGTTGTAGTTAGAGCTTGTACTTCCGTGCTAGCCATAGGGGTCCAGCCAGATGTGCGCAGTGGGCCTATGTATGAGAGTATCCCATTCAACTATCTTCAGACTGCACGCGGCACTATACAATGAGATTTACCTTAAGCTTTTGCTCCCTGCTGCTTTGTCTATGTGAAACGAAATCTATCTTTGGTGCTTGATTACTAACATAGGTCTACACCACAACTCGACACTAGATCCCGTGAACGGCCTCAAGTAGCGCGCACTATATGCTCATGCGCGGTTGCTGCGGCAATGGGGTGTCACGCATGGCTATGAATATAAACCAGTACGGGATGGTTGAGAAAGTCTTGTTTTTCTAGGAATCGAGCTGCAGTTGCTTCGTGTTGTTTGAAAATGGACCCTCAGTGGCTTCAATCATGATGCTTCAACGCAGAGATGCTGCCACAGTAGGTAAGTACAGCATGATCATCTTATGTGGGAACCGGATTCATGCCAAAAGTGCACTGTAGGTCATACATGCCTTCTCGAGGCTCACTCAGCTGATATCCTCGTCGCTCTGAAAGCCACACGCACACGCTTCCGTCACGTTAGATCGCATATGACAGCACACAAGAAACACGCAGCGTAAATGAGCCAGAAGACTACTGCTTGGAAACAGCGGCTTCGCCCCCTAGATACCGCGTATCGAAGGAAAACTTGGGAGAGGGCAAAGACGAGCTGGGGCGGGGTGCTTAGACTATCGCTAAGTTCAATACCAACCACTAACCACGATCGGCTTGCACGAGTGGTCGCTTTCGCTTCGCAGACACAAAATCTAGCGTGCAACGAGCTACTCAGATCCCAGGACCGTTAGAATGTTAAAGAAAGATATTTCATCGATGGCTTAATTTAGCACAGAAACTTGCAAAAAGGGATGGGTAGTACTTGAAATAGACTGCCGACTGCAGCGTTGCACTACGTAGGTACCTGTATTTTAATTTTGCCTTGCCTTCAGCGCACGTACGAATCTCCTCGCCACAGTTGTTCAATAGGTAGTGCAACTAGTACTCCGATGTCATTTCTTGGGCTATGCGCTATTGAAGAGGCGCTGTCGGTTTATGTGACATCAAGACATGCGCGAAAGAGTTTCCAGGCCAGTGAGACGTGTCTTTCGCAGACTTGGTAGTGGACTAGGCGATCGGCTGACTTCGTTCAAAACGTGATTTGGATACGAGATCCAAAGGACAGCCCTCAGGCCCTCATCGGATATTCCTCGGGCCAGCAAGGCTGAGGCCTGCATAATACAAAGCCCCCATCTAGTCCTTAGGGCGAAACCCAGGGATTCGTCTGAATGTTCCCGCCTGGCAAATCTTCCACATCACCTCATTTGCAGCCACAAGCAATATGCCCAAAACCTTGGCGTGTTAGAGTGACAGTAATTTTTACAGAACAAAGCGAAAACGTGGAGAAACTATGTTGAAGAAGAGGATTTTCTTAACATCGTGCATTTTCTCTTGAGGCCTGAGCAGTGGGTGTTGACCTTTGTTGACTATTGCCAAATTCTGTCAGCAGCTCCCTTGCTGATGCTGCTGACTTGGCTACTGCTAGAAACCTAAGACTAGCGAAGCTCCGCCTGCCAGCACTGGCTGGATTAATGACTCCTTTCATTGCGCATCCGTCTATAAGTGCTGTGGTAATGTGCTTCAACGCCTCCAAAATCTTTGTCGCGTCCAGCTATATGGAGGTCATTAGTGCCGCAAAACTCAAGAGTTGTTGTGGCGTACCTATATTGAATTGTCCTTTGCTGTTCGTGAGCATGCCAGAGTTTATCAGCGCGTCGCGTTCGGGACGCTGTTCAGTGGGATAGGGAAAGCCTTGTACATAAAAGCCAGCAGTTGACTCAGAGGTGCGGAGAATCGTTGCTCGGATACTAGACCCAGTATCGTTGGTAGGCGAAGATCCCTGCTTCTTTGCATTTCGTGTAACGAGATGTCAATGCGGTTGAACACGATGCCTGTCACCTCCCTGGCCCAAAAAGGTTCCATTGCCACAATAAAGCTGGCATGCTGAATCTGATGCACATTGTCAACCATCGTACATAGTTGTGTGTTGCCTCTCTGATGCGACTAGCTTGCAGTGCGCGTTTCTGCCATCCCAAAACTAATCAAGGGATCCTGAGTGGTTTCGCGTCGTTGAGTGACATCACTTGGCATGATCGCGAGTGGTCCTGTGTTGAGAAACGCCTCCATCCAACACCCTCTCGAGCTAAATCATAGCCTTCTGATTGATTAGCACGTGGTATAGAGTGCAAATTTGGCAAGGCTACCATAAATAGTGATGCCACATCTTATGCCTTATTGAAGTCTACACTACACTTCGTTTTGAGAGCTGGTTCAGAAGAGATGTTAACGATACTATTAATCGTCATCGCTATGCTAATAGCAGAAATGATCAGCATGTACATGACTCATTATCAGCAGCGATTGGTAAGTAAGGGACAATCTGAAGTTGTGTCGCTAAGTTGTAGAAGGTAGACAATGCTGTTAGCACTCGTCACGGTTGCCGTCCGCCTCCAACGCTGCAAATTCATTGGCCTTTCGGTCTCGACCGTCTAAAGCAGATATTTCAGGCAGATGCGGAATCGCGCCTGATGGAACTGTTTTTGTTCCACTTTCGGCAAACGGGGAACACGCTGGAACAGAAGTTCCTAGGGACCAGGGTGTTTGGCACAATAGAACCGGCCAACCTAGAAGCCATTCTCTTCACTCATGCCAGAGGTAAGAATTGGCGCTGCTGGCCACATTAGAACAGCTACTGAGAGATGACATCCTCGACAGTATTTGGAATTGGTCGACGCCGAGATGTTGCGTTGCCCATGTTCGGTGATGGCATCTTCACCCAAGAAGGTGCTCATTGGAAAGAGTCCCGAGACTTGCTTCGCCTGCAGCTGCAGCACAAATATTACGACGATCTTGAGATATTTCGCGCTGCGGTTGATAGATTGATTCATGTGGTTAGCGAATGCAGAGGCACGGTCGATCTTCAGCCCTTGTTCTTCCGCACGACGTTTGAAACCACCACAAGCTTTGTTTTTGGCAAGTCTACGAGTATCATGAAAAGCACATATGGCAGTAAAGCACATCGCTTTGGAGCTGCACTTGACACAGCCCAAGAGTGGATTATTAGGAGACTAAGGTTCGCTGGGTTTTACTGGCTAATAGACAGTAGAGAATTCCGCCAGGCTTGCCAGGACATTCAAGCGTTTGTAGATCGGAATGTCGATGACCTTGTGCAGAAAGTACCAACCGAAATGAAACATCCGAAGACACACAGCTTCATACAGTGCATTGCGAAGACTACATCCGACCGAAGCGCCCTTCGCGCCCAAACGATCAGCATCCTAGCAGCGGGCAGAGACACAACAGCCAGTCTTCTCTCTTGGGTATTGTAAGTTGATGCAAGCGGGGCTTTTCCAGGTTTCTCGCTAACTTTCCTGGCTTCTTGCTCGTTCGCCACCAGCAAGTCATGGACAAGTTGCGTGCAGAAATTGCGTCGACGTGTGGCGCAGGCTTACATCCCAGTCGTGACGACCTAATGAAGATGTCATACTTGACAAAGGTGCTCAAAGAAAGTATGTCTTGGAGGAACGATCCTTGGTAGCACAAAAGCTCAGTAGGCACAGCACTGCGACTCTACCCGCCAGTTCCTGTCAACATTCGAACAGCTTCAGAAACAACTATACTTCCTGTGGGAGGCGGACCGACCCGAGCAGATCCAGTTCTTATTCCAAAAGGGAGCGTAGTCGCGTTCAGTCTATACTCCATGCATAGACGGCCAGATTTGTATGGCATGGATGCCGAGCTGTTTCGTCCAGAGAGATGGGATGAGGACATGCCTTTGAAGCACAATCCCACAACTCTCAAGTGGGGCTACATCCCCTTCCACAGTGGGCCGAGGAGATGCCTTGGAGGTGAGCAGGCATGGCTTCAGGTGTACCACATTGACTGACGAGTGTGCTGCTAGCGGACTTTGCGCTCACAGAAGCTGGTTACACGATTGTACGCCTCCTTCAGAGTTTTCCAGATCTAAAGCTTCCGCATGGGGAGCAGCTCGAGCTACTTGGTGTCGAGAAACAGAAGTCGACAGTGGTTCTGACAATAGCAGAGGGCTGCAAAGTCGACGTTAGTGGCCGTTGACTTGGTGTGTCGTGTAATCGTGTTGGAGTGTTGTAGATGCAACGTTGCTGGCATTACTAGGGGGCTAGTTACTGTGCTCCCTATTTATCTTAGCAAGTTTTAAAGCCGTAAAACCGTCTTACACCCGCCCGACCTCACATATACAGATCATCACGTTTTCACCCAATCGAGTGCTCTCTCACTACGTGCCAACTCCAGTCCGATCATGAGCTTCCCTAATTTGTTGAGGCCTTAGCTTTACAGCACTGCTGCCGAATTGTGCGACTCAACATCGTAGATGAATGCTGGAATCCAAGTACCTCCTTCACAACAGGACCTGTCTCTCCATCGTCTCTGTTTCTCTGCGCTTGCCCTGGCTGTTCAATGCTGCAGCCAAGTTATTCATGCCTGCCAACGTGTCTGCGTACTCTGGCCCTCACCTTGTTTCGCCCGGCAAGACATAATCTTTGGATTGCCCCAGCATTTTCGCAGTTGCCTTGGCTATACAGTGATGAGGCTAAATTTTTCATGCTCGATAGTGTGAACTGATGTTTATACCCGAACAAGAGATGGATGCGCACATTGTACTAATTAGCTTGTGAAGGTGCCTTTGCAGACTTTTTATTACTCTGTCGAGAGTACTACAGTCACAATTAGAGACATTGGGCGGCTACGCCACGGAAGGCAGAGAGAGTGATCACGCGGCCGTTATTCTCACTCCCCGTGTAGTGGAGAGCGCAAACCTAACGGGTATCCTTGCGATATATTGTCGCTCACTGGCTTATTGGTTGGCCAAAATCTTCGTAACTCATGCAGTAATGTTCCTCCCTGCGTCACGCAAATCCCCCCGTGCCGCAAGAAAAGAGGGGTACTTTATCTTCGGGACACGATATCTCTATCCACGCGTTGTTTTTGTTCTATGTTTATAGATCGATTATGTTTTTTACCTTCTTCTATAGGTGTTGACACCTCTCCTTACAAAAAGTACATTATTATTATTAAATCCGAGCTGATGCGCCAAAGACACTTTCTTCTAGAGAAAAACAGTGACACCGCTACAGAGAGCCCTAATCTCGCTCTATGGCACTCCCATACTAGGGAATGAAGGTGTATGCACTGAGGAAACCTTCAGCCGTGCTGCAGAGCCAATCCTAGCCCTTGGTGCGGCATGGCGCTCATATCCATACGTGATCGCCACCCCTGTTGGTACTTCCGCGGCGAGCAGCTTCCGCATATGGCTAGTATAGGACCGTCTACGGCGTAATTTTCACCACGCCAAGCTTGTGGCTTCGAAGCTCTGTGGCTGTGTAGGCTCTGGAGTCCTGTCAGCAAGTTAAAGATCACGTGCTAGTCAGCTTTGGCATTATAATCACAATCTCTTTTGTATTACAGCGGCTAGCGAATGCGGCTTCACAATAAACACAGCTGCAACGCAGTTCTACACTCTCATGCACTTGCAGCTTCCGCTTTGCGCACATAGCCGAATTGTCATCCCACGAGGACACGGACCCGCCTGATGTACGCTTATCTAAAAGGAGTTAGACTATATCAGCATTGTGCGTTGATTAGTCTGAGAGCTTAAAAGAAGACGCATTGCTGACAGAAACTAATACTATTTAGGCAAGATTACCACTAAGCGACAGAGGCTTAGCGTGGGATTAGAGGTCGCCTACTTACAGAAACCGGAAGCTGCAACTGCATGAGAGTGTATTAGGGACATTAGGCCAAGTATAGGATAAGTCGTGATGGCAGTGATGGTAGGACTGAAAGCAATAAGGATATAAGGATAGATAGATTTCATTATTACTCTCGTTGTGTTCAGCTTAAATTGTACTTTCTTCCTAGTTACTTTACTTAACGAGATTGTTACCTGTTTAGTCTATAGCAATATAGATAGGGTTGTTAACCTGTTAACCTCTTTTCTACAAGCACGCCACTCTATTGCATCACCAGATAATCACCTCATGGAACACTAGTATAAAGCTCACCAGCCTTAGTGCGGACCTGGAACGAGAAGTATAGACCTAAACCCCATATAACATTCTAGCCCTAGCCCTTCTTTATGCAATCGAATAAAAGAAGTATCCCTCCTACTATCCTTGGATAGCAAATGTAAAGTCAATAAATTGGCCGCTTCGAAGGTTGTGGTTTGGCAAGTTAGGAATGCACATGCGGCGGTTGTGCTGCTAATTAGTCAACTACTGCTTGCAGAGATTGAGCTGGTAGCCACGAAGATTAGCTGTAAGAGTACCGACGGGCAATATATCAAAAGATCTATCGTTACCTTAAAATACTTAGCGCTTAACTCACAAAGCAGACTGCAGTGCTTACCTAAGATACTAGCAGATACACTAGCAGATGCATTGTCCACTAGCACCGGGATAGAAACAGTCTAAGTCTTTAAGGACTCTCCAGTGACTTTTCTAGTTCCGTATTGCCGCTTTCCACTTATAACATCCTCTCTTAGGGGAGTGGATAGTACGCAGAGAATATCATCTATGAAGATCTCTTCATGGGTTCCTGGATCTGTCCCATTAAGAATTTCGATATCCTGACAGACTATATTTTGAGGACAATGTCCGGGTTCCGTGTATTCGTCACCGTCTGGTGTTTAGCATTCATCCTCATATACCTATACGCTAATATCTGATATACAACGGCGTGATATCCACTCATCTTCAGGCTCACAGTGTTGGTCAGCGGGCACACGTTTTTGCAGCTCATAGAGAGCACGTTTAGCATTGCGCCATTCAGCGCGCGCTTTAGTTTATTTTTCAGCTTCATAATAGGCAAGCACTTGGTCCAAGTACTCCCGTAGAACGATGTCCTCAGCTTTAAGAGAATCTCCACCAATATTGCCCGCTGGTGCGGCAAGGGCCGAAATGGCTAGAAGACAGCCAACAAGAGCGGCCGAGATCCTAAACTTAGAAGAAACCATAGTAATTAAATAGAAGAGAGGCAGTTAAGGTAGTAAACCGGGCGGTGCTAGGAAGAGTAAATAATAAGGATATCTAGGAGGAGGATTAAGAAAAGTGTGCTTTATATAAATAATAGTTAGAGGTTTCTTATTAATAATCTATAGTAGATAGTTCTCTTACGCGACTGTGCTGGCCCGCGTGTCCCGCTCTTAGTCAGCCTCTAAGACTTTTACGAGATATTCAATAAACTCTTTCCGTAACTTTTGAGGCCTAGCCTAATAATTAACTAGCTTATAGTTATTCCTGGAAGCATCTCCTAGCTTCTCTGCCTTCCCGCCATACACGATCTATACGGTCCCTGGGTAAGCGTTTCGCTAGCAAGCGTTTCGCTGAGATGCGAAAGTATTCCCCATATTGCGCTTTCTAACCCGGCTTATCAACAAATGATAGTTTCTGGACGG